CTAATCGCGCGTTACGTGCGTTACGAATCTGCTTGCTGAGGAGGACTATATCTTCACGTTCGCCCCAAGTGGCAATTATACATTCATTATGCTGCAGATATCAACTAACAAGTTATGAGGTGAAAATATAGTAAATTCAAGTTGTCCTGGGAAAAATTATAGCCTGATATTAAAAAGTGTTCTCTTAAATTAATTAATATAGAATTAAATTAAATTTTATTCATTTTTAGCTACTTTTTAGAATTAAATTTAAAAAATCAACGATTTTTCCAGTTTTTTTGTGTTTTTGCCTATAATTTTGTAAATAATCAACTGATTATAAATTTACTTTCCTAAAACTTCATTTTAATTAAGAAAAAACTCAAAAAAGTATAAAAATCGTGTTTCTATTAAACTTTAAACTTTTGAAACATGTTTTAAATGATTTTCTTCAAAATTTATTTCAAATAAACTTTCACTCATTCCACAACTTTTCCACCATGCCCGGCACCTCCCCCAATAATATTTATATTACGAAAGTTTAAGTTACGCGAAATACTGATAATAATATTGACGATCTGTCGAAGTGGAAGACAATATTTGGTGCGCGATGATAGGCAGGCATTCGCGGTACTTTGCTCGCAACCAACTGCTAAATGAACAATCTGGAAGCGATTGTATTACCTAGCAGAGTCGCGCAACAGTAGATACACACAAAACGATGATATGCGGCAAACAGTGAAACTTTAAGGGCTGCTTATCTAGTACATTCCTCTCGTACAGTGTTTGTACACATATATGAAATAAATTTCAGTATGAAATTGAATTTTGCAAGTAAAACAAAGCACAATTTTGAGGCATTTTCATGTTTTAATATTCTTTGTAAAAATAATTTCCATTGCACTTGACAGCTTTCCGGTTGAACTGAATGAAAATTAATGAGAACGTATTATTTTCTTTTAATTTCCAGCCGGCCTGAAAATATTAATTAAAGTAAAGTTATTTAAAGAGCGAATTAAAAGTTGGCGATAAATACAGAAATTCATTTTGTGCCAATCATTTCTGAAGCGTGCTGCAACTGGCAGAAGTTTTTTTCCCGTGAGTTGTAGAAACTTTCAACGACTACATTTTCATATTTTATTGCGTGCTTATTATCATTATTATTAGTTTTTTTTTTCTTCAATCAAGTAAAAAGTTTTCAAAGTGGAAAACAAGAAGAACAGAAGAAAACAAAGAAATCGAAATTGTTTCCGACATCCGTGTTACCCATTTCCGGCGTCGCTTACACTAAAATCAAATTGAAAATCTGCGAAAGTTTCAATTTCGTAGGCGCGTAGCGTACGTGTGGCGCGGCGGTGAGCGAGGCGTATTACTATTAGCGAATAGTTACGAGCCGTTTGGCAGTTCGCGTACGTGCCGAGAAGGTGGTGGTGTTGCCGCCGCCACTACCACCACCACCACCACTGCGCCGGTGTGCGCGGGTGAGAAAATCTTTAAACGCGTCGTCATCAAGGAAAATGAACGAGCATTATGCGGGCGCTCTCGCGAAACGTACCAGCCGGGCCCGCACAGCAGAGCGGCGGCGGTCGTGTGTACGCGTATAATAATTTTCCGTTTTGGGGGAGAACCGAGCGCGCCGCGTCGGCCGTGTTTGTTGGTCGATATATTGATTCGGCACGTATATACTTTCGGGGCAGCGCCGCCGCCACCAGCACCGGCGTGTCGTGCGTTTACCACATTTACACGTAAACTTTGCTTCATAAAAAAAAACAAGAACTTGTTGAGATGAAGAAATTATCCTCTGCCGCATTTTTATAATGATCAACGCGCTGACGTCATGAATTTTGCACTTTAAAAATAAATCCGCATTTGAATGGTGCGCGAAAAGTGCTAAATATATACATTGCGGATGAATGCCATGACCGCGCTCGTCAAGTTTAATTCATTAAACAATACAATTCTGACACGTCTATATTTATTTCCAACTTAATTGAATGATTAAATAACGATTTTGTAGTTTCGCTGCTTTCTTTATCGCTGCACTTGATGCGCCATTCCGAATCTAACCTAATTTTGTCCGGACTATTATTAGAACGAATTCGTGCGAAAGTTACTTCTTTCTCCTTGACTTGGTTAACTATTTAATTATCCCTGAAAATTAATCACTTTTTTTCCTCAATATTAATTTATTTTCCCTTATCTCATAATATTTCTGTGTCAATTTTAGTAGAAACAAAAAATATATAAAAACGATTTGATTTTGTAGCTTGTGCAATTTATCCTTTATCAACAGTAATATTTTCTTATTCTATTTGCGCCGACTGCGTGCCGATATTTTTAGCACACTAGGTGTTTTTTCATGCGGCGAAGTTTTGTTTTATGTTTTATGCATTGGCATCGCGCGCGCGTATCGTATCGACGCGCGATTCGGAATTAATCCTTTTCGAATTTATTTACCGTGAAATTTATTAGCGTCCACGTAATAATATTCATCGATAAATCATCGCGTGAAACGTAAACGTTTCGGTTGCGCCAAATGCGTCGCAAATAAAATACGCGCGTTGGAAAATTGCTTGATACAACGAAGATATTCATAAGGATCAAGATCATTAAAATTCGTGTGACTGGCGTCGTAAACTAGTTTTCCGCTTCATTTTAATCATGTTGATTTGATGCTTTTATTTCCATCGGCAGCTGAAAGACAGATTTTGCTTTAATCCAATTCTAAGATTGCGAGTTGTAAATCTTTCAACGGCGGAGATAAATTTTAAGCGGCGGGTATAAAAATAAAAAGTGTTGTTTTTTCAAGTGGAGGTTTAGTTAACTACAGAACACTCTATCTAAGAAACATCGAAACAAATATTTTAAATCGCAATTCTGTTGTTTTACAACATTTTTAACTAAAAAATTGGCTAATTTTGTTCATTTTTGATTTATTTTCTTTAATTTTCACCCAAAATTATCATTAAAATAACTATTAAAACATTAAAAAATGTCACGACAAGAAATTGTAGTTCAAAAGCTAGGTTATGTCACGTATAACATTTTTCTAGTGGCGCTAGTGTCGTTTCTAACCCGATTTATGATGAAAAACTGAATTAAATCCGTTAATAATTAATTTAAGTCAATTTTTCTTGCCGCAACTGATTGTTATTAAATAAATAAAAATAATATTACTTTTATTGGCACAAAACCGCAGGTTAGAGTTGAAATTTCCCCTCCGTGAATAAAATTGCGACTGCGAAAAGAACGCGCGCCTTAATAATATCATTCTCATTGACTTTAAGTGCGTGGACCGTCTGTCGGACCGACAATAAAGCGATCAGCATAAAACCTCCCGGGCCCCCGGTCCATCCACCGTTTACCTAATACTTATACATTACGTATGCCGACATTCCGGGCGGCTCGGCGGTGCGCGCCCGCAACGAAACGACCATCAAACGCCGCGTCGTAAACATCGAAGCGGGAACAACCGCCCCCTAAACCAAACCTCATTCCCATCAACTGTATGTGTGTGTGAACTTGCTCGCGGGGCACGTTGCGGACGGAAGTCGTAAACGATGCATAAGCAGCAGCTACGTCATCGCGAAGGCGAAGAAGGAACGCCGAAGGAAATTGGAGGAAGGATCGTTATTCGCAGCTGTGGAGTACGAAGTTGAGCATACATATTGTTCGGCGGTGCGTTTTTGGGGTGTGCCGGCGAAATTCGAATTCATTATAGACTTTAGCGTAACTACGACGACTAAACTAAATCAAGTTTTATTTTTTATTTATGTCGAGATATAAAACCTACACATAAATAAAAGCGAGAAAAATGTGTCGTGGTAGATTGAGCGTGTATACATCACGCATCAGTCGTAGTCGGTTAACCGGCATGTCAATCAAATGAAAGTTGTGCACATAAAATCATAACTGACGCTCTTCCGCCGCCCTCGGGAAGTGTGCAAACAAATGTAAACACAGTGTCGTTTTCCCGCCGCGACACGACGCGACTCAATAATATAATACGCGTGGAGGCGAACAATCGTAAAGTATCTGTTCGCCTTTTCAATAGACACAATAGGCCACCAGATATCGAGAAACGTGATAAAAGTTACAAGCACTCAAAAAATATTGTTTCATTACCGGTTTTATCAGTTGACTTTAATTTAATCATACATTTTTTTATTAAAATTTTATTATATTTTAACCCTAACCTCATAAATCATCTATTTTCGTTCGTAACTCCTCTTAAATCCCACATAAATGAAACCTGCACCACCAGGACAATATGTCTTAATATCATCCTCTTATACCACGTGCAGTGTACTTACATGTGAAGAATGAAGAAGACGTAAAACGTAGAAAATAATTACCCACTAGAAAAGCAGTATTACCTCCACCACCGCGGGCGTAATAATGCTTTTGCAACAAAGCTGCTTTAAGTAGGCACTACGCATAAAATACAAACAAACTTTTACAACCTATTATTCAGAATGAATATAAAAATAGGATCGAGATTCACATCACATTTACAAAATTAGTTCTTTATGTTTTCTAATTTAATACTGTTAAGTGAACTAAAGTACCAAGAATAACAACAACAAGTCATTATGTTGTTATATTTTTATCTGATATCAATTTTCTCGTCAATAATGAATTATTGCATGTGTGGCTCGGTTGAAATGCACTTGTAATTATTAAAAGGTCTTCGAACTTAGGTACCACAAATAATTTAACAATTCTTGGTTGAATTATTAAACACTAATTGATTTTTCGCTGTTCTTGTTGAGTTGTTCGAAATTGTGACATGTTGATGGCAGCTTTCATTCGTCCAATGAATATTTTACATTTAAAAACGTCTTGTATCGATTTTCTAGCCGTCTGGCCTGACGAAAATATAATAAATCTTTAATTTTACGTCAATTAAACTTTTTTTTTCTACTATTTAACGAAATATCAAATGTTTGACTTGCGGTATAACTCCCCGAACACTATAATATTATAAATTTCACTGATTTTATCAAAATATATGTTTACAGGACTCTGGAGTGGGTACACCAGTGACGTTATACGTCGACCAACATGGCTTCTACATCTACTGGACGGATCAGAACAAGGAAACCGATCTGCTCGATATCGCAACCATCCGAGACACGCGGACTGCGAAATATGCTAAAATACCAAAGGTGAGTTCGACCATTACACACCCTTAACAACCTCACAACATTTTACAAATGACTCTGCGCAATATTAATGCGACTGTAGCGCTTGTGCGCAGTTTTATATTCAAATTAATGTGACAATTAGGACAATTAAGCATCGCGCAATAAATTCGAGCGCAGGTCGCGTGAATATTTCACGGCGTGACCTTTTTTTTTTTTCGCCTCTTTCGTTTCGGTTGGTGAGGTTGCGCGCGGTGAACGAGTTGGCTACGTGCGGCTGTTAAACGCTGAGAATGTGATGGATATTGAATTTACGAGGAAGTAGGAGGATTCGTGCTCGTTTGCGGCTATCGTCGATCTAATCTAATATTAAAATCAAGCGACGGCGACTTTTCGTCTATCGGTTTTTGTGAGCGTATAATTAGAGAAATTTATATCGGCGCTATATAATATGCCTCGGAATATTCTAGTCAAGTTCGAGTTAATTAACATGTTTGGTGTGATAAGAAAAAATATTTTCAAGGAAAATCAACTCGTTTAAAGTTTTCATGGAGGAAAAAAAAAACGATGATTATCAACGCAATTAAAGTGATTTACTTACTCATTATGATTCTCATCACTTAATTTACCACCGAGTGCATTTTATTCGGATTTTATCTGCTTCCAAACTAAGTTAAGCAAATAATTAGATGGCTTTTAAATTTGCGTTAAACATTAAACGTATTTCGCAATAAAATTCACATCCGATTCGTTCCGTTTCGAATTCGTGTGTTTATCCGTCTCGACATCGACGTCTTTTGGCGATATAATAAATTCAACACATTTATTTATTTACACATACATGCAGATGCGAATTTGTTGGCATTTGCGCAAGTTTCTGTAAAAACACGCGGCTCGGCGTGCTTTGTTCCAGACTAGACAAATTTTTCTACTTGAGGAATTTCCGGAGCGTAAAAGTGGAATTTTCATACTAATTATTTGCATAAAGGCAATGCACATTTTGTGTCAGTTTTAGACTGTTTGCTTTGAGAAACTTGGAAGCGTCTCGCTGTTTATATTCTGGATGCAATTGAAACATTTATGCGATGTTTGTACAAACATGTAATATAAACATGTTACTTTATTGTAATTCGACTGTAAATGTTTACTTTCTTCAGCGAGTAGTCTTACGATTTAAAATTTCAAATATTTTCGAAACATTTTAATGTGTAGTGAAGTTAATTCACTATTTTTATTAGTCTAATGTATTAACTTTGAAAACATTCGGTGTATAAGCACCACGTCCGATAGATTTGCATATAAATTGAATCGCGCGCTTGTTTATAACGTTTTTAATGCACGCTCAGCGGCGAAGCTAATGTCCATTTACTTGTCAATCCGCGATAATGGCGAATAAATATTTTCCACAAACAAAAAATCGAATCAAACTCGATCGGTCTTCAATATAAAAATATAAAATCCATTAAACACGCTAAAATTGAAGTTTATCGTTTGAAAATGAAAATTATTGATGATCCTCATAAAAGTTAGACAATACACTATTTTGATTAATCAATAATGCATTTATTCCACATCGGAATTTAATTTTAGTGATTTAATTTTTATTATTATTACCTATCACGCACGGTTTTATATTTTTGCAAATAATAAAGCTAATATTTGCAAAACAAATAAATTTTAATTGGTTTTATCGTTTAACATAACCTATTTTGAAAAATTTAAAACATCACAGACGTTTTTGTGTTTTGATACTAATTTTAGCCGGTAATATATTGAAGGAGATCAACGCGCCGCACGGCTTTGGAAAATATTGCGAAATGTTTCCTATATTAGTCGCATCTGTGACGCCTCTGCAATGTTTACCAACATTTGAAACGACGCGAGCCCGCCGCCCATTAAAAATACATGCGAGTTTTCCATTCTTCACGTTTAGTTAACTTTCATAAGATTTCCGTCCCGCCGGGAATACGATACGCCGACTTTTACGAACATTCAAATGCCATCAATATAATAGCTATAAGCTTTTCGGAATTCCAAATATCACTCACTTATCAGCGTGACATGCAGCAACTTTATAAGTCTACATAAATATGTATGAATATGAAGTGTAGTTACGAAAATGCCACCTGATACACGACGAAAAAGTGGCTTTTGAAATGTTGGGAATCGTTAAACTTCGCTCACACAAAACTTGTGCGAGTTCCATTTGCGTCGCGACGCGCTCTCGCACACCAAATGCGACATATGTAATATCTTTGAGTGTTTGCCCGACTTCTCTATAATAATATCGGCTGGTTGAGTTCGCAATGTTCGAACATTTTGATCAATGGGCCAGATATCACTGGCTGCTTTTTCGCCAGCGAAACGAGAGCGTAAAACGACTCGTTGGTTTTAAGATGCGCACTCAATGATCCGCAGTTTCGGTTAGATATCGGGAATCGGGCCATTAGGACGCAGGGCGATGGCGGCGATGGTGGTGGGTGGGCGACACGGTCGTTTCTGTTTGTCGTTCGGTTGTTGGCGGCCGGAACGAAATGGGAACGATTGAGGCATCAACGCAGCGTGCACACGAAGCTCTGGCGAGGCAAATTTTCTCAGATCTCGGCGGTTGTGCGGCGCACACTACACGGACGCATCCAGCCATAGGGAGATTGCTTGCTTATGGAATTGGGCAGAATCCAAGAATAATTAAAATCGATATGCACGCAGCGAGGAGACGCACAGAGACACCGATTGGCAAATCTCTACTCTACACAACTTCTCCCACAATCAAAATCTCAGAATATTATTAGAAAAACGAACTTTTAGCAGAAAAAAATTAAATTAAACCAAAATCTTAAAAACTTTGAAAGTATAAGAGATAAAGTAGAAATTTTTGTTTTCAGAACTAGATTTCATCGCAGACTTTAAGTAAAGTTGTTTATAAAGTGATGTAAAAGTATAATTTAAGCGTAGATTTACGCGAAACACGAAAATTTGCAGAAATATTTGATGGTTGTAAAGTTGCAATATTAATCATAATATTTGAAGTAAGTTGTGCACTTGAAAGTAGTAAAAGTGGTAATATATCTCAAGTGGCTGTTAAGTGTGTTTGAGCATTCGGGAAACAGCCCGACTACTAAACTAAATTGATTCGACTACTCAAAGTTATTCGCAGACCATAACCGATATTTCAAGTGCAACTTAAATGTACTGTACTTGGGCAAGATGCATTTATGGCAATAAAGCGCCTAATGACATAATGGGTTAATGGTTAATGGCAAGCGAAATTACATTCACGCGCGAATTCTAAAACGATACTCTCTGCGAGTACGCATTGCGCGCACACCCCTCGGCGGCAGTGCCAGAGCGCAGAGAGATACGGCACGTACACCAATTTGAATTTTAATTAAATTTTATAAATTATATGTGCGTTCGTTATACATGTCGCAGGCGCACGCTACAGAAATCCACGATATAAGTATATTCATTACATGTAATATTAATGTCTGTGTGCGCTTGGTGTGTATTTTATGCATTATGTATCTTTAGGTGGAAATCGTCGCAATGTGCAGAGATATCTTTTACCACCCCCGCCGCAGCAGCAGCAGCAGGGGTTTCACAATCAAACTTTGCCAACTTGTGAAATATGGTGTGTCCGCAACTTTTGTTGCTGATTTTTATGCGCTGCGTTTTTAATTTTATTCCACGCAATTTGTAATTTTCAAATTAAGTTTGCGCTGGGCGCGCACAAAGTTTTTAATTCATATTAGTTCTCCAGTCCCAGTGGCGTCGCCATGCAATTAGATTATGATTATCATTGTTCATAACCTAACTTTTATTTTGCGACATGGAAACCGGCGTAAATTGCTCAACTAAAAATTACTTTGATAAGTAAAGTAATATAATGTAAATTACAGTTTTGTATTGGTATTTTCAGTGACATTGTCGAGATTCTCTGCCGGCAATGTTAAACATTTCAAGGACATATTGCTACAATATAATAACATGTTAAAACTAAACAAAACAAAAACTCACTTACCCAAAGTTGCGAAATATGGATCAGCAAACACTAGACACTGCACAATTACCACGCCGCGTTTACACTGCACATATTCTTATGAATTTCAAGATTAAAATAAACAAAGATTACTTGCGGATTTTTATGTGCGTGCAGAACATTTGTCGAGGTTATAACAGACGCGGCGCGCATGTCGCGCGGCGGTTTACTGAAACTCTGACGGAATACAAATTTAAATATTGAATATTTGTTGATTCTCTGATTATTACAACGTGAAATTATTTTAATCCGCTAAAATTAGTAAAATTAATGAGGAATTAACATATTGTCACTAAAAATAGTTGTTTGTGAGCATGAAAACGAGCGAATTAAAGTGTTTCATGCAATGTGAAATGTTAAGCCGCTGAAACGCTAAGTGAATAAACGGGCATTAAGCCTTGCATGCTCGTAATGATGGCAATAATGAGTTTCCTTATTACAGAGATAAAAAAGACCGTGTCGAAACGACTGCAATAAGGAAATGTTTCCCCAAAGGGTGTACAAATGCGTGCGCAACACGCAGTTAATTTAATAAATGTATGCAACCCATTTTACACCCAAACACAGCATAAAAACTAGACGTGAAGGCGTGCAAATAGTAAAACATTGAATACAAGAATTTAATTGAATTCGATGGCGCGTTTGTTTCGTTTTTCCCCGATTTCCACAACCACGGCATTCATTTGTTTTCACATCGGTCGACTGGCGTTGCTTTTGTCTTCTCGCTTCCGTTTTGTTTCGTTTGTTTCGTTCATTACGCGACGGTATAAAATTTCAAAAATTTCATTTGCGTTTTGCCTCCAACGATACAATTCAAACTTGGAACAGCCGAAAACATGTCGCATGTCATTCCGATAAGCATATTTTCACATGCGAATATTCATTCCTTTCATTTTGTATCCATGAATGTTTGTATTTCGAGGCCCAGTGTGTTTCCTTCCGGTTTTTCCGCATTGTAGCCGACTGGTATCTTCATTTTCATTTGTTTCCTGCGGAGTCAAAGAGAAAGTTTTCAGCGTTAGCGCAATAGTGCAACGCTTGTACTTTGTTGTAATAAATACCTATTAAACAACCCTCTCTGCCCTTTCTGGCCGTGTAATGCAATTGATGTTCCTCGTCCGACGGGCATTCCCTAATGGACTCTTGAATAAACATTTACATTTAATTTAATATAGAAAGTCATGCGGGCGAGCGTATGGCCTCTTTTCTTTGCAGGTTTGTTCGGTTTTCTTTGCTCGTTTGTTCTGTATTTACGTTTCGGTCACTCGTTTCATTGAATTTTCATTAGGGTAACTGACAGCGATTTATATTACAAATTGGTTTGATGTTTACATTTATATGCGCATTAACTTGAAGAGAAAATGTGCTTTTAGTTTCATATTGGGCAGAAAAACTAGGTTAATGTCGAACAAGTTGCATATATTAAACATTTTATGTTTTGTGGTGACAGAAATTAAAGTTAGTTATTGTTTTACTTTGTTAGTAATCAAATTCATAATTGTTGAATGTAATTGTCACAACATTAATTTGTATTTGCGTGTTTTGTGTCCTTTGAGAATATTTGCGTGTGAACAATGTCAAATTACGAAGTAACACATTGCAATCAGTAAGTTACATAACCTACAAAACAAAAATGTTATTTAATTATGTTTATTAGCTTTCTTTGTTGATTTATTCAATTAAATTTGTTTGTTTATAATATTTTTCTTCAAAAATCAATAAATCAACCAATTTTTGATTAAATTTCACTATTTTATAATACAATGCAGTTGGGTTTCGCTATTATAAAGTTCTTTAGTTGTTTCTTGGTTGCACACACTTTGTCTAAAGTTTCAGTTTTGTTTCACCCACTTTGTTCCATACTTGTTGCACACGGTTGGAAAATCTGCACGCCACACGTGATATTTTTCTGCGCATATCGAACTGTGCGAACTTGATGGAAACAAACAACTTTCCGCTTTGCGCTCCGCAATATTTATTCGAAAAATTGAATAAACATGCGGGTTTCGAATAAATAATACACGCCGATTGTTTTTCTTTTATTTTAACTTTGAACTCGTTTCCTTGTACAATATATTGTGCGTATTTGAAAGATAATAGTGTTAGCAGGCATAAAATGGCAAAGCAAATACGATTTTTAAAATCTAAACACATTTCTACTGCAATTACATCTTCTACGAGTACAAAAAAAAAGAAGATTTCAAACGATAAAGACATAAATAAACGATCAAAGAGGCGCGGCGAAGAAGCGCGAATCGTTTAAAAATAAGTCATCAAACAACTCAGCGCTAGGCGAGGAGCACCCCGTCGAGTTTTTGTTTACAAAAGCTAGCAAACACGCGGCCGCCAGGAATAAAGGAAAACAAAGAAATAAAAAACCAATTTTCCACCAAGACAAGTCGCTCCCACGTCGCGCATCTATTCCGGCCGGGCCGTGTCTAGTGTTTCATCTTCATCAGCCGCCGGCAGCTCGAAGGAGGCGGGGGAAAGATAAAAGACATTTTTAAATTGTGTCTTCCTGCGCGTACTTGTACTCGTTGCTTGTTTTCTCAAGCCGAGGGGCCTCACCGGATGTGCACAACACAAACACAAATGTTTTTGTGCATTTTAATTTTGCAACTTTTTGCAGCGCCGTCGGCGCATGGATGCATAATGTAGCATGTTGTTTTAGTTTTCAGGAGCGCCGCAATTCGCGGAGAGTTTTGACGGTTCGGAATTGCCCATTAATTTCATTATGCGGATGCTGCAGGCGGACATTTTAATGGTTGTCATAAAAGTGCTCAAAATAGTATGCTAAAATTGCGTTTAACTAAGAAATTTACCTATAATATAATATTTTAACACTTTTTCACATTTTCACATAAAGAATTTCTTTGTTTAGTTTATTTGTTTGGAGAAGAATAGACTTTTACATGAATGTGGATCATTAAAAAGTTTTGAGACCGCTTTTAAACAATGTTTCATTGTATTCCTCTCATAGTTATGTAAGTGTATTGCATAACCTACAAAAAATTGACTTTTTTGCTCTTTGTACATTAAAATTGTTGATTTTCGATAGTTAAAAGCATTTTGAGGCATTTTTCAACAAAATAAGGTTGTGGTGGCTTCAATGGTTAATGATTGTTCAATATGGACGCGGTCGGAAGCTAACATAACCTACAAATCACATTTTTATATTGCATACGAACATATAGTGTCAATAGATGAAATAATAACATCAATTCTTGAGTCTTTTGATATTAAAACATTGTTTTTCACTTCTGGAATACAAAAATAATCGATTTTTAACAAATTTAAAAAGTTTTCAGGGTATTTTAATCATTTACTTGTATTCTGAAACCGATATAACCTACAAAACATAAATTAATATTTAATACACATTTATAGGGCAAATAAAACATGTTAATATTTGTTAGATTAAAAAATAACGACAAATCTTTAGTCCGTTGATAGTTAAACATAATTCTCCGCCTTTTGTAAACCAAAACTTGATTTTTATCTCATGTAAGCGAAAAAAAAACTGTTGATTACACTTTCCAACAGCAAAGCAATTAGTTCTCCCACTCCCTCAGCTGATCTCCACCGTCACTTATTGTAATTACACATTGAAACACCGCCGAGCTTAATGACCGCCCCCGCCTTCTAAGCTGCGCCACAAGTTGATAAGCGAATGAAACTTTAATTCGATTCTACGCCGCAGCCGAAAATAAAATCGACTTCCACAACACAACAATGCATAATTTATTATTTGCCCGATACACAAAATAAACAATAAATAAATGTTGATTGTGCAATCATATTTCACCGTCACTCCGAATATACATTTCTCGACTTTCTATGCCCGCGTCGATGCAAACACGTTCTCGGACACGCTTTAATAGCGTTCGGTCGGTTTTTATTGCCGGCGCGGATTTAATGCGTACGTCGCCATAATCTTAAACTGTGAAACAATGAATTTTATTGGGCGCGTTGTCGCGCACGCAATTCGCGTGTCGCGCAATGCGCCGTAAGTGATTTACGAGTGGCAATTATCATGGCGCGCGCGCGCGTTCAAGTTATGGTCCTCTGGCTCTTGCGCTCGATTTCCCTCGTCACCTTCGACAGCCGCCCGCATCGTGCTTATAAATAATACACGCGCTGTGTGTTACGCACGCATTCACAGCCGAGGCGCTGGTTAATGATTTCAATGTCAGGAGGAACTAAGAGAAGGCTTTAATGGCATGTTATCGGGAAACTGGGGACGTTCAAGTCATTAGCTATTCATTCATTATTTAATGAAGGTGCCAAACATTTTCATTTAAAAAATCAATCAATTTTGTCTATCTTATCGCGAAAATGTGAGGTCAGCTTTTTAAATGTGCAAAATATTCATTAATTGATCATTAGTGATCGGGTAAATGTTTATTTTATAGGTTATGTTGCTTTTTGACATTCTAACCATATTTAAGGGATATTTTTGATTCGTATCGATGTGACACTCAATTCAAAACTGAAAATAAGAAAAATTTTGAACCTTTTTGAATCGAAAATCCATTTTTCTGATCTGTACATCACAAAACTTTTAATATTTTGTCAGAAATTGATGATGTAAGCTGTAATTTTCTTTTAAATCTGTTTTAAAATAATATATCGAGATATTTTTAATTGCATCAACGTAAAACACAATCAAAAACCGCAAATCAGACTATTTTTATACTTTTCAGAGCGGATATACTATTTTTGAGGCAAATATAACCCAAAATTTGTAATATTTTGATAGAAATTCAAGATATAACCTATACTTTCTCCAAAACCTGTCCTAAAATAATATATCGAGTATTTTGGGTTGTATAGATATTAAAATCGCCTTCTTTGTTGGTTTTTTACCCTCAAGAACCCAAAAGGATGTGCTATGCGAGGATAAGATGATTTACGAGTGTAAATTTGTCATCGCGGTGCACCGAAAGTCAGCACACAGCTTGACATTCCGTTGACATTGGAAAAAATATCGCCCGGGCACCAAAAAAAAATATCAAAAATTATTAATGAATAACCGCTGCATACCCGCACAAATGTTAAACGAATGCCGCATCAACTATTTGGAAGCGTTCCAAGTCTCACATCCATAGTCTATCTCTGCTTTTTGTGCGATTTTCTTTTCATTCCACGCATAGGTTTCATGTTATCACAGTGTTTTTTAATTCAAGTTTTTCGCTAGCATTGTAATGCGTTTAAATCGAAAAGTTGGGCGAATGAGAAACTTTGCGCACTCGAGTTTTAATTGAAAATCATTTGTTTGTCGCACACAGGATCCGCGCCTTCGACAAATCGTCACGATGGGCTCGCAGGACACGCTCGAGGAGAAAACCGTCACCGTGTGCGTGGCGAGCGACTTTGTCAACATCAACTTTATCAATTTCTGCTGCACGCGCAAAGAGATCGCCAAGCTGTGGACGGACTCGCTGATGAGCCTCGCGTACAACTTGAATCGCATCAACGGCACGAACAGTATGTTTTTACTCAAGGCGTACACAAAGATCTCGCTCATTCCCAACAAAACTGGAAAAATCCCAGTGAAAAAGTATGTTTCTATCATTCGCAAAACAAAAAATATAAAAATGAACATTGTATTGCAGTATTGTGAAAATGTTTGCTCAAAATAAAGACGACCGAAAGCGCGTGGAGAAGGCACTTGACTCGTGTGGTTTCCCTTCCGGTAAAAACGACGCCATCAATCCGGAAAAATTCACCTACGACGACTTCTTCAGCTTTTACAAACATCTCACACAGCGCACAGATCTCGAAAAGGTTTTCTATGAATTGTACGTATGAAAAACTTTTTTTTTAAGTTTTCGTTGTTTATTTATGATTTTTTTAATGATTCTTACAATCAGATGCGGTTCGACTGGCTCCCAGAAAAAGGTCACAATGTCAACTGATCAGCTCGTCGCTTTCCTCAATAATCAGCAGCGCGATCCGCGTCTGAACGAGATTCTCCATCCGTACGCGAATGCGGAGCGTGCGAAAGATCTGATAACACAATACGACTCCAAGTCGAACGCACAAAAGGGCGTGCTGTCGTGCGACGGCTTCCTGAAATACCTGATGTCCGAAGATAATAATATTATCGCGTTGAGCAGCTACGACCTGTGCGAGGAAATGGACCAGCCGCTGGCGCACTACTTCATCAATTCGTCGCACAACACGTATCTGACGGGACATCAGATTACCGGCCGCTCGAGTGTGGAAATCTATCGCCAGTGTCTCCTAGCTGGGTGCCGTTGTGTTGAGTTGGATTTCTGGAATGGCCGTACTGAAGAACCCGTCATTGTACACGGCTATACCTTCGTACCGGAGATCAGTGCCCGTGAGGTTCTAGAAGCTATAGCCGAAAGCGCTTTTAAGACTTCCGATTTTCCCGTCGTGCTTAGTTTTGAAAATCATTGCAATCCACGCCAGCAGGCAAAGATAGCGAATTATTGTCGGGATATTTTCGGAGATATGTTATTGGCTGAACCATTGGAATCGCACAAGCTGGAACCCGGTGCTTCGCTGCCACCGCCTTCGTTGTTACGCCGGAAAATTATCATTAAGAACAAGAAGAAGCATCATCACCATCACAAGCGTGCACATCCGCATCCGGTGCAGCAGGAATCTATAAACGAATCTTCGAATACCGGAAACGGCGAGATCTCCACCCACGCACATGCCCCGCCGCTGCAAACCAGACAAGTATGTATTAGTAGCGTGAGGAATCTGATTACAAAAGCAAATTTAGCGAAACTGAACGCCGCGGTGTCGGTGCTTTGAAGTATAGTGCAAGTATCTAAGGCTTTGATCTCCGTTTTCGCAGGGCTCAAAGGAATCGACGGCCACCGAGGAAGAAGACTCTTCCAGCGATGAGGAAGTCGATGGCGGCGATCCGGAACCGCCGAGCGAATCGCAGGACGGCACGGCCGCCGGCGAGAAGGCGCCGGCTGCGAAGGAAACCGAAGCCGGCGCTGAAATTTCAGCGCTCGTAAATTACGTGCAGCCGGTGCACTTTTCGAGCTTCGAGAATGCGGAGAGTAAGTGTATATCATGTTCGCCAATTATTTGCTTAGCGCATGCTCGTGTTTACAGAAAAGAGTCGCAACTACGAAATGTCCTCGTTTGATGAGCGGCAAGCGACCACGCTGCTCAAGGAGAGTCCGCTCGAGTTCGTCAACTACAACAAACACCAGTTGAGCCGCGTTTATCCGGTCGGCACTCGTTTCGATTCGTCCAACTTCATGCCGCAGGTGTTTTGGAATGCCGGCTGCCAGCTGGTGGCACTCAACTTCCAAACGTTGGACCTTGCAATGCAGCTCAATCTGGGCGTGTTTGAGTACAATCATCGTTGTGGGTATCTCCTGAAGCCGGAATTTATGCGACGCAAGGACCGACGATTGGATCCGTTCGCCGAGAAGAATGTCGACGGCATCATCGCTGGCACTGTGAAAATTACTGTGATATCTGGACAATTCCTTACCGACAAACGTGTGGGCACCTATGTTGATGTGGATATGTACGGTCTGCCTGCGGATACGGTGCGGCGAAAGTTTCGCACGAAAACCGTGTCCAATAACGGCATCAATCCGATTTACGATGAGGAGCCGTTTGTTTTCAAGAAGGTCGTCCTGCCGGAGCTGGCCAGCATACGAATATCCGTCTATGAGGAGTCGGGTAAACTCATCGGGCATCGGGTGTTGCCCGTGATCGGATTGTGTCCCGGCTACAGGCACATGAATCTGCGTAGCGAACTGGGCCAGCCGTTGCCGTTGGCGACGCTGTTTTTGCATATTGTCGTCAAGGATTACGTGCCCGACGGACTGAGCGACTTTGCGGAAGCGCTCGCGAATCCCATTAAGTATCAAAGCGACTTGGAGAAGCGAGCCGAACAATTGGCTCGCCTCACCGACGGCATGGATTGCATCGATGGCGAAGAGGCAAAGTCAACGCCGCCGGCAACAGCCGTCGCCAAACCGAAGGATTCAACCGCTACTAATGGCAGTCCGACAACACGCCCGCCGATAAACAAACCAGCCGCAAGCATTGATCTCAACACGGACCAGCTGGATCCGGTACCGACCAGTACAAGTATTCTCACCTCGGCCATGTCTGTCGAGCAGTCGAATTCGATTGTGAAAACGCCCGAAATCGGAGATAAAATGGAGGACATTGTGGCCGAACCGCTGGATAAACTACTGAACAATAAATCTGTCAAGGAAAAACGTCTGGAGCTGGAGAAGAAGCTGGATAGTTTACGAAAAAAGCACGAGAAGAAAAAGTTGACGCTGCAGTCGCAAAAGTCGAGCGATTGCGGCGGCGAGAAGCGATCGAAATTGATTAATATCAAACTTGTCAAACGACTCTCCAGTAAAAACATGTAAGTACCACACAGCCAGCAGTCTTGGGCGCAAGTTTAAACGTAAAACGAAATTAATTTTCTTTCGACAGCGGCGTATTCGCAACGGAATCACCGAGTTCCGAGCCGTTGACCAGCGTCGCCGACTGTCCGGAAACGAGCGACGGCAGCGAACGCCCGATATTGCCTCGAAGTCAATCGGAGCGTTTGCTCGCCGCAAACAGGGACTTTGTCACACAGGAGAAGGAACTGCGTGAGAAGTATCACGACTTGATCTACAACACCGCCGATAAGATAATGAAAGATTCGCAGGCGAACCAGATAAAAATCCTCACGGTAAGAATCAACAATATTAAACTTCTTGATTGATTTATTGCTGCTTTTCAGACGCAATTTGAACGCGAAACGGTCGAAACCATGCGACGGCTGCAGGCAAATCGCAAGGAAGAAGTCAAAGCGCTTTCGAAAATTCACCGCGATCGGGATGAATTGGTTCGGGTGAAGCGTGAAGTCAACAGTGCTGTGGTAGATCGAGGCGTGATTGAACGCGAAAGACTTGCTCGATTGTTCGAACAGAAACGCGACGACATCACGCGACAACACGAACATGTCAAGAACGCTCTGCAGGAACATCGCACCAAGGTAACTAATAAATATCTCATCATTAGAGTGTAGTGTAAATACGTTTTATTGTATTTTCAGGCGAAGCAAGCGTTAAACAAAGAGTTTGAGATGCGTATGGCGCGGGTGGAAAACGAGCCGATGACTTAAGGGCCCACTTGGCGGCCACAAGCGACAACGGCGAAACAATCAGCAAAAATCTTGAACCTTTTTGTGGTGTCGACAATCGAATTCGGCGATTCGGCGCGCGCGACGCCCGGAATCAACTCGAGCTGTGTACCTTGCGAACGACGAAGACGTTTCTATCATCGTTAACATTTCAGCCTCACGACGACGATTGATACCAACTAGCCAACTTTACCTTTTCTGCAATATTACGATACATTCACACACACACGAGGAAAGCAACCGGTGTCACCATCGAAACTATTTATAAGAAACGGAAACACATTGCCGATGCTGGCAAAACATTTTCGCGACAATCATAACCGATGTGTACAACAACAACCGCATTTATAGACTAGTGTGCTGTCCATGCGACGCACATTAAACATAAAACATTTGCGAAAAACGAATGGTGCATTACGCATACTGTAAGTAGATTGTACGGTCGATGTCGTATCATTGTGATATTCTAGTTGTTACGTTCAGATTAGTTTAGTTGGTTTTTCTAGCGTTTTAGGTAAACATGATGATGATATTTTTGTTGCGCGCTTCTCGGTTGAATTTCATAGTTTATTTGTGCCATGGTGTCACACATGCCAATCATAGCCCGCACAGAAACTTGTGTTGTACAAATTGATAGCGCGATTAGCGAATGGCAAGCAGCGTAAATATAACAAATGTCGATTTATTCTAAAGTGACACGGACGTTGCAATAATGAAACGATTCTAATTAGTTTATCGGTTGCGGGCCAAATAATCGTAAGAAATCGACCCGCTTTGGTGTTGGCACAAATCTCTGCGTCGATTTCAATGTTTTATTGAAGCAATATACAGGGTGTTATTACAAGTTAAACAAACCTAAACCAATTAATTGATAAACACGTAGGAAAGAATGTGCAGCGTCTCAATAAAGTTTACAAAAACAGGGTTGACGGGAACGACGGAAACAATGTAGAATTACTTAAGTATGTAATCAATCTAATGTAATGTGATGTGGCACTTATGAAAATGCACACGATGCAAGCAACAACGTCATTAAACGGCATTAATTACTTAAACGATTGCTTAGGCACAATTTTATGTTAACATACGGGTAAATGCAACACTTTACGCTCAACAATTAGCAATAATACGTTTGATTTACGCACAATCACCACTCGAACGCTCGAATTTAAATTTTTATTGGGATTCCATTGCGTTGCACACGATTGATTACATATTTTGCGCGATGTGCTTTTCAACTATTTTAATATTGGTTCAAGTAAAGAAACTAAATCACATCATAGTAATAAATATGTATAAAGAAAATGAATGTTGCCAAAATTGTCGTTGCTAGCGATATAGATAGTCATTACATGCAAATATAAATATTATTTAGATAGTTAATGAAATGAATTTCTAGGCATTGCGACTATGATGAAAGATGTGTTATTATATAAATATAGACTTCGTGACAAGTCGCACACACGAGCTGGTTGATTAGATTCGCTGTAGATATGCTAGTTATGTAAATGTGTCGCTTGAGAGAGATTTGTGAACACACATGTTCATGTTCGTTGTTATCTACTTACTATAACTACCATCATGTACACCACATATTTACGACTCAATGGTTGTTAATTAATTGTTAGCTGATTTGAACCACGGCCATAACACAAACGCGATCGAGATTTCAATAAAATGGTCAGTTATTGAAACGGGAAGGAAGGAATTTACTCTTGTAAACACAGACAGGGATTTTCAAACGTAGTTTTAGTTCGAAACTTAATTGTTTACGACGATGTTTAAGTAAGAAACGCCATATATGCCAATGAGAGGTACTTATTACTTACTTTAAATAAACACAACACACTCATACGGACAGTAGCAATAAAAATCAATCAAATCACACTCTCTCTATATATATTTATCTGTAAAAGAAGTTATTGAAAAAGATGTGTACTCTATTCGAAATTAATCTATTATTCTATGACTATTCTCAACACAAAGATGAAGAAATGATTGTGTACATAAATTAAAGTTTAGATTTTGAAACAAACTGAAAACAAACATTCGTATTTCCTATTTACCAACGGCCTACATATAAATATTTATATCATTACATTTGACGACACATTCATTAATGTAATTTATAATGAATATAGAAAAGATATAATATATACATTGTACTAATAGATATAAATAACTACAACGGGACGAAGGATAGGAAGCCATGCATATGATGAGAGAATTAGCCAGTTTTTAATTATGTAATTGTCTGTTTTGTTAAAGAATTAACTCAAATTTATTGTTTTTGTTAATCGTTTTTATGTTACTATTGTTTTCTATGCTAATTTTAAATTTTAAAGCTATATATGTATGTTTTTTTCTTGTCGGACGATATTTTACATTCCGTTATTGTTTATTAAGATGTGACGAGCGATAATCTGAATCGGAATTGTTGATTGTTAGCAATGTGTGTAGCGAATGTAATTGTAGCAAAACAAATGCGTCGAATTGAAAGAGTTGTTCTGTTAGATTAGTCAAAATGCTCCACGACTTCAGAGTTTGGGAAGTACTCACTCGCAAATTGTAGTCTAGAACTGTTACTATCATGTATAAAACTTAAAGATATATATATAATTTTATGTTAGTTGCGTCTTTGACACAGCATTCGTGCATTTTGAACGCGAGAGTTGTGCTCTAATGAATGAAAAACATGAAAATAATATTCTGTGCTTTATGTAAATAGAGAATTGACTATGTTACTATGTTTTAAGCATATAATTATTATCATATTTATGAATCTCATTTTCCAAACTGTGCCTTGGTCTCGTTTGAATCTTTAAAATATTAAAAATGCGTCGAAATTCACCACACACGTTCACGTCGGTGCGAAAACTAATTAAAATCATAAGCAAAATGATGGATGAAACTGGAATTGCGAACACAAACAGAGAATCAATGAATGTAAACGTGTATTGTGCGGGTTGGGCAAAAAATTGTAAACAAATTCTCACCCATCTTTGACCCACACTCGTGTAATTATGCTCGACCATCCTTTCCCTTTCAACCACCACCCACTAAGTACATCTAACATTTACTTAAGGATAGTTATATACGTCACGTTTGGAATGACGATACGATTTGCGAACTAAGTCTTGACGAATTGATAATTTGTAAAAAATGGTACCATCGATACGATTACTAACCGTATACATTGCATACTCATGTAACTGTGTTTACTTACCTACTTATTTAAAAATTGATGTGTCTATTAAAATATGAATAACTATAAACTGAACTAAATATGAACAAATAAACGATATTTATGTGGATGATCAATACATTTGAGGTGTTTGTTATTATAACCTTTTTTTTATTTATTTTGATATCGGAAATTACTTAGATTATTTGAAAATTTAAATTATTGGCAAGAAATCGCATGATTTCGTTGATCTTTTGTCATTTTTATTACCGCAGAGTAAAATAATTTGATTTTTTGATTATGTGATAGAAAATTAAAACAAATTTTTATGGAATAAAGCAGTTTTATGTTTATTCATAGTTTTTGATAAATATTTTCTTTTTCAACGGATATGCATTACTAATGAGAATGATTATTTGCGAATTTATTAACTGCTATTTAAAGAACAGCAGTAAACATGACTATCCATTAATTGAAATAAACCTATATCATTTTTAATTGTATTGTTGTATTTTAATGTATTACATGCGTTGAATGGCTTGAGTTCTGACGCATTGTATTAATTAATTTCGAACCTATAAATTGCCGATGAGCTCAAGTTCACACTTAAATCGATTAGCCTACACTTATAAATTGCTTCTTGTGTTATGTGGGAGAAAAGCATTTTTATAAATTAGAAATAATGGCTTTTTTCCTCTAAATTCTTAAAGTTGATTGAAATCACCTTGTATCTCTTTCACAAATAAATAAATTTAGTATATTTTCTGGTCATATATTCGATAAACACTTCTTCAAAAAGATATGTTCATTTTGTACTTGATATAACTTCTAGGGCTTCACGCGATACCGAGACTTTTCTCGTATCGTCTCGGTCTCGTATCGCTTTTGCGAGACGATACCGAGACCGAGACGATACCTTTGATAGTCTCGCCCAGTCTCGTCTCGTGTGAAGCCCTAATAACTTCCAAAAGTACCTTAAAATTACGATGAAAAGTATAGGATATTTTAGGTACTTTAAAGTATTTTAAGGTGTAAAATATGGGTAAAAAAAAAGAAATTTTATGTTTTAGTTAATTTTATTTTTGTTAAAACACTTTATTTTCCGTATTCACTATATCTTAGTTCGCCATATCCACCATATGGGGGATATCCACCAAATCCACCACCAAATCCACCATATCCGCCATATCCGCCGAATCCGCCATAACCACCAAATCCGCCGTGTGGGTAACCTGAAAATGCCGCTGCCATTTGTGGCTGTACTTGTGGTGAAGAGTCATCATCTCCACCACCACCCAGTCCAAAGCCAATTGTCCCTCCAAGTCCGCCCTTAATATTGCGACCTCTGCTGTCGTTTAAATATCCCTTAACTCCAGCACCAAATCCTATTCCACCCAATAATCTTCTTGACCCGGGAAGTTGGTCTGGAACAGATTTAAGACAACGATGAATATAATTATTTTGACTCAATCAGACTTATATAAAGTTACCATCCCATGTTACACAACAGGTCCCAAGTGTCCCGAATCGATCTCCTTTGTCGACACGGATGACTTCACATTGGTCCTTTGGTTGGCCCATACGTTGAGAGTACACAGAAGAAGCAAGCGCTGCGGCAAACACAAGTAGTGTTAGGTAGGACATTTTCCTTGTTGTTTTATGACCACAATAAGGATAATGGATGCTTTCGGATGCATATGACAGGTCCTTTTATACCGTTGCTCAATTATTTAATTAATTAATTACGTCTTAATTAAATTATTTATATGCGTGTTTCAATTTGAACTATAAAACTAATTAAATTTAATCATCAACTTGGATTGATTTTTCTACAGGAATTGATTCTTTGCTATAAGTTTTATAGGCATAAAATATCTGTGATATTGATATATAGAGATATAAACTAATATATAGTGGTATATAAATGTTCTCAAATCATCTCATATCCAGTTGTCAACAGAAGATTCGGTAAACAATTTCTGTATCGTTGGATGAAATTAATTTGTTTTTATTGCTCAAATTGACACATATACAAAGAAGCTGTAAATTAAATTATGCATAAACAATTAACCTAATTAATTTAACCATGGTATAAAAGGTAACGCAATTCGAAACCCCACCTATTATCCTGATTGTCGCGTTTAACAATCAGCAAAAATGTCCTACCTAACACTGGTTGTGTTTGCTGTGCTTGCCTGTTCAGTATACTCTCAACGTATGGACCAAAGAATGGATGTTTGTGAAATCATCCGTGTCGATAAAGGAGATCGATTCGGGACAAGGGGAACTTGTTGCGTAACATGGGATGGTAACTTTATATAAATCTGAATTATATTTATTAATTAATTTATTAATTTTATTCAAGACCAAATCGCCGGGGAAGAAAAGGACTATTTACGGGATTACTGGGTGGATTGGGCTTTGGTGCTGGAGTAAGCGGATACCTAAATGACAGCAAAGGTCGCAACATTAAAGGTGGAATTGGAGGAACAGTTGGTTTTGGATTGGGCGGTGGTGGAGATGATGACCCTCCACCACCATCGGTAGTACCTGTACCAGTAGCAGTACCAGGACCAGCAGCTCCAGCATACCCACCTCCGGCATATTCTCCGGGGTATCCTGCTGCGTATCCTCCACCTGGATATTATTAATACACAGAAAATAAAATATTGGTCGACTTCCACTATTCTTTTATTTTACGCCCACCCTCAACTAAATATAATTTTAAGAAATGCCTTGAATATTCAAATGTCCGCAACGCTTTGGCTTATTAATTATTTAAATAAATTAAAAGCAGAAATAAGCAAATGAAGTGGCGTGTTATTTATGTTAAAAAGGTGTTAAAATGAGGAGATTTAAAAAATAGTACAATTTCATGTAACAGGTAAAAAATGGTTTCCTCAAAACTTTTCCTTTTATTGACAATGGCTTCAGTTCAGTGCTAAGAAATAACAGTTTTGGATATAGTTTGTAATTCAGTTTGACATAAGCATTGACCTAAGATGTCGCAAGTGTAATTACGTCATTTTAACATTTTAATATATATTTATAAATCTTATACTACAACTACTTTGAAAACCACAATACACCCTCCAATAATTAATACAAAGCTTAAAATTGCGCTTAAACGACGCAAACACATTCAAAACAATAACGACAAATGCAGATTGCTATGGTACATTTTCATCTTCCCATGCTGTGTAGGAGAAATGCAATTTTTTTTTTCAAATCAAATAATATTGCTTTTTCTCCAAAATTATAATAGTTGTTCGATAATTCTTCGAATCTCTTTAATAAATAAATAGATCTTGTGTGTTTCATAGTTATATATTAGTTATAAACTTCCTCAATATGATGCATCAATATTTTTATTGTAAAATCGTATATTATACTAGCTGCCCTGCCGAACTTCGTCTCGACTATTCTTTCTTGAATATTATCGATATTCTTAAAAGACTTCTTTAGCTATATGTGCCACATCCATTATTATAATTCACCGTTTCTGTTTCAAAATTTATAAATTCAATTTTATAATTATTGTTAAGAAATGACTTTACTTACTCAACCCAGTCGAAAGGTATCGACATCTGTTAGAATCATTTGGAGATAATTGTGACTGTCAAATAATAACAGACAAATAATTAGCAATACATTAAAATTGCGACTATAATTTGAGATTTAAACTATCCTATCTCTCAAGTTGGATCGAACTGCACATGGTGTGCGAATTTTATTATAATCGGTTAAGTGGTTTAGGAGTCCATTGAGGACAAACATTGTGACACGAGATTTATATAATATAAGATGGTGCAAAATATGGGGGAAAAAGAGAGAATTTAATGCTTTAGTTCATTTTATTTTATTTTTTTGCAATGCTTTAGTATGCGTTAACAACATATCTTGATCTATCAGATGCGCCATAAGCACCATAAGCACCAGACACGTATCCATATGGATAAGCTGCTGGAACAGCCGGTACCACTGCTGCTGGACCTGGTACTGCTACTGGTACAGGTACTACCGATGGTGGTGGAGGGTCATCATCTCCACCACCGCCTAGTCCAATACCAATTGTTCCTCCAAGTCCACCCTTAATGTTGCGCCCTTTACTGTCATTTAAGTATCCACTTACTCCAGCACCAAAACCAAGTCCACCCAGTAATCCCGAAAATATTCCTTTCCTTCCGCGGGGGATTTGGTCTTGAATAAAATTAAGACAATGATAAATATAAATCAGAATTATATAAAGTTACCATCCCATGTTACGCAACAGGTCCCAGCTGTGCCGTATCGATCTCCTTTGTCAACACGAATAATTTCACATTGGTCCATAGGTCGTTGTATACGTTGAGATTGTACTGAACAGACAAGCACTGCGGCAAACACAAGTAATGTTAGATAGGACATTCTTCCTGGTAGGTTTATGATAACAAGAAGGATAGTGGGTGCTTTCGTCATATTACAGCACCTTTTATACTATTCCACAATTAATATATAATTGTTACGCGTTAATTTATTTATTGTATTTTGATATGTGTGTCAATCTGAACTATACCTAAAACGAATTAATTCTATTCAACAAATCGGATACGAATTATCGGTCAATCTTACGGTCTCAATTTGTAATCATGGTCAGATGTTTGATGCGTAATATAGGTGTAGTATCAGTGTTTAACAGCGATCTGTACAAGCGGGTTATTCATTTAATTTATATAAAAAAAGGAAAAGTTCAGCTTCTTTCGGGTCTTGTCCAAGTACGGAAAATATTTTGCTATCGATCCTTCTGACTTAACATTCAATAAACATATAACGATATAATGAAGTTTCAGTTTTACAGAAGCTGTTTTCTGTACATAATTCAAAAAAATAATAATTTTGGAGATATGGGGATATAAATTAATATTTGGTGATATAGATGTTTTAAACTTATTTCCAATTGTAAACATATGATTCGGTAAACAATTTCTGTATCGTTGGATGAAATTAATTTGTTTTTATGGTTCAAATTGACACATATACAAAGAAGCAATAAATTAAATTATGCATAAACAATTAACCTACTAATTAAACCAGGGTATAAAAGGTAACGTATTTCGGAACCCCACCCATTACCCTGATTGTGGCGTTAAACAATCAGCTACAATGTCCTACCTAACACTGCTTGTGTTTGCTGTGCTTGCTTCTTTAGTATACTCTCAACGCATGGACCAAAGAATGGATGATTGTGAAATCATCCGAGTCGACAAGGGAGATCGATTCGGGACAAGAGGAACTTGTTGCGTAACATGGGATGGTAACTTTATATAAATCTGAATTACGTTTATTATTACCTTAATTTTATTTAAGACCAAATTGCCGGCGGAAGAAAAGGATTACTTTCTGGATTATTCGGTGGAATGGGCTTTGGTGCTGGAGTAAGCGGATATCTAAATGACAGCAAAGGTCGCAACATTAAAGGTGGAATTGGAGGAACAGTTGGTTTTGGATTGGGCGGTGGTGGAGATGATGATCCTCCAGCACCATCGGTAGTACCTGTACCAGTAGCAGTACCAGGTCCAGCAGCACCTCCAGCGTACCCACCTCCGGCATATCCTCCAGCGTATCCTGCCCCATATCCTCATCCAGGATATTATTAATCCACAGATAATAAAATATAGTCCCACATTAACTATTATTATTATTATTTTATTTTGTTCAGATCATTGACTATAAATAATATCATTTTACGTTTTGAATATTCAAATACCCGGCACCGCTTCGGTATATTAATTTAAATAAAAGTAAAACAATAAGCTATAAATTAAAATTGCGTTGCTTTGAATTTAAGAAGTAATATAAAAGAGCAAACTTTGAGAAATTTGTAGTACAATTCCAACTAACTTTTCGAAAATGTTTTCCGCGAAGCTTTTTGTTTTATTGGTAGTGGTTGCAGTGTGTTATGCAGGAAACTCACATCATTGCCAACAAATAACAGTTTCGAAAGGAGATGCATTTGGTACCCTGGGTACCTGTTGTGTACACTGGGACAATTGTAATATTACTAAATAATTATATATAAACCTATATAGTAGGTATTAATAATATAATATCTATATAGCTGACAGAAGAGTTTTTGGATTCAAAGGAGAAGTTAGCGGTTATGTTGGAGCCCAGAAAAAACCATGGATTCATGGTCACGCCAAAACCGAAGTTGGCGTCAGTTTGGGTTGATGCTCCAAAGCAACCTCTACGTCATAACAGCCTATACTCGAACTTGTTTAAAAGAAACCAAATTGCAAACACTATTAATTGTAAACAAAAAAGTAGTAAATAACAACATTCACAATAAATTGTATTGAGCTGTCGTGCAATATCTAAGTAATTTAGTGAAATCCTCCTACATAATCGTTTTTAATTAATTAATAAAACAATACTTAAATAAATTATAACTTGATACAAATAAAACTGAATATAACTGAGCAATAAAATGTTATTTCATGATTAATATTATCACAATTCTCACTTACAAATAACATATTGCCTTAATAAGTCTAGATTTTGTCTTTTATTTATATAGCTAACAGAAAAGCCAGAGAGGTACTCCAAAGTGCACTTAAACATAACGATAAAAAGAAACCCATGATGGAGCCAAAACGTTAGTAATATTACTAAATAATTATATATAAACCCATATAGTATTTATATTATAACATTTATATAGCTGACAGAAAAACCAGAGAGATACCCCAAAGTGCACTTAAAAATAATGAGAAAAAACGAGGAAGTGGTCCCAAATATTGAAGCCCAAACCGAAGTTGGCAAAACCGAAGTTAACTTGTTTAAAATTAAAATTAATGATAAACAAGAAATATCATAAATAACAACATTCCCAATAAATTGTATTGACCTGTCTTGCAATATCTAAGTAATTCAGTGAAATCCTCCTACGCAATCAAATTTAATTAATTAATGAAACAATGCTTTAATAAATTATAACTTGTTACAATTAAAACTGAATATAATTGAGCCATAAAATAGTATTTCCTGACTGATAATGTCGCAATTCTCACTTACAAAAAACATATTGCTTTAATAAGTCTACATTTTGTCTTTTACATCATGTTTCATGTGTTTACTTTGTTGTTGTTAGCAATTAGCGGACAATCCTTATACGTCGACTATCCATACGGTAAGTATTAAAATATCATAATTTTGTTTTAAACAATATTATATACTATTTTTAGGCTATGAAAATGAAATATATAGGAACTTTCCAAGTTATTACGATAACAATGTGATATGGCGAAGAAATCCATATAATGAAGATCACGGAGATAATGTACTGCTTACTGACGACTTAACTAAGTAGTTGCCTTATTATAATGTGAATAATAATGTGAACATGGATGCAAGTAGAACTGGCAGAAAATATTTCCGAATTGGATTTGAGGGGCCAAATGGCGGATGGGGACTGAATTTTAGAGCAAAATTGGGAGGCACTGAGTTTGGTTTAGGTGTTGGATTAGGTCTTGGTCCAGGTGCTGCAAGATATGCAAATAAAAAATAAAAAATGTTAAATAAATTTCACTCTGAACGTTGTAATAATTTTAAAATTTAATTTCAATGCATCCAGAATGTCCCATAGTAATATTTTCAACATTTTAATCTTTTTATCAGAAACTTAATTTTTAAATCTTCCTTTGAATTTATTTGAAATTATTTTTTAAATTTGGTTGTTTGCGGTTGTTTCCTGTAAAGACACAATAAAACCTCATAGGCATTTATAACCTCAACGTTCAAAATACAAACGTTTGCTCCTTAAGTTTTGAGATGCAATAAAACAAAGTTATATCAAGATGAATAAAGCAGCATCATTGTTAATTATCAACGATTCTAATATCAACACAGGAATTGTTCACAAGGAACACAAAGTAATAAACTCTGGACTTTATTGGCATAAAATATTTGTGAGTATTTTGTATTACTTTCTTATTAACACTATAAATCTTCTAACTCTTGCATTAGGTACAAAATGCAACAAAATACAGCCGAGAGTTTGTCCTCCGGACAATTATGAATGCTGTGCATCCACTTGACTTCATTCCAGTATCTTATGCTATCGAAAATGACTATGCTACATTTATGCTCAAGAATTGTGGACCTTCAATCACCAAAATGTGTTTATTAAATCTTACAATACCTCATCCAGATGAGCAAAAAAAATTACCTCCAGTAAGAAATATTTATATTAGTTAAATTTGTTCATTTTGATGAATTGTTTATGTTTCATTAGTTTAAATTAACAATTAAATTGAACCATGCTGAAGCATCAGAGTTCAAAGTGGAGATTCAAAACAATATCATGAGTGTGCTGCAGAGAAGATACAATACACAATCGAAAGTGCTCAATTTAGAGTATTTTATAAAAGATCCAGAACTTCAGGAGTTTTGTCCTCTCTCACAACCCAAACTGCTTTACTTTGTGCTCTATTTAAGTAAAGATTTTCCATTTCAACAATTGAAATTGAATGGAAATGAATTGGAGACTTTAACATCCATTCAAGCTTTACACAATTCACCAGCTGGTAAAGCATTATCAGTGCTTGATTTAAGGAGGAATAATGTAAGTTATCACCATAATTTATATACTAAATTATGTTTCAAAAATGCTTTGTAGATTTCAAAAGGTGATGAACTTGAAAGTGTAAAGGGATTTAATATCACTGAAATACATCTGAGTAGTAATCCATTAACTCAAAATTTGTCTGAGTGTGACTATGTTAAACTCATAAAAAGTTATTGGCCACAAATAAAGAAAATTGTAAGTGCTTAATATGAATTTGTTTTTAAACATTGTTTTTGATTAAATTTAATATTTTAGGATAATAGGGATGTACCTGAAATTGGCGTGTTAGCAATGAAGAGAAACTATGTATGTGATCCAATGGGTGTGAATTTTGTCGATCATTTTCTTGAACATTATTTCACACTTTACGATTCGCAAAATCGCGAATTGCTTAAAAATATGTACCATAAACATTCACTGTTTTCTATTACGTCGAATTATTTAACTGGTGGTGGTGATGTTTCGTCCAGGTAAATTAATATTTATTTATCTAATAGTAAAATATGAAGAAAACTATTTTTTAGTAGTCGATTATTCGTCTATAAGCAATTTAGCCACAATTTAAAGACATTATCGGACTTGTCTAAAGGCCATGAGTTTATTTTTTATGGTCCTACAAATATTGGTAATTTGTTGAAGATGTTACCGGAGACGGAACATGATCCATGTTCATTTACTGTTGATTTATTACAGTTGTCAGTAAGTTTTTTTTTTCTTTAAAGTGATAATAACTCTTTAAACTTTGAAAATTTTTTAAGGAAAAATCTGCGACAATTGTAATTACAGGTGTTTTTAAAGAACCTGGACAAAGTCTTTTAGAAACAGAATACTTTTATAATTTCACAAGGACTTTTATTCTGGTGTCATCCAACAATTTGGAGTTTACAATTGCTAATGAAATGTTGCACGTGACAAACGCGACGGTAAATCAACAAGCAGCCGCTTTCAAAGTGGTAAAAATTGCACGTTCGGCTAGTACCATCCCCCAAGCAAAAACACAGAGCGAAAAGGCCGAAATGGTTGCCGCATTTGTTGCATTGACGAATTTAGTCCCCAAATGGGCTTTGAAATGTTTAAAGGAAGCTGAATTTAATTTACAAACTGCGTTACTTTTATTTAAAGATCTATTCAAGGCTGATAAATTACCAGCTATTGCTTTCGAGTATGTATACACATTACTTTTATAATTCCATATAATATAGTGACTTTCTGTCGGTAGTTTCAGCAATTTGGAACAAGATATGCCAACTCCTGTTGCGCCACCAGTCTTACAACAACAACGCATTGAAGAGATAAAACCAATGTTACAACCAGTTCAGAAGGTTATTCAGATTAACCCTGTACCTTGTCCGGTTCCACACCAACAAGAACAAATAATAACCCCGATAGTTTCGAAACAAACGCAGAAAAAACAAAAAACCTTGGGTAAAACTCTTACTAACGTACAAATTCTTAAGGACACAATTATACCGAAACAGCAAAAGGCATCTAATAAACCCAAAGCGAATACAAAACCCCTAAACACGCAAGTACAAGAATCAACAGATAAAGCTTTTGAATTAACAGGATCAACTTTCGTCGCGAATAAACCAAGTCAATTAAAAGGTATTACCATAAATTTACAGAAGAATAAACAGATTATGAGTTCCACACAAGCGACTGAAAATAAAGAAAGCATTGATACAAATATCGGTGATTTACGGGTTGGTATAATTCACATGAGAAAATACGTCAACAGAATGATTAAATATTTATTTTATAGATGTATGTAAAAGATGAAATTATTTTAAAAGTACTTGACATGAAACCAGAAACTCCTTTGGATGTAGTCAAGAAGAATTTAGACGAAGCTTGTCAACAAGTACTTAAACAATATACACTGGCGCTGAAGTATTACAAAGCCATCGGGAGAGAATTCTATAGATTTCAGTTGTATTCGGATGGACGGACATTTTTAACTAATGCAATGGCAACCGTTCCAAAGAAAATGGGTAAAAATTGTTTATATAATTATAATTCTGTTATTATTTATAAATCTATTCCTTAGGTGAACAACTTTATTGTGTTTTCACACTGTTTGAAATCCAATATGGCGAGCAAAATGTCGCCGAGAATATGATTCTCATAATCGCTGAGTCATTCGAAATCAATAACGCCGCCATATTTTTAAGTAAAGATTTGCCTCGGACTAATGTCGGATTTGCACGAAAAGTATTCGGCATGATAGCCGCTTCCGACTTGGAAAAAGACAAGAAAGATGTTTTACTTAAAGCGCATATTGAGTTTGAAAAAGTATTCGGCAATGTTGAGACGTTGAAACATGCGCAGAACGTTTATCAAGATTGCTGCGTTGCTGAAAAACCAGTGGCAAAGTTACCGCAGCCTGAAAAAGCACCGGAAATTACTGAGGTTATTAAAACTCCAACGCCAGTTGAACCAGAAGTGATTGTATTGGAAGATGTGAAAGAAGTACCTGTAACAACAACTTCTAAACCAATGTCTACATCTTCACAGAATGACAATGTGATACATATAATAGACGATAGTGAAACTGAAATAACTTTTGATGGCAAGTTGAATAGTAATCGTGATCAAAATCAGTTTGAAAACGTTTTCTTGAATTTTTTTGTAGAATTTAGGACCCGTCTTCTAATGATTGCTGATATAATGCCTCCCAAAGTGATTGACAGTGAAATAGATCAATTTCTTAAGTTGACTGATACTCAAGAGATAGAAAGAATTGGTCATGATCTATTAAGAAAATATTCGACCGATGTTTATGTGGTTCGACTCGTATGCAAACATTGGGCAGACTGTGGAATGCTCACGAAGGTTATTCAAATACTTCACAACATTAAACTGTGTTTCGCTCGTGAGAATGACAACAACGCAAGTAATTAATTGAATATTTTTTACGTTAAAGAACTCTTATTGTTAACTTGTTATTTTTTAGTAAATGCGTTGATATGTTACATGAAAGTGCGTGAATGCATTGAAAGTAAGCGTTTCGTCGAAGCGAAAAGCCAACTTGTGCAAAAACTTATGTTCAGTTCTCATGTAAACATGATTCAAATCATTGAAGATTTAATTCAGGACGCGTGTAGTAAACCGGACGTCGTTGAGTTTTTGCAGTCAATGTTTATACACGTTCTTGGTCCGAAGAAGACAAATATTAAACGGAATAAAATTAAACTCTTCGCTCTACTGTATGTGGGATTTTGCAAACGATTCAATTTACCAGATGGTGATGTGGAATATCAGAAGTACTTCTCGCAATTGAATCATTTTCATCCTGAAGACGTATATTATATTTATTTTATTTTATTTTAAAAATATGTTTAATATGTTTGATTTATGCAGATTGCTGAACTTGACGAGATCAAGGAACGTCGCAGTAAGTATGAGACTACAAAACGGTTGCCTAATGAATTGGTGCGACCGACTAGTGCCCACAAAACTGACACTTTGGTGAATCGAATGGAAGAAATGCGCATGTATTATTATCTTGGTAATTTATCAATGGCGCATAAGATACGAAATATTGCGATACATTTGGACTACTCTGGTAACGTATGTTTCTATATTTGTACTGTCAATTAATGAGATTTTGTGTTGATAGCTTTGGAAAAGAATCGAATGCACTTAGCTGGTGCGTATTATGAAGCATTGTATGGCTCACCGTCAATTGCTATAACGCAAATGAAGAAATGTGCGGATGATTCTATTAATGCGCATTGTATATGGTTGGTGTGTTTACATAAATGCAAAATGGACGAATTGGTGAAGTATGTGGATAAATGTGTATTTATACCTGTGGTTTATTCATTTGTTTTTGTGTTTAGAAAAGAAACCAACAAGTTGTTTGGTCATTTATTCATGATGATCAATCCGTATTCCCAGGAATTGATTTTCAGGTATTATAAGGAACTGATTAAAATGGAATTGGACATTTTTCATCCACGATTTCAAATCAAGTTGAATAATTAAAAGTTTATGATGACTCTCAATTGTATTAATTTTGTTATACTTATCAATATACTAAGTTAAGATTTATGATTGGGTGTTTCTTGCCTTTAATTATGCCTGCATTACAGTTTGCACATCATATGACTTTTAAACGGATTCTATATTCGTTTAAACTTAAATTATATATATGAAGCACATACCTGACAAATGCAAGCAGCCAAATGTGATGGATTGCTCTTGAGGATATTCGAGAGTTGATTGTGTTGATCCTTACCCCATTTCACACGCAAAATCAGGTGCAGTTCGTAATAAGCGACCATAATTGCCAGATTGCCACCCAAATCTTCTGAAAACAAGCAAATCATAATTGCAGAACATTTACTTGGTACATTTATACCATTGTTAGCAAACTCTAATCCTTCTTCCATGCTGGTTGATTCTCGTCGTGACTTGCAATAGTTTAAATGCGAGGTTAGGTTTTGTTGCTAGCGCGCCGAATTAACGGTTTGTAGTTGACCAATAAAAATGCTCGATTCGAATTTTGTTTGTTTGGTTGGTTTATTTTGTGAAAGATGGCAACAGTGTAAACGGTTTTGAAAAATATTTATGAAAACTAACAGTACTTACATTTATTTCTAGTTTTTAATTGAATAACGTGGTCATTGATTTTATTATTAAATTAATTACTTTAAAATTTATTATTAACGTGTTAGGATGCAATTTTTACTGAACATGTTTACTTTGATCACTACCACGACGTCATACTATGACGAAATTCCATTAACTGCAGGCTGAGTTGTATACGTAAATGATGATTGTAAAGATTCGGCCTTGGTTGCCAATTAATTCTTATCTCATCAAGTAAAATGAAAACAACATTCAGCATTTCTACAGCATGCTAGTGACTCGCTGGCCAGTCAGTAGTAAAGCGGCCGTCGTCAATTGCGTACGATTCGTAACGCGCGATTTAATTCCACGCAACAATATCAATCATTTTCCAATGGCTAGCGAAATGCAACAAGTGTGGAAACGCGCAGACTGCGTTTGTTTTGATGTAGACAGCACGGTAATCACCGAAGAAGGAATCGATGAATTGGCAAAGTTCTGCAACAAAGGCACTGAAGTAGCCAATCTGTAAGTACCACAACAAAATGCATAACAACTTTCGCACAGCACTGTGTTATGTAACATGACCTGATAAGGTCATCTTAATAAACCAATGCATAACTAAAGCATTGAAATACAATTCTAGAACGAGCAAAGCAATGTCCGGATCCATGACTTTTCAAGAATCACTAAAACTGCGCCTGGATATTATACAACCAAGTTTACAGCAGTTGAAAGACTTCATTAAAACAAAACCACCAACGTTAACACCAGGAATAAAGAAGTTAGTGGGAACACTTCAAGCTAAAAACATTCCAATTTATTTAATCTCTGGAGGATTCAAGAGCATTATTGCACCAATTGCTCAACAACTCAACATTCCACTTGCAAATATTTATGCCAATAAGTTGAAATTTTTTTATACTGGTGAATATGCAGGTTTTGATGATACACAACCTACGTCCAAAAGTGGAGGTAAAGGTGTAGTGATAAATTTGTTAAAAGACAAGCATAGATATCAAAATCTCGTTCTAATTGGTGATGGTGCTACTGATTTAGAAGCATGTCCACCAGCTGATGGTTTTATAGGTAAATATTTATATAAAACTATGGAATAATGGTTAAATAGGAATTAAAAGCGATTATTTTTGTTAGGATATGGTGGAAATGTGATTCGTGATGCTGTACGCTCGAAAGCCAAATGGTATGTGACTGATTTTAATGAACTTATACAAGTTTTAAGTCTTTGATAACAATTTCAATGATTTAAATAAAGAATTAAGATGAAAATATGTTTTATTGTAATTGTATTGTTGATATTACATAAAACTTTATTTTTATGCGTTTATTTGAGTTTTTGGGATATATTCTAGTAGTTTATTCGGTTCTAATAAAATTTTTGTGGAAATATGATGCCATCTTATATTTTCCTTATATGTATGTTGGGTTGCCTATATAATTCACTAAAACAATTTATTACCACAGTTGTCAGTTACAAGTTCATAGTCTTGCCATCAATAACATCAAATTAATGTAAATATTCCATTCGTATTTCAACAAAACCAAGAAGATAAATTACAAGTAATACAGGGTTTTCCTGACATTCGAAAGAAAAAACCTGGGAGCGGTGGTGGCAACGTACTCATTTGCGGCGGAGGTGGAGGTGGTGGCTGGTGGCGTTCCACACGGCTCGATCGCGCAACGCCAACGGCGGTTAGTTTAGTTTCATTAGTCGCGTCGTCGCGACATAATCCGCCAGTGTTCGCTCTCGTTGAGCACAACCCGCATGTACGCGAGCTCACATCGCGTGAAAATCAACGAAAAACGGCTGATTTGCAGTGCGTCATAGCGAAAATCACAAATACACTGCCCGCGCCGAGTGCAATCGCCGTGCGCACGTCGAAGAAGACGTTCTCGATTCGCCAGCGCGGTGATAGAGCGCACATGCACACGCGGCCGTGTTGTTTACGCTAGCCTCTTCGAAGTGAAAAGAACAAAATGTATCGCATCGTCAAGCAGGCAGCAGATCCGCCAAGTCGATAATACAGCACAACACGGACCGAACCCCAGAGCTGCAACCAGCCGTGTGCATGCATCCCAGATACCAGTTCGTCGCGTGAAAAAAACAGTGAATACCACATAGAAGCAGATTTTTTTATTACCGACAAGACGCAGAGAAGAGAAATAATTTAATTCCAGATAAAGGTTAGTGTACACTATTTTTATACATGTCTATTATGTGTGTTTATGTTTAAAAGCGACTTAACTAGTTCACGATTCAGTGATTAGCGATTATGAGCCATTAGCATTATTAGAAACCAGATTGAAATGGGGTTGCGATGCATGACATGCGATCCATTACGCGTTAATTGATTTCTAATTGTGTGCGCATCAATAAAATTATTCGGCTTTTTTCTGCGTCGCCTCACGCATGATTAATATTTACCTGGAAATGTGTTGATTAAAACTCTCGCTTTCTCGTCGTCGGGGAAGTTGGCGAATAAACATTAACTAAATGCATTCAATGGGCATTGTATCGATTCAACAAAACGCACAACGCGTCGCCAAACAAACTGTGATTCAACTAGGTTCAATGTCTGTTTGCGTTGACGGACGGACGCGTTCAGTGGGCGAAACTATTTCGCATTGTCAGGAATTTATTAGATTATTAAAAGTCTCGCGGTTTAATTGTAACTATATGATTATTCTGTTTTGTGTGGTGAAATTGTTTCTTTTCATTTGAGTCACAAAAGAGTGACTAAATTAAGAGAACAAGGACTTCTTAATTTATCTTCTCAGGAGACTATTAATAATCTCTGTGATGCTATGATTTCCGTTTGCAGGTTCCTTGTTTTTTTTTTTTGCGGTTTGTTTTCGAGGATTCATTGAGGTTTGCACACGGGAGTAAAAAATGGTTTGAGTGATTTTTATCTTGTTCGTGGTAAAGCAATTTTAAGCTTCCATTCTTTCATCAATCATGGTTGATTTTTTTCGGGTTTATTTAATCTGGCGATAAGTTGTTTTTTCATTCTTCCAAATTGGCATTGAATGGATTTAAAAAAACAAACATGAATTGAAGTGCACCATGTTGCAAAATGTTCTGTTTAATTATTTTTTTGAGACAATTTTAGCAGAAATTTTGTGGTTCTATTCTTGAAGGTAATGAAAAATGCAGTACAATAGCGTTTGAGTTGCAATTCAGTTATTATTGCTTATAAAAATTGATTTTAATAGTAATAAACGTCAAGTATTACTATTAATAGTATTAATACTTTACTTCAAGATTTCCAGTAAATCCTATCGAAATTTTCAATCAATTTGGACTTTACATTGCAATAATAACTTTTTTTTTTTCGATTTTTCTTCGGAAAAAATTTCAACCACGCTTTTTATAATTATTTGCCGAATATTGTTGTCCAAGTTTGTGAAAAATGTCTTACTAAAACAATTTACCACAAAATAACTTAACAAATTCAAAATAATATTCAAAAATATGTTTTATAATTAAAATAATAATTTTATCTCAAATTATGTCTTAAAACTAATTTAAATCTCATGGAAATGCAGCTTTTCAACTTTTTAACACAAACAACATCGAAAAGAAACAAATATTTGGTGCTAAACGATGTGAGACGAATCGAATAAACATTTAATATGCTTTCTTCAAAGCCGTAATTATTTCGTCGCTTCATTCGTTTCGCCGGTTTTTATTCCATTGTGGCGCATATTGAAGTACCTTGCATTACCTATTCGTATTTTATTTGCACCTACTTAGTAGCGTTAATTGCAATTTTTACAAGCGTTTATTTCTGTGGCGATAGGCGAATAAACACAACAATGAAACGCTTTAATTGCTTCGGCTTGCTCATTGACTGTTGTTTAGATTACTTAATTTGAAACATCTATTGCATAAGCCAGCATTGGCCACGGTTTCTTTTCGAGAGCGCAAGGTAATCACGACGTAACCACGTTTTCGGCGGCGTAATATTTTCGACATTTACGTGTTTTGTCCGTTGCATTTTTAAAACGCGCTCGAAAATATACCACAGCCACTTGCTGTTTCTAATATTTGGCAGCGATAACTCATACCAGTATGTAAGTCATACTCATTGATGATGTTAAATGTTATAGTTTTGGGTTTTACTGATGTGCGGTGAACGCATAAACGTTAAAATTCCATGTAAATTGGTCATTATTTATGTCCGATGGTCGTTTACGAGCGCGGCGATTAAATTATGGGCGTTATTATTATTCATTGGTAAAATGTTAATGTTGCTTGAATAGCTAATCGTTTTTCGGCGCTGCTTGCGCTGTTTGTGTTGATCTTGTTTACTATAAAGTCTTCTTTTGTCATCCTTGAAATTTAAGTTTTGCCGCTTGCGTGCATATTAATTATGTGAGGAGTAACGTAATGTGCTCTTGATTTTTGATGTTTTTGTTATTGAAATTTTAAAGTTTCGTAATAATCAATTTTCTGTGGTTAAAGTAGAAGTTATTTTCGATTGTTTTGTATCAAAACATTGATATAATCATAGGTTTGTGTTTGAAATATGATTTCTGGGAAGTTTAGGAGGAAGTGGACGAAATTTGCTATTAATTGTTTAAATAATTATTGGTTTTTTCTTTAATTTTGGAATTTAAAGCATTTTTTATTGGTAAAACCTATTATTTTAGTTATTTAGCAAAATTTGGGAGAGAGATGAGCCTGGAAACATGCTACCCACAAAAGGTGGTGGGGGTTGAGTAAAATCACAAGTCTCCAGGTTCCTCTCTGTCAATAAAAGAAAATTTTCACTTTGAAGCAAAATAATGTTGCGTTATGTTAGCATACATAATGCATTTCAGACTACAATTTCGTTATCAAAAGTTTAACGTTACACACTTAATAAACAGTTGATAAATGACTTGGATTACATTGTGAAAGCCATGCATATGACAATATAGGATTACTATTTGAATTACCCCTATATACAAATGACATCAATGAATCTTAAACTCTTATTTTCCATTGCAATCGATACAACCACAAACATCAACTCTTTTTACGTTGCGTAAAATAATATAGTTATATCCTATGCATAATTATGATGCACATGATTTATTTGTCAACATAATTAATACAATAACATGATGAAGATATTATGTGACAAGAGACAATTGAAAACACAAGGTAAACCAGGCGCGAACCAACTAAAACACACCTGCGATTACAAAAAGAAGTCTTGCATAGAAAAACAAACACAAAAATACCACCGACGTAAATCGTGTGTGTGGTTTTGCCGAGGAAAAGGTGAACAAAAGCTATGCGGTGTGGCACACGGCACCACGAATAGCTGCTTCCCAGCGCAGCACACTGGTGTCGTGTTGTGTTGCTAACTTCCCGCGATTGCAACCACACGACACCACACCGCAAGTATCTACGACCTCCGGGTATGCTGTTGATTTTTTCTAGCAACAGACAAACAAAATTTACGCGAATTATTATGCGTAAACCTCTCGCATTTATTCAATTTCATCACATGGAAAGCATTACAATTTACTATCACTGATTAATTAATTAATGTATGTGTAAATAATATAAATGCAAGACAAATATGATGAATTTGATGTGAATTGAGGATTAACACATGCATTGTGTAATCGAGACGTAGACGTTTGAGAATATAATTTCTGCACACGGCACGGCGCGCTGATTGCAAATGATATTTATGTTAGCGACGTGTTTGTGTATCGATTTCTCATTTCTCATATTCGTTTTGCATTTTACACTGTGTGTTAAATGTGGGCAAATAAGCAAATATTATTCGAATATTACGAATGCGGAATCTGGTGTGGCGCGACGGCGTCGTCAGTGTGTCTCATAGCTTCCGCACGTGTTTACATTTCATGCGCGGCGATTATTCTTTGCACACGCTTCCACAGTGGTGAATTAATTAATTGCCAAACAGCGTCGTGCGGAAAATAAAAACAACCGCCGCGCACAACTTCAATACACGACGTCAATATGAACACACAAAGTTAACAAGTGAGCTTTCAGTTTAATTAATGTATGAAGGGTTGCTGATGTGGTAAAAGAAGATGGTGGCCGGTGACGACATTGACACAATTGGTTGCATATGTACTTCTCTTGACCATCGCACGGAATTCACTTGTGCGTTTCTGGTTAATGTTTATTGTGTCTAGTTTATTAATTTAATTTCATCGCTGATGTAAGAATAGGAATGCATTCGTGAGGGACGGCCTTGCCATGGTCGAATTTGTAATTATCGCACGATGAACTTGAACTAGATTCGTGTGAGGCACGTCGATGGCCAGGGTAGCGGTTATTGTTGAAATGTTTTGCGAACGCCGGGCGCATCTGATATTGTAATCGTATGTATTGCATAAAATTAGCTGAACTTTCATCGTGCACGATTACGATTCGCTATAACTATGTGTATGAATCACTTTTACTATGAATTTTGTGCGGTTGACTACATTGTTGCTAAACGCATGGATGGCAGTATCTAGTATTCCATTTATATATTTTGCCATTATATAATGGTGACAATAGTGCATTGATTTTTATCTATCCAGACTGGTGCGTGATAATCGCTGATATGATTATTGTAAAAAATCAATAATTCCGTAAGTGATTATTTACTTAAGGCACTTGCTCGGAATGTATACGCACTCGAAGGTTAATTGGGTTAAAAATATTATGATAAGTACATTTATTGGTATTATACTATACTAAGAAATGTTGGAACTAACCTCAATTATCGAAATTCTACTGAAATGTAACTTAAATAGGTAGAAGATAACAATGCTGGCTTAAATGGCTTTATTTGCTGTCAATTGTCAAATTGTTTCGTCAACATTTATTCGTTTTGTTATCTTAATAAGTGGGTAATAAAATTTTGCAAACGCAAATTTTCAAAAATGATTGTCATGAATAAAAGAAAATCTATTGTCAACTCACATGATTATTTTATGGTTGTTGTTTGAAGAAATGTTTTTGCAACTTTTTTGATTATTCGAACCGTAAAACTGCATTGTTTGTAAATTTAGTAAAGTATAAGTGCAAAACACAATATTTAGCAGGGACACAACAGTTAGTAACTAAATTTACATTTTTGTTGCACTTATAATACTATTTTATTGACAAAACAATAATTATTTTACAAAATAATGAACATGCATCTTAAAAAAACAGTTTACTTACGGATTCAATGTTTAATTCAATTGTCTAGTCATTAAAAAGGTTAAAAAAAAGCTAAACTCCTGCGTGCTCAGTCATTTACCGATTTAATTATTCATATGGATCAGTTGTTTGTGAATATTTAAGCGTAATGTGTTTATCCTGTGAATATTTTACGAATATTTGCATTTTTTAAATAAGAATGAAACTTAATTTTGGAAATATAACTGGTATTGTGTTTTTTATAGTTATTTTTAGCAGAAAAATGTAAATTATTTTCTGTTGGTGTTTGCCTGCTTGGATTCTTGCAAAAAAAAGCAAGAAAATTATTATTAAGAAGCGGAGGACATGTAGGCAAATGATAAAGTTGCGAAAGTAAGTTAAGTTGTTCGGGCAGTTTTTGCCGCCGACGACACGAGAATATTTGCCAACCAGCGGCGACGCGGCGTGAATTTTAAGCGCGTTTACGTGTTTTATTTTATTTTGATTTAAAATGCAATCCGCCGAGTCAACTGATTTCCTTCTTGTGATTGGAATTGGAATGCGTTTAATTTTTTCTTTCACTTGCGTCATTTCAAGGAGATAACGTGTGTGTTTATTCATGTTTCTTATCTATGCAGGTACAAGTGCATTTAAATGATTATTGTGCTGATTTTTCGCTTTGTTTTGTTTCAGATTACGAATAGAACGGAATAATGGGCAAATTCGGTAAAAAATGTCGCTTGCTGTCGATGCTATGGCTGACGACGATGTTCTTCTTCGTCGAGATTGTTGTCGGATACGTTACCAACTCGATGGCGTTGGTTGCCGACAGTTTTCACATGCTCAGTGATGTGTTAGCCTTAGTGATAGCGTATATGTCTGTTAAGGTATGTTTATAATTAATATTTTTATTGATTTTATTGTGTTTTTGTTAATTTTTTGTTTGTTTTGTAGATGTCGCCAAAGAAATGGTCCAAAAATACGTTTGGCTGGGCGCGCGCAGAAGTCCTGGGCGCACTGGTCAACGCCGTCTTTCTTGCGGCCTTGTGCTTATCCATTTTGATGGAGGCCATCAAGCGGTTCATCGAAATCGAGCCGATTCATGATCCACAACTGTTGGTGATTGTCGGTGTCATCGGTTTGGTTATTAATCTTATAGGATTAGCACTTTTCCATGGTGAGAATATTTTTTCCTTCTGATTCTTTAAATGAAAACATAAATAAAATTATTTTTTTCTCAGAACATGGTTCTGCGCATGGTCATAGTCATGGCGGCCATGGGCATTCACACGGTGGTCGTCTAAAGACTAGTCGTAATCGCCTCACACAATTGGCGGTTACCGATGATAACGAGAACGATGAGACCTATCCGAGCCCACCGCCACAGCCTAGACACGGCGATGACAATCATTCACACGCGCCACCTCCGTCTGCCACTCAGATGAATATGCGCGGTGTTTTCCTTCATGTACTTTCCGACGCGCTTGGTTCCGTTATTGTTATTATCTCGGCGGTCATTTTCTGGAAGACTGACTGGGTGTTTAAGTATTACATTGATCCGGCGCTCAGTGTCCTGCTTGTTATGTTGATTCTGCACTCGGTGTGGCCTTTGCTGCGTGACTCTGGGCTGATTCTTCTGCAGACTGTGCCTACACATATACAAGTTGATGCTATTAAGGGCCGTCTGTTGGCTAAAGTCGATGGAGTTTTGGCTGTGCACGAATTTCACGTTTGGCAGCTGGCCGGTGATAAAATTATTGCTTCCGCACACATTAGGTATAAAAATATTAACTTATATTTAATTATCTGTGTGTTTATTAATGATTTTATTGTTTTAGATGTAGAAATTTATCGGAATATATGCGAATCGCCGAAAAGGTGAAGGAATTCTTCCATAACGAAGGCATTCACTCGACAACCATTCAACCGGAATTTATCGACATTGATGATGCCAACACTGATAGCGGCGAGGAGCGTGAAACACCCGACAACTGCGTGCTCGACTGCCCGAAAACTGCCAGCAATGACAACTGCATTTTCAACACGTGCTGCGGACCTCCACGCGATGAGGTAATTATTGCCACAAACCTATCCCAATTCCTGCAACATCCCGTTTGATCCTTTCAGTAAACAAGCACCACGTCCACGATTTTGTTTGTTCCGAAATTAAACGTAATGGTTGTGATTGTATTCGTTAGGGTCGGGGCTCACCTTCGCTGGAAGACAACGAAACGTACACCTGCCGGCAGCGCACCAGCACCGCGACGTTAAACTCGCGCAATCAGGAGGTGAACGACATGGAGAATGGTTCACTGCTTAGCATTGGTAGCAAATTTTCATCGGCGCGCGGCAAATGCGGCGGTGATTGCGCGTGTGATCCAAAGTGTTCGCAAATCAGCATCGGGCACGAACTATGTGATTGACAATGGATATAATAGCAGATATATATTCGCAAATCTTAACGATAACTTCTAATTATTATTATTATTACTATCAACTACGGTTTTTTTAAACATTTACGATTAGGATGAGTGACTTTTTAAACAGCGTTCATGTACGAAACACTTGAACACGGATCACATTCACGCACTGCACCCCGTTTTTCGTGAAGGTGTGACGCACTCACATTGTGATTTTAACGTACATATTGTCCAGGCCCAGAGTATTTTTCTAATTTAATGATAGCTTCGCTTGTGCCCGATTCTAGTCTACGAAATACTTGTTTTAAACAAACATTGTTTACACTTCACAATCTGCGCGAGATTATTACGGATCATTTTAAATGAGATTTGTGGCATTTTGTATTAATTGAAAAACATTTATTATTACTTCATATATAATTTAAAAACGACTTACACCGGAGTTGCGATGAGTGGCGAAGCTGAATTTATGTTATTATTTTATTATCGACGAACATTTCTTCCATGTGTGAATATTGAACATGATACGTGATTGTACAGTCAGATTAATTTTTACAATTTCAAGTATAAATTAAGAATTTATTTTATATGTTTTGTAATTCATTGAAGATGAATGTGTGTGAGTTTATTCCAGGTAATCGTTTCGTGGAATACGCGCTGATACGAAACTTCCAAAGAATTTATACGTGAAATTTTTGATATCTGAAGGTCTCAGTAGTAATATTTGATTTACGTAATCTGCCATTAAGATTCGTAGCTCTGGATGATCAACATCATACGTTTTAACTTCCAACAGTGCTTTATCCTGGAAAATAACAGATTATATTTTTTCAAAAGAATTTGTACAAAGAAAGTATACTTTCATGTCTAAATAACTGGAAAGTATTTGCAAATCTTCCAGCCAACACGCATCCAGATTTAAGTCATCCAAACAACTCGGTTTTGAGTCTTTTATAACTTGTTTTGGATTTATTGTGAAGACATAATCACAATCATCCCATTCGTGTTTCAATATCAGTCCTAGAATGAATTGTTTTATCCTTGAATACCGCCAGGGATAAAGTAAATAAATTTTATTACCATGTAATGTGAGAACCGTCAAACTTTTGTGCACCAATCCACATTCTTCAATGATTATTCGCTTTATGCGACAACAATCGATTCTTCTGTTATTGAACATATCTGATTCTGGACCAAAACATTCCTTCAAAAGCATTATTAACTTATTGTTTAAAAACAAAGTAAATGATTAGCTTACATAAATATTTCTACACATGTCACCGTTAATGTAACAGCAGGATAGTTCAAAATTACCAAAATATCTCCTGATAGCCAGATAACGCATCAGAACAAAGTTAGCATTCTCCGAAACGTAGCCCTGCATTTTCTTCATGCTATACAGTTTTCTGTCATCTACCGAATTAGCGAATGCAGTGTGTTTTACATAATAATAGTTCTTTTTCATTGCGGTGTATAACGATTTCTCGTTTATATTCTGTTCATTTCCTCCTCAACTATAAATCTTCAACAAAAAGGTAAAACATACCCATATATCGCAGTTTCTAAGTAAATTCTACTTACTCTTTGCGTAGTTCTTCAATTGTATGACAATTTCTATCAACCCATGATGTGATTGAAGATCCGCCATTGGAACCATCAACATCCAAATGTGAGCTGGTATGAACTACAAATTTAGAATAACCATACTCGTTTTGTACACTTAAACTATCTTCAGACGTTTGTGGTGTATTAGCTTCTGTAGTCATATGAATATTAACCCCTTCAGCATCTAACAATTTCAACAGCTTTTCTTCATACTCTTCCAAGAGTCTTACTTGTGGTTGTTTTCCCTCTGCTTTTTGTATATCAATACAAATACCACCGACGGGATTTGTAGTGAATGCCATCGTACCTTCCTTGTCCAAACCACCTTCCAACTTGTTGATGATTAAACATTCACGGAAAGTAATCGCATCGTATATCTTATCATCTGAAACAAAGTTTTTCATTCAAAATGGCCGCGTTTACTTCAAAAACAATTATGCATACCAATATCAAAGTTCGGAATGAACTCAGCTAACTTAAACAAATCATATTGATGGTGTGCATGGCATTTAGCATCATATAATGCTTGTGAATCATCTTCGTACTGAAGAACAATAGGTGTAATCTCTTCTTCATATGTGTCAATGGAACTGATGGATTGTTCATGGACCTGCAGGTCTACATAGTTTTTAAAAACGTTTTGCAACACATCTTCTGATAAACTATCGACAATTTCCGCGGGATCAGATGGAATTGATTCGGTAGTTGATTCTGACGATACAGTTTCAATGAGAGTTCGCATTAGAGAAGCACTATCATCGTCATATTGGGACTTATCATCTTGCTCGGCCATTATGAAATTCTAAATACGCAAATAAATTTATTTTGATTTCTATAAACTGACAAACACGACAGCATTTTTAATGACTGCTCTCATAGCCATAAATAAATATCAATACAGTAGCTATGATACAAAATAAAATAAATACATATAATAAAACGGAATGTAAATCAAGCAATATTATTTACGGTATTCATCACAATTTGCGTTTTTTCAATAACACTTTGAATAAATGGCCTCTCAGCCGGATTTGTATTCAACATATAAATGATTAAATCATGCACATGATCTGGATATTTACTCTCCTCGGGGAAGTGCACCCCTCCGGAGAGGACAGCCAAAGCGACGGAATCACCACGCATGTAAACCAAATCGAACGGCGACATAAAATAACACAATGCGTACAAAATGCATCCTAAGCTCCAGATATCAGTTCGTTCATCAATTACACAATAACTATCGACGTTAAATAATTCTGGAGCACGATATGGCGCCGAAGAATTTTCCGCTGCTTCGTCTTGTAGTTTTTGCGCATCTTGGGATCCGCAGACTTGAATGCGCGCCTCCACCATTGATCCTAAATCGATTACAACCGGTGTGAAGTTATCGGTGAAACATATATTGGCAGTCTTGAGATCTCGATGTGCCAGAGGTTGGGGCTTCATCTCGTGAAGGTATTGAACCGCATCGCAAACGCTGGAGAATATTCGGAATATTTCTGTCACATCCATGTGGTGCTTTTCTATGGCGCGTGATTGTAAATTATCGTGCAGAGTTCCTCTAGGATAATATGGTAATACCAAAAATGCTTCTGATGTAGTATTCACTACAATATCTGCTGATCCTATAAATAAAACAATAAATCAATCAAAAATAAGTTTTTTACTGAGAGAAGTAATTTAATGTATTAAACTTACCCTTAAAATAAGAATCATGTAGTTCCATTATATTTGCATGTCTTATTTTCTTTAAATAGTCAATTTCTCTCTGAACTTTCTGCTGATCAGCAATGCTATGACAAGTCATTCTCTTCATGGCATAGATTTTTTTATTATTCTTACACTCAACTAAGTCCACAGTGCTGAATCCACTGCAATATATTGGGTTAAAATTTAAATATGAATTACATTATCTTTAATTACCCATCTCCTAGTCGTTCCAATACAGAGTACTTAATTCCATTAATATTAATTGTTTCCCTGGTGCATATACACCCCATTTTCATGATCATAGTCAACCCCAAGGCATTCATCTTTAGTGTATGTGATGATAATTAATAATTATTTGTTTTTAATGATTTAAAGTTTTCCTCTGCAGTATAAAAACAACGGAAATACGATGCAAACCACGTAAACCACTAAACAACTAACCACGTAAACAAACAAACAGATGTTCTCGATCTGACTTTAGACGGATCATCTGGAAGAAACAACTGATAACCTGAGACGTTTGGTGAACGTCAACAATGCTTCATGATATGTCAGCATCCTTGAATCCGATTGGTCGTGGGTAATGTTTTATTCCGTGTTACACTGTTGCCAGTTTTAGTTACTGGATGACACAAGCGTTGTCAAGCTATCAGTGCGAAGAATAGGTCTATTCTCATTTATGCTATTCTTGCTCTTCACAACGCATGTTAACTTCATAACTGGAAAGTAACCATCGTAGCAATATACCTGTGCTCTTGTATACCAAACAATTCACCAAATTCACTAAAATGATATCCAAGGCAGATAAAGCTCAGATAAATTATGATATAAATGAATTAAAGTTGGTGACAGTATCACTAAGAAGCAAAGCTTATTTAGATGAGGATGTGAGGGAAGTGGAGCTGAAAAGAAACATTAAAGCTTCTGAAGATTTCACTAAATTTGCACAAGAAACAGGTAAATAAAATTATCTTCTGTGACATATCATTGCAATGATTCTATTTGTTGAAATACCAAATTTCTGATATTATTACTTGTTTAAAGTGAAAATAAAGTGAATTATATGAAGAAGATATGAAGATAATGAAGAAAATATCAGGTGAAAATGTTTTACATCAAGTCATGCATGATTTTATTTGTTTTGATTTTCAGAATATGATTTAATATTGTATTAATGCAAGTGATTCATATTGTCAATGTTTATGCAGTGAAGTAATAGAAAAAACTAGGAGTTATAACAGTTTAACACAGCAGTAATTCCGTAAGTATAGAAAGTGAACAAATATTGATTACAATATAAAAATTAAGTTGCATTTGTAATCCATTAATTGGTTTTATTATTAAATCTAATTCATTGGTGTGTGCAGATCAAATATTTGGAAAACTACTGCTACATGGTGATGTGAAATCAAATATGATTACACTTGATGAAGATGCATATATGGTACAGGGAAAATGTTCAGAGCAATATGTAAATACAAGAAATAAAAACGAAAATGAAACAAGAACAGTCAGGTAATAACTTTGAAAAATTAAAGAATCAACACTATATTGAAGAATATATCTAGCTTCGTAGAAAATGCGTCCCCAAGACGGCCAAACATTGTAGAAGATCGTGACGTCTATTTCTCTCAGGATCATCAATATTGCATGACATCTCCACACAACAACATCAATAATTTGGAACAAGCAATAGAAACAAGGCAATTCCCTACTGATAATCATGTAAGGCAAATTGAATAGACACTTATTATTATTGTTTTTATTATTAACATAATTGTTTTCCAGATTCGAAGATGAATAGAAAACATTTAAATGTTTTTTAACTGTGAAAGTGTGTTATTCGTAAAAACATTTGTGTAGAAGAATTGCGTTTAGTATTGCAATAACACATTACTATGTGTATTTTATGATGTAGACAAAATTGATTGACCTTATTTATTCTATAATAAACAGTGTAAAGTTCATATAGACGTGAAATTAGTTTATTTGTTACTGTTTTCCTGCATTTGAATTTTGTTTTCAGATTTGTAGTCAGACAATGTGTATAGTGGTTGTATAGTATATGTGGTTGCAGCTTTTAATTCGTTCCATGTTACTCCGTATGATGGCGCTTAGGCATCACCATCTTACAGGTATGCAGTTTTACCCCGCTGCTTACCGGCCACGTGATATCTTCCACTACTTCGTTTCGTCTATGCAACAACAACAACAACAACATGCACCTTTTAAATCTTCATCTGAAATAGAAATTAACACCTAATCACTGTAAGTAGCCTTAGAAGTGAATTGTTTTGGATATAAAATACATTTTAACATTTCAGAAACTGTATTCATATGTTTACAAGTTAGTGTAAACACTAAACAGGGGTTAGGAGTTTTATTAACTTTAAAACAGTGATGCCCAAGATGCCTAAGCAAATTACAGTTAAACGTAAATACGATCCAATCGAATTAAAATCGGTGCATGTTAGGCGCAAGAACAGGTTCGCTTCTCTAGATGTTTCTACATTAGATATTGACCTGAACAGAGATATTAAACAATCCCTTGCAGTCTCTATGTTGGTACAAAAATCAGGTAAATATTTTCCAGATTCGAAGATGAATAGAAAACATTTAAATGTTTTTAACTGTGAAAGTGTGTTATTCGTAAAAACATTTGTGTAGAAGAATTGCGTTTAGTATTGCAATAACACATTACTATGTGTATTTTATGATGTAGACAAAATTGATTGACCTTATTTATTCTATAATAAACAGTGTAAAGTTCATATAGACGTGAAATTAGTTTATTTGTTACTGTTTTCCTGCATTTGAATTTTGTTTTCAGATTTGTAGTCAGACAATGTGTATAGTGGTTGTATAGTATATGTGGTTGCAGCTTTTAATTCGTTCCATGTTACTCCGTATGATGGCGCTTAGGCATCACCATCTTACAGGTATGCAGTTTTACCCCGCTGCTTACCGGCCACGTGATATCTTCCACTACTTCGTAACAACAACAACAACAATAACATGCATCTTTGAAATCTTCGCCTGAAATAGAAATGAACACCTAATCTCTGTAAGTAGCGTCAGAAGTGAATTGGTTTTGATATAAAATACATTTTAACATTTCAGAAACTGTATTCATAGAAGTTACATATGTTTACAAGCTAGTGTAAACACTCCATAGGGGTTAAGTTAACTTTTTATTAACTGTAAAACAGTGATGCCCAAGATGCCTAAGCAAATTACAGTTAAACGTAAATACGATCCAATCGAATTAAAATCTGTGCATGTTAGGCGCAAGAACAGGTTCGCTTCTCTAGATGTTTCTACATTAGATATTGACCTGAACAGAGATATTAAACAATCCCTTGCAGTCTCTATGTTGGTACAAAAATCAGGTAAATATTAATTTCTGATGATAAAGATTTAATTATTTAATTGTTGTTTGAAAACGTATTTATTGATGCCATTTTTAACTGTTTAAAGTGAACACAAAGTGAAATATTGAGGAGATGATGCAGAGTGAATACCACCAACTATAGTATTCTTCTTCAAGTTAGTGTCATGCATGTTTTTATTTCTTAAATTATGGAGCATTGTTTATTTGTTTGTCTTCCTAATGTAATGTTTGTTTATTTATTCATGCATTTAAATTGAATAAATAAATTTTGTTAACTTGAAGAAGACACAGGAAACCAGTAAGTATAGATACAATATATTTAATGTAAACCGGACTTATTTTCGGAAGAAAGTGATTATAATCATGCGGATTTGTGTTTCGTTACTGAAACACAACATTTAAACCTTTATTATTCCAGCTGGCAAATATTCGCCACTTGAATCACTTATTTTATTGATTTATTTAGGCAAATTACATGGGCAACTACTTAAAAATGATAATAATGTCATTGCCAATGGGATAGAACTTGAAGAAGATGCATACCAAACCGAAGAGATGAGCGAAGTTAAAAAGGAACTCAGTTTTAGCAGGTTGTTATTTAATCAAAGTCAATGTTTCAGTGTGTATTAAAGTATCTGTTAATGATATAGCTCACTGGAGATGACCGATGAGGAACGATCCACACCTAACAGTAGTGGGAATGGCTTGGAGGAACGCGAGGTGATGTTGGCTGAAACTGAAAAACCTAGGGAAGATAACAAATATTTTATTCTGCATTCTTCTGATGAAAACCGGCCTGAGTTTGACCATGACTATTATTTAGAAGTTGTAGAACCACCTCCAAGTAAACAGCCTTCAGCAGGTTCATCATTTTCTAAGTTTACGAACAACAATGCTAGAGATATGCAATAATTATTGTTATTTAATTTATTAATAAACTTTTTATACAGTAGATAATGAGATATTGTAAGTAATTTTATTTTTAGCAAAACGAATTCCGAAGGGTTGAAAGGATGCAAAGAGTAAAACGTATGATCAGTACGCAGATACTCAAAAACGTTGTATTTAGATAAAGTTCGGGGTGTTTTTAAATTATTTGCATGAATTTGTTTTCGCTCCACTACCACTGCACGCTTGTATAACCTAACTTATTAATACTAATGCGTACAACAGTAAAGAAGTTAAGTTTAAATTTTCTTCGTTCTTTCATCTTATTTATTGGAATATTTTTATCATGGATGAAGCAAAACATGATACTGAAGAAACTTCTACAATTTGTGTGATTGTTCTGGGGATGGCTGGTTCTGGCAAAACTTCACTAGTTACTAAAATGTTGGGCTCAACTCAAAACCAATATGCTGTGAATTTGGACCCAGCATGTGCTAATTTACCATTTTTTGCCAATATAGGTACATCTTATAAAGGCATAAATCATATATGCTTTAATACTATATTTCTGTTCTTGCTTTGCAGACATTCGAGATACAGTCAAATACAAGGAAGTAATGAAACAATACAAGTTGGGTCCCAATGGTGCAATTGTGACTTCTTTGAATCTCTTTGCAACAAAATTTCCATCAGTTTTACAATATATTAATAGTGCCAAACAGGAATTTTGTATACTTGATACACCAGGACAACTTGAAGTCTTCACCTGGAGTGTATCTGGTTCTATAATCACAGAAAGCTTAGCTTCATCTTTTCCCACTGTTATTTTATATGTTATTGATTCTGTAAGAAGCACTTCACCAGTCACCTTTATGTCAAATATGTTATATGCATGTTCAATACTGTATAAAACTCAATTACCATTCATAGTTGTCATCAACAAAATTGATATTGTTGATCATAAATATGCACTTGACTGGATGACTAATTTTGAAGTATTTCATGAAGCCCTTGAAGCACAAGAAAGTAGTTATATTAGTAACTTAACTCAGTCTATGGCACTAACATTGGATGAATTCTATGCCAATTTGAAAGTTTGTGGTGTGTCTGCTGCAACAGGAGAAGGTTTTGACAAACTTTACACTTTGATCAGGGAAGCCAAGGAAGAATTTAACAGGTATGTAAATATAAAATTGTTGCAAAACAATATTAGTAATGCATTTTTAGGGATTACAAACCTGAGTGGAACAAAAGGAGGCAAGAACAAGAAGAGAAAAAGAACGCTAAGCCTGGAACTACAAAAGATGCTTCCGTTATGGAAGTTAGCGGAGGCAGGGAAATATCCGACGTATTTTTAAGACCAGCACTTGATGATGAGAGTAGTTCTGATTCAGAAGGTGAAGAAATTGACTCAAAAGGTGAAGATTCGCATTAATTTAAGTTTATATACAAAGTAAATTTTATTATTTTAAATCATTAGAAATGGATGATCAAGAGGAGGTTAAATCTTTCCAAAAGGTTCTTCAGCAACAAAAGGAAATGCAAATCAAGAGAATGCAAGCCAGAGACCAAGCGGCAAAAAAATCTTAAATAATGTATTGTAATAATAATAATAATATTTACTGGCATATCTTTTTATAAAACTTATAAACTCATTCTTTCCATAAAATCTATAATACTGTTTTCACGTGTAAACGTTACAAATATTCAATAATATTAATGTGCCAAGGTACACAACGCCCAAGACAACGGCAACTTTGGTAATTTTTCGTTCAAACGGGTGTTCCTTGATATTCTTAAGCACTAGGAAACCAAAAAGCAGCCCGGTAATAGCTCCGGAGATGTGTGCTGGAAGACTCGTCATTCCAGGCGTCATAACACATTGCCATATAATAAACAAAATCACAGGAACTAGAGACACCATTGGACAAGACTGCTCGGCCCAATTCTATTTGAAATTATAAACAATTAAATCTAGCGCTTTAGAAGAAAACTTTTCATAATAATTACCAGAAAAACGTCGGAAACCCACGCCAATATCAACGCAGATGCACCGGCGCTAGCACCCACCAGGGTTGATGCGTGATTCGTAAATGAATGCAGTAAACTACCAGATAAAACTCCAATAAAATACAATAAAGCAACTCTTGGCCCATGCACTGGTTCCAGCGCAGTGCCAAAAATTAACTGGAAGACAGAATTGCCAATAAGATGCATCCAGCTGTAAAAAATAAATGATTATAAGCATTTTTTCAGCAAAAAAAAAGAATTTGTACAATATGCTTACTTCATATGTATCAAAGAATAAGTAAAATAACGCCATGCTTCTTTATTGTTGGAGGGTTGAAACTCTAGCACTTTTCTACACTTCAATGAGTCCTTGTCAATTGCATAAATAGTTATTTGTACAAGAATAAACATAAGATTAAAGATGGGAGGTGGACTGGTCCATTGGCACTCCTGCCAATAGTTGAGTGCTCTGTCTTTTATTCTAGATATAGGCGGAATGTTGAAAAATCTAAAAAAGAAATAATTTAGATGATTAAGCATTGAATTATGAATTTAAAATAAAATCTTACTTGTAAAAGAATTGCTTCATATCAGGTTGATCAACAAGTTTGCAAAACTCTTCGAAGTTGATCGTGCCATCCGCATCCGTATCGCCCCTCTCAAATAATATATCCCTGACATGATCAGGTATTTCGATCCCGGCGGATTTTAACGCGCAGCCTAATTCTTGTCGATTTACTTGTCCATCTCTGTTTTTATCAATCTTTAAAACAATTAATTTCAATATCAACATAAAAAAACTTATATTGAGTATTACCTGGTCAAAAAGTCTTCTTAAGTGTTCCATTCGAAGTAAATTCTCCGCCTCCGAGCCGCCACTATTCATTCTTCTCAACTCCATAGTTGTAGTAAGTGTAAGTTAATAAATAAATTCAAGCTTTTCAATAATTTAATACTGCTTGTACTGCGATTCGATGCCACTCCCAAGAACAATCCTTATTCCCGAAATCATTTTTTGGTTTTTCACTGGTAATATGTATAGATTAGATTAGATTAGTGCGGTGAGACAGACGGAACGATTTACGAATAAGTGAACAGTGCTAAACTACGCCATACTTAACCTGATTAAAACTGATTGTAACCGCACCGCTTCTACTGGATATAAGTGACTCAAAATATTTACCCGAACAAAAATACTTTACTACGTTAATTAGTAGGAATTTTGGAGTTGCTAGCAAAACGACATCTTTGATTGGAATGTGACTGCAACATCCGCAATCAGAATTCACACCTGACTTAAGTAACCAATGCGATTGTTTAGTTTTTTTTTTATCGTACTGCGCATGCGTTTTTTACTAAGCACTAGGTACTTGAGTCGGCGTGTTCCGCACTGCGTTTGAAATGTATTAATATTGTAGATAGTGTAATATAATATATTTATTCATGTATATCTATCCAAAACATTCAAACCGATAAATATTAGAAGGAAAAGAATACTTAGTATCCACGCTATTATTATAATACATTTTTCATATGCCTCTACCTGATAATTTTCAAATATAAGCAGCCCAAATACGACTCCTGAAAATACACCAGCTAAGTGTGCTGGAATACTTGATCCTTCTGGCATAAAATAATCCAAAATTACCTTTATAATGAACAGAATAATTAAAATAATCTTAGATTTACCATGCAACTGTTCCTGCCAATTCTAAACAAAGAAAACAATTAATTTTTATGTTAGCAATAGTAATAATATTACTTACAAGAAAGACATTAGGAACCAAAGATACCATCAATGCATAAACACCAGCGCTTGAGCCCAACAAAGCATACGCATGATTGAAAACTGCTTGCACTAAACTTCCTGAAACCACACCGATTGCGAATACGCCTGACACTCTTAATGCGCTGTATAATGGTTCCAGCAAAGCTCCAGCAAGTAATTGAAAGGTACAATTGCCAACTAAGTGCAACCAACTAGGAAATAATAATAAATAACAATTATTAAAACACGCATAAAATAAATACTTACTTGCTGTGAATGAAAGAATATGACAAATATCGCCATGCTTCTCTTTTATTCTTTGGTTGAAATTCTAATATTTTAGTTAGTTTGTTATCTATCTGTTGGTCAAACACATAAATAATTATTTGCACAAAGACAATCGCCATGGTTGAATACATGCGCCAAAATTTACGTTGATCATCACGATAATATTCAATAACCTGCCTTCTTACATTGAGCGAAAATCTTTGCTTATAATTAACTTCAGTCGCTTCTCTGTTTCTTTCATTCTGGAAATAATAAATTAAAAGTTGTTTTAAGATAATGAGAATATGACATACCTGGTTAATTTTGTCGTGCATAAGATTTGAGCTTTCTGGTTGTTCATTTTCTGTGAAACGAATTTGATTCATCTCCATAGGCATCTCCACTGTTGTAGTAACAAAACAAAATAAATTTTAAAACTTAATAATAAAATTTTAAAATAATTTGTTTGTATGTGTACATTTAAAATGTAAACGTTTTGATTAAAATTTATATTTTATTTATCAAGTTTCGTCTTGAAACTAATTAATTATTTACTGGGGACTTCAGCTTTTTTTCATAATTAACAATCGATGCAAGTTTTTTTTTTGGCTCTAACTTGAATGCAATTGTTATTAGTCTCAGTTACTGTATTTTGTAACGCACACTGTAAAGGTTGATTTTAAGTGGTTTTTGAAAAGTTTGTCTCGGCGTGTTCTTAAAGCAATGTTATCAATAAGTAATCTATTTGTGTAAATGTTTGTTGAACTGATAAAACGTATAAACGCTCATAACCAATTTATTAATTGATAATAATTTTTATTTTTTTAATAAAAATATACTTAAACAAATTATTAAATCAAATAGGTTTCCATAAATCTATAGATAACATTTAAGAATAACCAATTGGTGTTAATCAAAATAATTTATAGCCTTTGCTTTCAATTTATAAGCAAGGACAACTTTTGTTTTGTATAATGCTATTTTCATTTATTAATTCTTGACATTCGGCTAAATTCAAGTAGTTTTAATCAATTAAAACCAATTAACTTGAGTCATTGTTAAAATGTTGAAATCACATATTAAATTTTGCCCAAACTCATCGCGCGTTTAAATAAACACAGAACATGTCATAATTTACAATTATCCCACCATAATCATAGCAAAGCGAGCAGTTATATCGCACGAGAAGTTGCGCAATATTGTAGGTTCACAAAATCGCTTCTAATGCTGCTTTGGATTACGTTTAAAAACAGCGCAAAGTACTGATATAAGAGTAAGATTGATGAATGAGATAATATCAGGAGTTCAAGTGATTAAAATGTATACGTGGGAAAGACCGTTCGCCAAGTTAATCAAGGCAATTCGCAAGTGATAACATATAATACAATTGATGTAAATATTTGTTTTAATGTAATTTGATTCTAGGAAAGAGATAAAATTTATTCGTCATCAAAAATTGATATCGTCCTTTACACATTTTGAAATGTATGCAAGCAGAATAGCGATTTTTATCACTCTGGTAACTTTTCATCTAATGGGCGAAGAAATAACAGCGGAAATTGTCTTCAGTCTTGTCGCCCTGTTTGATGTGGTCAATCACACGATTGCGTCTCTTTTCGAAGGAGCAATTCGCAATGGTGCTGAAATGGATGTCACTGTTCAACGTATCAACACATTTTTACAACAGAAAACTAGCATACCGTCGATTGATACTGATGTGTATCAGTTGAATCCATCGATTGTGTTAGAAAATGTCGGTGCAAGGTGGAACGGTGAGAATTATGAAGAGGTTTTATCTGGGATTTCATTTAATCTATCTGAACCACAATTGTTTGCTGTTATTGGTCCCGTGGGTTGCGGAAAAACAAGTTTACTTTATACAATCCTGAATGAATTACCAGTTACAACAGGAAATGTGTCTGTCAACGGGAGGATTTCATATTATTCACAGGAACCGTGGATATTTTCAGCAAGTATTCGTCAAAATATTTTATTCGGGAACAAATACGATGAGAAAAGATATCGAAAAGTGTGTGAAATCTGCGCATTGGAAACAGATTTTCGTCAATTTCAACATGGTGACCAAACACAAGTCGGCGAAAATGGCAAGGCGATTAGCGGTGGACAGAAAGCACGAATTAGTTTAGCTAGATCAATTTATAAACCAGCTGATATTTATTTACTTGATGATCCATTATCTGCTGTTGACACTGCAGTGGGTCGAAAACTATTCCATGAATGTATCAAGACTTTCCTCCACGATAAAATATGTATTTTGATTACACACCAGTTGCAATTTTTACAACAATCCGATAAAATCTTAATACTTAGCCAGGGTAAAAATGAAGGTATTGGTACTTATGCAGAATTACAAAAAAGTGGATTAGATTTCGCACAGCTTTTGGGCAACACCAGCGAAGAAGATGAAAACACAAACAACAAGCAAGAAAATGGCAACTGCGCTGATGAACTTATAGAAAAACCCAAGACACACATAGAAAAAGAAACAGCCAAATCTGGAGCCGTCACAAAATCAACTTACACAAGATATTTTCGCGCTGGAGGAAATTATTTCGTACTTACAATGGTTTTATACCATTTATTATGTATGGGGACATCATCACGGGGGTGCAAATTATCATACTTGTGGGTGGCTTACCGAGGAGAAAGTTTTTGTAAAAATAACTTGGAGCCTGAAATAGAAAACTCTCTACGTAATGTTATAATCTATGAATATGCGGCAGTTATAGCTGCAGTTGTATTTTTTGCAATTTACCACAAAGTATTCTATTTTATTGTGATGATGCGTGCATCTGTCAACTTATAATGATATATTCAGGAAGTTACTAGATGCACAAATGCATTTCTTTAATACTACACCAATGGGCCGAGTACTTAATAGATTTTCCAAAGATTTGGGGGAACTGTTGATGAGCATTTACCAACTGTTATGTTCAATTTATCGGATATAACAATGCATTTGCTTGGAATTGTTATTCTTACAAGTCTTGTGAAACCATGGCTGCTTGCACCTGCCATTGTTTTGATTTTTTGTGTTTTATGCTATGAGATGTTTCTATTTGCCATGCAGTCGCAGCGTGAAACGAATTGAAGGAATAAGTATGAAACAGTGTTTTTATGTTATTTTAATATATTCTAAATCGAAGTTTATTTAACTTTCAGATCGTAGTCCAATTGTCAATCAAGTCACAGCTACTTTCACAGGCCTCAGCACCATAAAAGCCTTCGGCGTTGAGGAGAGTGTGATCAGAGAGTTTCATTCAATCCAAGATGAACACACAACAGCCTATTGGTTATTCACGGTGGCAACACGTGCATTCGGCATGTGGTTGGATATAACATGCGTGGTCTTTATTGCAATCGTGATTTTGGTGCTTTTATCTGTGAATACATCGGATATGCGCGGTGGTGACTTGGGACTCATTATAACCCAATACATGGGATTGATGACATCCATTCAATATGGTATGCGGCAATGGAGTGACATGGAAATAAATATGACTTCAGTAGAGCGTGTCTTGGAATATACCGAACTAGATACGGAACCTAAACGAGTATGCAAGAATAAATTACCCCTGGATTGGCCTGCAAAAGGCAAATTAGAGTTTAAAAATATAACCATGAAGTATTTAACTGATGAAGCCCCAGTATTGAAACAAATCAGTTTTGTAGCTAAAGCCGGTGATAAAATTGGAATTGTTGGGCGTACTGGAGCTGGAAAATCGTCAATTATTACAGCGCTGTTTCAATTGTATCCAACAGATGGTAACATACTAATTGACGACATTGACGTGACTAAATTACCATTACACACACTACGTTCAAAGATATCGATTATCCCACAGGAACCAATATTATTTGAAGGAACAATGCGGAAAAATTTAGATCCATTTGATCAATACTCCGATTATATTCTATGGAATGCTTTAGATCAAGTCAAACTAAAGGACTATGTGACTAATATGTTGCTGGGATTACAGAGTAATATCACTGAAGGTGGTGCTAATTTCAGTGTTGGTCAGAGGCAATTAGTGTGTTTGGCGAGGGCTATTGTTCGGAAAAATAGAATACTTGTCCTGGATGAAGCTACAGCTAATGTTGACCCATATACTGATGAATTGATTCAGAATACTATTCGGACTGCCTTTTACGATTGTACTGTGCTAACCATTGCACACAGGTTACAAACTGTGATGGATTCGGATAAAATTCTGGTTATGGATGCTGGGGAGGTTGTGGAGTTTGGGGAACCACACGTGTTACTACAGAATTCAGGCGGGACACTTAGGATGATGGTTGAGAAAACAAGTGGGACATATGCTAAGGATTTAATGGACATTGCCGAAAAGGTAAGAAAAAACAACATTTTGAATGTATTTTTGATTAATAATCATTGTTTCTAGGCACATCAACAGCGACTATTAAAATAACCAAGACAATTCTATTTTAGAATTATTTTTTCATTTTGAAAATTACAAAAAAATTTATTCGTATAAGAAATTAAAATAAAGTATGTAAGGTTACGTATATGACCATGCACCAACAACATGCAAAACACTGTGGGCATGGAGTCACATCACCGATGGGGGGTTTCTCTGTTTATGTCAGCGATTTGCGTTATTCGTCTCTTGAAAACATCACACTCGTGTTCCGGCATTCGGTATTAACTGTTCACAGTTAAGTATTATTGAAGAAAAGTATTAAAACCGAAACAACATTTCGTAATTCTAACAAGTATTTCTATGCATATTGATTTTGTTTATTAACTATTGCCAACAATTGTGAAACAATTTATGAAATATATTTATTAATATAATTTGTGTGATTTTACACGAGTTTTACATGTTTCGTGGGCATCATCAGAAACTGTTTCTTACTACTACCATGGATTACGTATTCAACTTAGAAAATAATAAAATTGTGAAACAGTAGGTAATAAAGCATTAATTGTAAAACATATTCAAAATTTTCAAATATTGGTGATATAAATTCCATGAAAATTGTTGAAATTTAACAAAATAATTAACAAAGTATGTGGATTTATTACTTTCTTTGGCGAATACGTAATCCATTTTAAACAGTTTATGAAGATGCCCTCTGGGCGATCAACTCAACTACAAATTGGCAAAAATCACGTAAAATTATAATAAATAAATATTTCAAATAAAAAAAGTATGTGGAGATAACTGGCTCATCACATGTTTCAGCTTGTGCAAGGTTAATAAAGCAACACTTTCGGATCTTTTATTTATTTATAGAGTACAAACCAATGCTAAATGTTATGCCGAAACCGTAGTCTATGTGGCATATAACCAAGTTATACATCACGTTTTACGCACAAATTACTACATTTACTGCCCGAAGTTTGTTGCAGTCGGTTATCAATTTGTTTTAAAATTACAAAATGGCCGATCTTAAGAGAAGACAGCATCCCAGAGCCACCAGTAATGTCATATCATCAATATTTTTGTTGTAAGTAAATAACATGTGTGAAATGTTATTGACCCATGTGATATTGACCTTGACAATTGATTATTTATGTATGCTCTTTAATTTAAATCTACTAAATGACCAAATCATCCCTTTTGGGAGAAAAATTAGAAAAAGCATGGAGGCGCTACTATAAACGATATAAAAAGTTTTGCTTACACTTCGCTATTTTGCGAGTATTTGGCTATGAATTGTTTATGGTGGGATTTCTAGCATTTGCCAAAGAAATAATTTCTGTGTAATAAATACAATATCGAATATAGTGTTATATACTAACAATTATGTTTTAGAATATGTCTGCCATATTTTATTGGCAAACTTGTCACAGTTTATGCTCAATTCATCGCGCGTGAAAATAAACACACAACATGTCATAATACACAATTATCCCACCAGAATCGTAGCAAAGCGAGCAATTATATCGCACGAATAGTTGCGCAATATTGTAGGTTCACAAAATCGCTTCTAATGCATTTATAACGATTGAATGGATTTGTAGTTGTATCTGCTACCTTGGTGGAAGTTCACGTGCATGCGTGGTTCATTGCCATTTCCCACCACATCAGTGCTAAACAAGTGTTCGTTAAAGTACAACCTATCATTAATATTTAGCGGGTTACTTCAATATAATAAAAATTAACTAGTAATAAATTATGGAAAAAGAAGAAAAATGCGAGCACAGACGAAATCCACGAGCTAGAACAAATATTTTCTCAAAATTATTGTTTCTGTAAGTATATTATATTTATTATTAATGAATAACATAACAATTTATTTCTAAATTATAGATATATAATTCCTGTGCTTTATAAATCATATAAACGTGGTTTTACAAAAAATGATCTTTATGAAATACTTAAAGAAGATGATTCGGAACGTTTAACCGATTCATTGGAAAATGCTTGGAAACAAGCAAATAAAAAACATAAAAAATACACACTACACATAGCACTATTTAAAATATTTGGTGTACCAATTTGTACAACTGGAATTTTATTATTTATCAAAGAATTTTCAAGAATGTAAGAAAAAACACAGATTTAACAATTTTATTCTTTTTAACACATGGATATTTTTTTAGATTACTTATTCCCGTCTCAATTGGACGATTAGTTACTTATTTTTCTCATACCAATGAAGAGATTACACACACAGAAGCTTACTTATACGCAGCTGCCTTAATTGCATGTTTGACACTGGAAAGACTAATTGCTCATCCGGTTATGTTCTGGCTGCAACACATGACGATGAAGATGCGCATCTCATGCAGCGGACTTATCTACAGAAAAATATTGCAATTCAATAAAAATTCAATGCATAAAATTTCGGTCGGTCATGTGGTTAACTTAATGACGAGTGATGTAAGTCGATTTGAAATGGGTTTTCATTCGTTGCATTATATTTGGATTGCTCCGATTGCTACCATCGCAGCTATGACTTATCTATATTCGAATTTCATATTATTCACAGGAACTGTGATATTTCTTCGTAGCAAGTATTCGTCAAAAATATTTTATTCGGGAACAAATACGATGAGAAAAGATATCGAAAAGTGTGAAATCTGTGCATTGGAAACAGATTTTCGTCAATTTCAACATGGCGACCAAACACAAGTCGGCGAAAATGGCAAGGCGATTAGCGGCGGACAGAAAGCACGAATTAGTTTAGCTAGATCAATTTATAAACCAGCTGATATTTATTTACTTGATGATCCATTATCTGCTGTTGACACTGCAGGGTCGAAAACTATTCCATGAATGTATCAAGACTTTCCTCCACGATAAAAATATGCATTTTGGATTACACACCAAAGCTGCAATTTTACAAATAACTGATAAAATCTTAATACTTTAACCAGGTAAAAATGAAGGTATTGGTACTTATGCAGAATTACAAAAAAGTGGATTAGATTTCGCGCAACTTTTGGGCAACACCAGCGAAGAAGATGAAAACACAATCAACAAACAAGAAAATGGCAACTGCGCTGATGAACTTATAGAAAAACCCAAGACACACATAGAAAAAGAAACAGCCAAATCTGGAGCCGTCACAAAATCAACTTACACAAGATATTTTCGCGCTGGAGGAAATTATTTCGTACTTACAATGGTTCTGCTCTCATTTATTATGTATGAGACATCATCACGGGGTGCAAATTATCTCCTTACTTATTGGGTAAACACCGAGGAAAGTTTTGCAAAAAATAACTTGGAGCCTGAAATAGAAAACTCTCTACGTAATGTTATAATCTATGAATATGCGGCAGTTATAGCTGCAGTTGTATTTTTTGCAATTTACCACAAAGTATTCTATTTTGTTAGGATGATGCGTGCATCTGTCAACTAGCATAATCATATATTCAGGAAGTTACTAGATGCACAAATGCATTTCTTTAATACTACACCAATGGGCCGCGTACTTAATAGATTTTCCAAAGATTTGGGAACTGTTGATGAGCATTTACCAACTGTTATGTTCAATTTATCGGATATAACAATGCATTTGCTTGGAATTGTTATTCTTACAAGTTCCAGGAACCATACGTTTGCACCCGCCATTGTTTTGATTTTTGTGTTTTATGCTATGAGATGTTTCTATTTGCCATGCAGTCGCAGCGTGAAACGAATTGAAGGAATAAGTATGACATAGATTTATTATTATATCAAAATTTTTAATGTTTTTGTTTTTATTTTCAGACTCTAGTCCAATTGTAAATCAAGTCACAGCTACTTTCACAGGCCTCAGCACTATAAAAGCCTTCGGCGTTGAGGAGAGTGTGATCAGAGAGTTTCATTCAATCCAAGATGAACACAACAGCCTATATTGGTTATTCACGGTGGCAAATGACGTGCATTCGGCATGTGGTTGACATAACATGCGTGGTCTTTTATTGCAATCGCGATTTTGCTGCTTTTATCTGTGAATACATCGATAGCGCGCGGTGGTGACTTGGGACTCATTATAACCTAACACATGGGATTGATGACATCGATTCAATTTGGTATGCGGCAATGGAGTGACATGGAAATAAATATGACTTCAGTAGAGCGTGTCTTGGAATATACCGAACTAGATACTGAACCTAAACGAGTATGCAAGAATAAATTACCCCTGGATTGGCCTGCAAAAGGCAAATTAGAGTTTAAAAATATAAATCCATGTATTTAATCGATGAAAGCCCCCAGTATTGAAACAAATCAGTTTTGTAGCTAAAGCCGGTGATAAAATTGGGATTGTTGGGCGTACTGGTGCTGGAAAATCGTCAATTATAACAGCGCTGTTTCAATTGTATCCAACAGATGGTAACATACTAATTGACGACATTGACGTGACTAAATTACCATTACATACACTACGTTCAAAGATATCGATTATCCCACAGGAACCAATATTATTTGAAGGAACAATGCGGAAAAATTTAGATCCATTTGATCAATACTCCGATTATATTCTATGGAATGCTTTAGATCAAGTCAAACTAAAGGACTATATGACTAATATGTTGCTGGGATTACAGAGTAAATATCACTGAAGGTGGTGCTAATTTGAAAGTTGGTCAAAGGTACTCAGTGTGTTTGTATGAGGGCCATTGTTCGGAAAAAATAGAATACTTGTCCTGGATGAAGCTACAGCCACGTTGACCCATATACCGATGAATTGATTCAGAATACTATTCGACTGCCTTTACGATTGTACTGGTACTAACCATCAAGTATCACAGGTTAGTTGCAAAACTGTGATGGATTCGATAAAATTCTGGTTATGGATGCTGGGGAGGTTGTGGAGTTTGGGGAACCACACGTGCTACTACAGAATCTCGGGCGGGACACTTAGATGATGGTTGAGAAAACAAGGGACATATGCCAAGGATTTAGCTGACATTGCCGAAAAAGGTAAGAAAACAACATTTGAATGAATTTTTGATTAATAATCATTGTTTCTAGGCATCAACAGCGACTATTAAAATAAATCAGCATTACCCTATTTTAGAATTATTTTTCATTTTGAAAATTACAAAAAAATTTAAAATAAAGTTGCAGGTAAGTGTTATTGTATATGACCATGCACCAACAACATGCAAAACACTCTGTGGGCATGGAGTCACATCACCGATGGAGGGTTTCTCTGTTTATGTCAAAGGATTTGCGTCATTCGTCTCTTTGGAAAACATCATACTTGTAAGTTCCTGCATCTGGTATTAACTGTTCATAGTTAAGATCCGATCGCTCTATGTTATTGAATAAAGTAAAACCGAAACAACATTTCGCAATTCTAACAAGTATTTCATGCATATTGATTTTGTTTATTAACATACAACAATTGTGAAACAATTTATGAAATAGGTTTGGCTAATATAATTTGTGATTTTCGATTTACAGTTTTGTTTATGTGTTTACATGTTTCGCCCTGTGGGCATCATCAAAACTGTTTCTTACTACTACCATGGATTACGTATTCAACTTAGAAAAATAATAAAATTGTGAAACAGTAGGTAATAAAGCACACTGTACAAACATATTCAAAATTTTCAAATATTGGTGATATAAATTTCCATGAAAATTGTTGAAATCTCAACAAAATAATTAACAGCATGTGGATTATTACTTTCTTGGCGAATACGTAATCCATTTTAAACATTTATGAAGATGCCTCTAAGCGACATGTCAACTCAACTACAAATTGTAAAATCCAAAATCACGTAAAATTATAATGGGGCCAAATATTTCTGGGCCAAAAAAAAGTATGTGAGATAACTTCGGCTCATCACGTATTTCAGCTTGTGCAAGGTTAATAAAGCAACACTTTCGGATCTTTTACTTATTTATAGAGTACAAACCAATGCTAAAATGTTATGCCGAAATATAGTCTATGTGGCATATAAACTGTTATACATCACATTTTACGCACAAATTACTACATTTACTGCCTGAAGTTTGCTGCAGTCGGTTATCAATTTGTTTTTAAAAATTACAAAATGGCCGGATCTTATATGGTAAAGACAGCATCCCAGAGCTACCAGTAATATCATATCATCAATATTTTGTTGTAAGTAAATAACATGCGTGAAATGTTATTGACCCATGTGATATTGGTTCGACAATTGATTATTTATGCATGCCTCCTTAATTTAAATCTACTAAATGACCAAATCATCCCTTTTGGGAGAAAATGAGAAAGCATGGAGGCGCTACAAACGATATAAAAAGTTTTGCTTACACTTCGCTATTTTGCGAGTATTTGCTATGAATTGCTTCTGCGCAGGATTTAGCATTGGCCAAAGAAATAATTTCTGTGTAATAAAATGCAATGTCGAATATAGTGTTATATACCAACAATTATGTTTTAAATATGTCCGCCACATTTTATTGGCAAACTTGTCAAGATTTTATGCTCAATTCATCGCGCGTGAAAATTTAAACAACATGTCATAATACACAATTATCCCACCAGAATCGTAGCAGCGAGCAATTATATCAGACGAATAGTTGCGCAATATTGTAGGTTCACAAAATCGCTTCTAATGCATTTATAACGATTGAATGGATTTGTAGTTGTATTCGCTACCTTGGTGGAAGTTCACGTGCATGCGTGGTTCATTGCCATTTCCCACCACATCAGTGCTAAACAAGTGTTCGTAAAAGTACAACTCCTATCACACAATATTTAGCGGGTTACTTCCAATATAATAAAAAATTAACTAGGTAATAAATTATGGAAAAGAAGAAAATGCGAACACAGACGAAACTAATGAGCTAGAAACAACATTTTCTCAAAATTATTGTTTCTGTAAGTATATTATATTTTATTATTAATGAATAACATACAATTTATTTCTAAATTATAGATATATAATCTCTGTGCTTTATAAATCATATAAACGTGGTTTTACAAAAATGATCTTATGAAATACTTAAAGAAGATGATTCGGAACGTTTAACCGATTCATTGAAAATGCTTGGAAACAAGCAAATAAAACATAAAAAATACACTACACACAGTACTATTTAAAATATTTGGTACCAATTTGTACAACTGGAATTTTATTTTTCATTATCAAAGAATTTTCAAGAATGTAAGTAAAAAACACAGATTAACAATTTTAATCTTTTTATTTCGTGAATATTTTTTTAGATTACTTATTCCCGTCTCAATTGGACGATTAGTTACTTATTTTTCATACCAATGAAGAGATTACACACACAGAAGCTTACTTATACGCGGCTGCCTTAATTGCATGTTTGACACTGGAAAGACTAATTGCTCATCCGGTTATGTTCTGGTTGCAACATTACGACGATGAAGATGCGCATCTCATGCGCGGACTTATCTACAGAAAAATATTGCAATTCAATAAAAATTCAATGCATAAAATTCCTCGGTTTGTCATGTGGTTAACTTAATGACGAGCATGTAAGTCAGATTTGAAGTCGGGTTTTCATTCCGTTGCATTATATTTGATTGCCCCGGATTGCTACCATCGCAGCTATGACTTATCTATATTCGAATATCCTATTGCGCACAGGAACCGTGGTTATTTTCCGGAAGTATTCGCGAAAACATATTGTTTGGTGATGTGTATGATGAGAAACGATATCGCAAAATATGTAAAGTCTGCGCATTGGAAAATGATTTCGCTCAATTACCTCACAGGGATAAAACTTTGGTGGGTGAAAGAGGCCGATCTTTAAGTGGTGGTCAGAAAGCGAGGATAAACTTGGCTCGAGCTATTTACAAACAAGCCGATATTTATTTACTGGATGATCCATTATCAGCCGTTGATACACATGTTGGAGAATTGTTGTTTAAAGAATGTATTAAATCATTTCTGCATGACAAGATTGTAGTATTAGTGACGCATCAGCTAAAATATTTAACAGAAGCAGATGAAATACTAATATTGAAAGAAGGAAAAGTGGCAGCTTTGGGTGATTACCACACAGTGCAGAAACTAGGCGTAGATGATTTACTTGAAGAAATCGAAGAGCCTGATGTACCTGAAGAAGATGAAACTGAAGTTGTTACTACAACTGTTAGGAAACGTCGAATTTCGCGACAAACTTCAGTTAAGAGTGAGAAAAGTGAAGAAAATGCCGGTTCACTTGAAAACAACGCCGAAGATCCAATGCTTGAGAAAGAAACTATCGCGGCGGGCAAAGTAACATTTACAACTTACAGAAGATACTTTAATACTGGAGGTTGTGGATTGCTGTTTGTCCTGTTTGGATCGTACATTGTGTTTGAAGTGATTACAAGACTCGGCGATTTCTTCCTGGCGTATTGGGTCGACAGAGAAAATGACTTTTCAGCTAGGAAACTTGAAATGGCGACTGAATTAAATTACACTGGTGAATTAAATTCCTCCAGTACAGAAATACCTCTGTTAAACAGTGAAAGACTCGTACTGATCTACGAGTACACAGGATTAACAATAATAGTAATCATATTGTCATTATTTTGCAACATATTTGCATATTACTATTTAATTCGATCATCCAGCAACTTGCACAATAGTATCTTTGAGCAATTAACAAGAGCCAAGCTACAATTCTTCAACACCAATCCAGTGGGACGTATTTTAAACAAATTTTCTATGGATATTGGTATTATTGATGACCTTTTACCAAATGCAACAATTGAAGTTTTAAGAAGCGCTTTGATGCTTTTTGGTACACTTATTCTGACCAGCATTGTCAACGCCATGTTACTTCCAGCTGCACTTGTTTTACTTGTGGTGTTTTATTTAATGAGGGTTGTTTATGTTGGTGCAAGTAGGAATATAAAACGGATTGAGGCTGTTGGTAAGAGATTCAAACAGAAATAAGGATGGCAGTGTTGTTTTATGAATGTGGTTTTAGCTCGAAGTCCGGTTTATAACAAAATGACTACCTCAATGAATGGCTTGAGCACAATTCGCGCGTTTGCTGGTGAACAAATCGCGATAAAGGAATTTGATCGTTTCCAAGATTTGCATAGTTCAGCTTGGTATTCGTTTATTAATGCAACGAGAGCGTTTGGATTCTGGTTGGATTTACTCTGTGTATTCTTTCTTGGGATTGTTACCATTTGTATGCTAGCTTTTGAACAAGGTAAGCTACTTGTATATCAACTTCATATCATGAGAATGGTTAATAATCTATTAAATTTTAATTTAGTTGAGGAAGGTGCATCTCTTGGATTGATTATTACCCAGTATATGGGATTGTTAGGAGCATTACAATGGGGAATGCGTCAATGGAGTGAAATGGAAAACTTGATGACTTCTGTTGAACGTGTTTTAGAATATACACAACTAGACAAAGAACCATTGCGTGACAATAAAATGATTCTACCAACAAATTGGCCAGAGGAAGGGAAACTAGAATTTAAAAACGTATCGATGAGATACACTCTAACTGATGATCCAGTTTTAAAAAATATCAGTTTTGTTGTGCATTGTGGAGAAAAAGTAGGAATTGTTGGCCGTACTGGTGCAGGCAAATCCTCAATCATTAATTCATTATTCCAACTTTACGATTTGGAAGGTGCCATTTTTATTGATAACGTAAACATTACCGAACTATCACTTGCGATGGTCCGGTCAAAAATATCAATCATTCCTCAGGATGCCACTCTATTTCGTGGCACAATGCGTAAAAATTTAGACCCTTTTGATGAATACAACGATGACGAGTTATGGAGTGCCTTGGAACAAGTAGAATTAAAAGCAAGCATTGCCGAAATGCCACAGGGATTACACACAAACATCGCCGAAGAAGGATCAAATTATAGCGTTGGTCAAAGGCAATTAATTTGTTTGGCGAGAGCGATAATCCGAAGAAATCAAATATTAGTGCTCGATGAAGTGACTGCCAACGTGGATCAACAAACGGATGCGTTGATTCAGGAAACAATCAGAAGACATTTTGCAAATTGCACGGTGTTAACCATCGCGCATCGTTTAAATTCGATTATTGACTCGGATAAAATATTAGTAATGGACGCTGGTGAAGTCATCGAATTCGACACGGTGCCAAATCTATTACAAAAAGATAATGGCATATTTAAAGGTATGGTGGAGTCAAGTGGGATGGATATAGCTAAAATATTAAAATAATATCGGCAAAGTACAATGAAAATAAAAACAATCATAAACTTTTATTACGTATTCTCTACTAAAACAATCTTAAAATATTAGTATGTTTAGCATCTGATGACTTTTAGATGAAAACTATTTTAAGATTTAACTAATACCTGAGCAACTTCATTCAACGCGTTTTGTTGTCTTGCAACTCCTAATATTATCCGATTGATATCATTGGCTTTCGGTTTGCCAGCGTCTTTCCTGACACGTCGTTGGCGTTTGATTAACATTGGTGCTCCCTCGTGAAATACTTGCATATGACGCTTAAGAAGTACCTAAAAGGAATTAAAAATTGAAACTAATACTGAATTAGTATTAATAATAATAGTATTACCATTTTAGACAGTGATTTAGGGCAGCCATCAACAAGACATTTAATTTTCTCTCTCTTAATGCCCAAATGGAATACTTTCACATGAAGATTTAGATTTCTCATATATAAATAACTCCTTGAGCAGTTTTCATATTTACAATGAAACTTTTTTCTTTTCTCAATTGCTGTGTGTGTACTCTCGTGTACTTTTATATACAATCTTCTGTATGTTTTATAATGACACTGGCTACATTTGAAAAGAGGTCTGTGTGATAATTTGTGGTGTCTTAATTCAGACCACTTCGTGAAGCTTTCTTTACATTCTGTGCATTTGTACACTTTATGTAATCTTGTATGTTTGTGTAATTCACTTAGCAAATGAAAACCTTGGTGGCATCTATCACAATTGTAGTAAAATTCACCAGTGTGAAGGTAACTATGTTGATGCAGCAGTTTCTTTTTGGGAAAGCTCTGATTGCATTCATTACAGATATAATTATAAACATGATTGGGATTGTGTGCTCTTTTCATGTGTCTTTGCATATTGGCAACATTAGAAAACTCCTTTTTGCACTCTGGATCCAGGCAGATTGTTTTAGTGTTTGTTTGTTCTTTTTGATGTTGAATACTTTGATGTCTTTTAAGGTGGGTTTTAGTAGTGTAGCCTTTATCACATCCATCAATATCACATTGAAAAGGTTTCTACAATTATATTAAGATTTATTAATAGTAAGTAGTAATTTAAGCATATAAATGGACTATACCTTTCCTTCATGTAGAGAAGTGTGATTTGCTAGTTTGCTGGGTCGTGGAAACGATGATTTACATCCTGGATATGTGCAAGCATATCGCTTTGGAGATTTGGGACTCATTATACATAGATTAATAAAAGATAGTGTGAAGAACAACACAAGACAACACAATTAAAACCTAAGAGCTTTCGCATAAGCACAACGGCCCTGCCGTAGGCCCCACCAGACACTCCAAACACACGAGGCGAATATCGAATATCTCTCAGAGGTTATATTTTCAAGTGCGCTATTTTCTCTATCGTTATGTATTTTTATGTCTGCGACGGCAACCTTGTCTATTCAGTTATTTCTGTATGAAACTTTTCTGTATGATTTTTACTCGTTAACAACTTAAAATTTTCAAGTGGTTCATGATCTTTTAAAGCGAATATCTTGAAAATTTGTTTGATTGATTTAGCGTTGAAAGTAATTCAGTAGCATTCTTGAAATTATTCCTGAAAAAAACAATGTCTGCCTATAATTACACAATTATTATGCTAAGCAACATTCCATGTTATTGATATTAATTTATCAACATCCTATTGATGTGTCATCTTATGTATACATTCTCATGTGTATTTTCGACAAAATTACGTTTAAATATCAGAATAATCATTTGAATATCTTTTTTTAAAGAAACACTTATTACAAGATGGCGTATTACATCTCACCCTCCCAACGCTATATAACTTCATATGATACAGCGAATAATCGTCTTTATTTTAATCCAATGCTAACCGGTAAGTAATTTTTCCTACATTATTAGCAATACAAATTTAATTTAATTATATTTATTCAGTTTGTCCACCGAAATGGACCTCCAAAGTAATGACGGCCATGCTCGTTATATCTGCCGTGGTCATCATTTTGTTCTTATATCAGCCTCTTCAAAGTGAGATTAACATACTGCTCATTGATGCTGATGCGCCCCCGATTTACAAAACCAACGAACGCTATTTAAGTGTGGCGTTGGATACTTCATTGCTTGCCAATAACTTTAAAGGATTTGATATGCGGTATATTTAAATATTTAGTTATATCTAATTTAATAGTAGTTTTAAAACTAGTTTCATTTATCTAACAGAAGTTCAAAATTACATATGATGATGTTGCCATTGGGTGGATCTTACTTACGCATTGGTGGGACAATGGCGGATCGATTAAAATTCGCACCACGAAAGGCAATGCATGACACTCATTTTACTTATGAAGCAGACAACGGTCGCTGCGTTTATGATGGCCTTAACTGTCTATTCAGCAATCGTCCTAATTTTACTTTATCAAGATCAGCTTGGACATTGTTGAACCGTTTGGCTGTTTTAACCAATTTTACAATTCTTTTTGACTTGAACTCCTTACGTCGTACCAGGCGAGGTGCTTGGGATGCAACAAACGCAAAGTCACTCATTTCATTTTCGAATCAACAGAAATTTGACTTGATTTGGCAATTGGGAAATGGTTGAAACACTCATACATCAAGTAAATCACTTTGATCTAACACTTATTATTCTAGAACCAAATGCGTATAGACATACTTTCAACTATGAAGTCACAGGAGAGCAATTAGCGGACGATTTTAAAAAGTTGCGGAATATTTTAAACAAATATCCCAGATATAAAAATTCGCTTCTTGTGGGACCTGACATTACTAAACCAAAACTCTTTAATGAAGAACCAAGGCAATTTTTGCTTGATTTCTTGATAGAGTTGGATAGAAATGTTTTAAACGCAATCACATGGCATCAGTACGTTGAAACTTACAAAAGATACATAAACATAATAAAATTGAACTTTTAGATATTATTTTAAAGGACAAAATGCACCTCTTAGCAATTTTTTGAGTCCAGATGTTTTTGATATGCTTGAAGATGAAATCACTGCTATTAAATTTGTTACAAAACAGGCCTTTAATTCAGATCTGCCCATCTGGTTAGGTAAGATATATTTTAATTCTAAATAATGCAAAATAAATAATATTTATTATTTTAGGAGAGTCATCATCAGCTTACGGTGGAGGTTCCGCGAAATATTCTGATAAATTTGCAGCCACTTTTATATGGCTGGATAAATTAGGTCTGGCTGCGAAAAACGGTATCGATTTAATCGTGAGACAATCGCTGTTCAAAGGACACTATGCTTTATTGGACGAGAACTACGATCCCAATCCGGTTAGAACATCTTTCATATTGTATTTCCGTATAACTTATTTACTTATTTATTTTGATTATAGGACTGGTGGGTTAGCGTTATTTACAAAAAACTAGTTGGTCAAGAAGTCATTGATTGCATGCTTAGAGGAAATCGCCGTGTGCGCTTATATTGTCATTGTGCGAATAAACAAAATGGATATTTGAATGGCTCTGCACTAGTTGGTAATATAAATTATATTTATTTGTTTTTCTCGATGTATTGCCAAGTTATTTATGTATTAATTGCAGTATTTGGAAGTAATATGAATTATTCGCCGGCATTAGTAAGACTACAAGAAGTAAATTCAGAGTATCAAGACACATTAAACTTTCTTGAGTTTCTCATTCAAACTCATGCATCAATTGTATCAAAGTAATTATTTATTTCAAATTATTCTTATTATTAAGTGTGTTTACTATATGAATATTTTCAGGGATATTTATTTAAACAACGAGCTACTTAGGATGCAAACAAATGGACAATTGCCCAAATTTCAGCCAAGAAATATAACATCCAACATCATTACTATACCTCCCTACACACTGGGTTTCTGGTTGATTCCGGTTTCAGCGTGTTAGAAAAATATGTGTAATAATTATGTAAATGCGAATAATTGTGATGTACTTCATTAAAATTCGTAGAATGAAGTCAAATATTAACTGTACTCTCCACAAAACAATGAAGCGTAAATCTGAAGAATCAGCTATTTCCTCCATGACCTTTACTCTTACTTTATTGGATTATAGGAATATGAATATCAAAGTGTAGGCGGTCTACTTTACGACTATGTCCTATTTGGGATGTCAGTTTTTCAATAATAATTACTCAATGATAAAAATGATACTCGAAATGCGTGTGTAACGATCTTGTTGGAGGTGATTTCGTAATGGCATCGTTTCGTGTCCCTCCACTCTGAAAAATCTTTATATGTTCAAGTAACTGATGTACAAGTGCATAGAAAAGTATGAAACCTCAAAATAACGACGTCGATGCTCTTCCATAAAAGCGGCGACTATGAATACGACCTATACCCGGCCACTCAAGAATCGCGATCTTTGCACTTCAAATGTGCTGGCACTAGAATCGTGCTCGAGAACCCGCTAACAACTAAAGCATCTTTGGTGTGGTGGCATCGTGCATAACTTAAAGCCCCGCGCATATATACAGTTTGATTGAATGCCCGCGGAAATCAGCGCAAATCTCACCCGGTGAACCTTTTGTACGCTTTCAATGTGCACAACTTTAATCCTCGTCCAGTTAAAAATGTTTCTAACGAGTGACGCGACCGGAAATAGATTGAAATTCCATTTCTATATTAATTTGAAGTTTCGGTGTAATTACAGCTCGTCAATGCTTGTTCAAAAGCAAGATCTAGGCAAAGGTAGCGCATAATGTTTGATTGCAAATTGGCAGGACTGAGAGATGCGCGCGTCAGTGCGTTTGTTCATCCTTTTTTCCGGACGACCTGAAAACACAAATCGTGGTGGGAAAGGGCCAAAGAGGAAGTTATAAAAAGCCTTCCACTGACGACATGCGAATCAGTCGTCTTGTCACATTGCTCTTGGAATGATGAATAAGAAATCTTAGAGATGCGACTCAGAGCGGGTTTTGTGTAGTGCTCCATTATGGTGTCGCTCAACCACTTTTTTGTGATTATTGTGTTTGTTTTTAAATGTCATGCTCAAGCCTACCAACAAATGCAGTAAGTACTGTTCAACAATTAGGTTCGGAATATATTTAAATTAAATTATTTTAGAACTGGTTTGGCAATCAAAGATATTTTCCCTGAAGATCCCTCCCAATATGATAAAATGCGACCGCCTAAAAAAGATGGTAATCCGACCATTGTATATTTTCACGTGACCGTCATGGGATTGGACAGTATCGATGAGGGTTCGATGGTAAGTGCTAACAAAATTAACTTTTTAAATTTTAAATTTTTAATGTTTTACTTAGACGTATGCGGCGGATATATTTTTTGCTCAAACATGGAAAGATCATAGACTTAGATTGCCGGAAAACATGACGTCGGAATATAGGCTGCTAGAAGTGGATTGGTTGAAGAGCATGTGGAGGCCAGACTCGTTCTTTAAAAATGCCAAATCGGTAACTTTTCAAACAATGACTATACCCAACCACTACATGTGGTTGTATAAAGATAAAACTATTTTGTACATGGTCAAGTAAGTAGTCCAATTGGTTAAACAGGTACAGATTTATTTTGGAGCAATCTAATCTACATTTCCAGACTAACACTGAAATTATCTTGTGTAATGAATTTCATGATCTACCCTCATGACACTCAAGAATGTAAATTGCAAATGGAGAGTCGTAAGTTATAATATTCAATGATTTCCATTAATTGTAATACAAATAAACTAAAATTTACAGTTTCCCATACGACGGATGATATGATATTTCAATGGGATCCTGAAGTACCATTAGTTGTTGATGAAAACATTGAACTACCGCAATTGGGATTGGTGAAAAACTACACGGCTGATTGCACTCAAGTTTATTCCACAGGAAATTTCACTTGTTTGGAAGTTGTTTTTGTTTTAAAACGACGTCTCGGTTATTATTTATTTCACACCTATATACCAACTTGCCTCATTGTAATTATGTCTGTAAGTTATTACACATTTTTATTTCTTAAACTATTAGTTTATAAACATTTATTAATTATGTTGCAGTGGGTTTCGTTTTGGATCAAACCGGAAGCAGCTCCAGCACGTGTCACTCTCGGTGTAACATCCTTGTTGACGCTTTCCACTCAACATGCCAAAAGCCAAGCTGCTTTGCCACCGGTTTCGTACCTGAAAGCTGTAGACGCGTTCATGTCCACCTGTACCATTTTTGTATTCATGGCGTTGATGGAATACTGCTTGGTCAACATTGTGCTCGGTGATCACGACATGGTTAAACCAACGGAACCGCCCAAAAAAGATAACTTATTCGAAGTGGCCAAAGAAAATTCATTGTTGTTGACCGGTGCACCAAAACCTCCTCCAGCAGGTCCTACTTTGGCACAGAAAGCACGCAATCGCGCCATAAACATTGACAGATGCTCACGAGTTGGCTTTCCGTTTCTGTTTGCATTGCTAAATGCAATTTATTGGATACTTTTTGCCGAATACATCTAAAGTGCTCATTTATTGTTTCAAAACACAACTATTTTAATTTGCTAGTTGTAATTGAAGATAAGGTTTGTGTCAATTAGAAGAACTATGCATATATGTATATGTAACACACCTTGAGTTTGAATTATTATATTTGTTATAATACGTTATGGCTTAAAAACAACTTAGAGGTTGATCATTATGGCTGTAAATTATTATTGATTCTATTGTTAACGTATGTGTTTAATAAACTAACATAATTACACTCGACGTAGAAGTGTTGTTAATTCAGACAGCCCATGAATATAATAATCCGGGAGTTGGTTATTATTACAATGGTATAAATCTTTTAATTTAGTATTGCCTGTTAATACAAGCAATTGCCGTATACCCAGCTTTTTTGCAAACAATACATCTTGATTTAAACTGAAAAATTAAACATTTTAGGATATAATAATTTATTTGGAAAATTCTGAATCGTACCTGTCACCAATAAATAATATTCGACTCGCTCTATAGTTGTGTTCCTTTATTAAACACTTTAGATATTGTTCAAGACCTTCAAGTGGTTTACCAAAACCCAAAGGTTTTCGTTGGGTTACATCCTGTACAATGTTTTGTACGTACCCGGCACCTAGACAAATTTGACGAGGGCGATTCGTTGACAACGATGACCGGAATAAGGTTTTCTCGGTTCCAGTAATAATAAACAAGACATTTGGATCTTGTAAGTAATTGAGAGCTTGGTTTAAAGACAGTAAGGTCATATTGAAGTCCAAACAAATTATAACCGCCCCAACGTTGTCATCACGAGAATTTAATTTCTTTTTAAGACATTCTACAGTATAGTTATCCAATGTATCCTAAAATTTATTACAAATAAATTTTATAACTTTATTAAGGTGAGAATATTCAAATCAGAAGTGCAAGGAGAAATTCCCGTAGAAGATAAACCCGAAAGGAGAAAAACCTGCGGTCTACCCTGAAAAGGAAGTAGGGGTACAGGCTTGAGTTATGGGGCTGCTTTGAAGGTCAATTGCAAGAGGTACCTCGTTCTTGAAATCCTGGTACATGCACACAAAGGCATTTTCACAATAGTACATAAAAGAATAACAACACTCACGTACTACAATCCAAAATTTAACACTTACATAAGCCTCGTTTGCAATATCAACTCCAGACGAAGTTAAGTCCTCACGAAGACCAGGCAAACCAATGACAAAAACTTTCTTTGTAAATTGTATCTTCTGAAAATATGCTCCAATTGCAACGGCTGGATTTATTACATCATTAACATCGACATCGATTGCAGCACGCTTAAATATCTCTTGCAGTTTTCTTCTGGATATACTCGTATTGTTTGTAACATACATTATCTTTTTGCCAATTTGTTTCAGAGCATATATCGCATCAGGAATACCACTTAATACATTCTGTTGCGATAATATCACTCCATCACAATCACAAAAAATAACATCAAAACTATTAAAAAATGCTTTCAATTTCCAATCGGAGAGACACTTCAAATCTGTTGGAAACATGTTTTATTACAAAGTAACAATATTTAAACCAATGAAGCGAATATATCTAGGAAAATATAATAACATATGTAAAACAGTGGGTTAAATGTTAAAAGTTAATATATTCCGTAGTATGAAAAAGTAATAATTCTATTGTATAATTTGCAATAACTATATGTAGCATAAATACTTTGGTTATTTTACATTTGAATTTATCTAAAAATAACATTGCTAAAGTTGCTTTCATTATATTCACAGATTTACACTTACTTACTAAATATTCCAGCAAATATTGCACGATTAATGTGGTTATTGTTATCACCATGTGGATAAACACCGAATAAAGATAACAAAATTGACACAGTTGCCTGGTTGACACAAATATATTAAGTAATCACTTATTAAACACGTATGATAAAAAAGTAAATAAAATAAAATATAAATCAGGTTACTTATTTATAATATTGCACTTTTACTCAACAGCGAATCTAACTCTTCTAAACTGTTCACATAGTAATTAGGTTTAAACGCATCCGGACATTGTTCTACATCGACCATTTTGGAAATGCCTGTCATTACCAACAGTTGTTGGAAGCCCATTTGCTTTGCAAAGCCTATATCTTGCTCCAAACTAAACAAAATTGTTTTATAATACATCATATTAAATTTTAGCAGATGAAATAATTACCTATCACCAATAAATAATGTACGAGCTGGATCACAGTTCAATGCTTCAACTAAGTACTTGCCAAAATTTTCACTAGGTTTCCCGAACACCAGAGGCGTCCGGTTTGTTAATTGAACTAAAATATCTTGAAAATATTTCGACCCCATTACTAGTTTGTCTTTGGCAATAGGTATGGCTGCATCCGTTGAACCAAACAAGAGTAAAATGCTAGGATCTTTTTTTAAGTAGTCCACTGCTTTGGCAATACAACCGGATGTCATATTTAGACATATGTCCATGACGATTGCTTTGATTTCAGGATCAATACTTGTTATATATGACTGTGCTTCACTAAGAGTTATAATTTTTGGCTGTAATTCAAAATATAATCAATATAAATCAATATATCTGTGAAACAATTTTGGTAATACGTACATCTTCAGATTCTGCAACTGTGAATCCATTTTCTTCAAGTTCCGCTTTCATATTTTCAAAGCCCATCAACCAAACTTTTCCGTTAAAGTTTATTTCTTTAAGATAATTCGTCAAGGCACACGTGGGCGTGATAACATCATCTTTGGTACATTGTAGTCCTTGTTTTAGAAAAATCTTACTCAATAAATCACTTCCAAATGCACTATTATTGGTAACAATTTTCACGCGTTTTCCAGCATCGCGAAATTTATTAATGCAGTTTAATACGCCTGGTAAAAGAGCGCCAAAAACACTTAAGACACCATCGTTATCACAAAGTATGTTATCAATGGACTGAAAAAATTCGCGTAGTTGAATCTCTGAGAGTGTATTCAAATTTACTGGAGCCATGGTGCAAATACCGTAAATAATTTACGAGTCAATTAATAGATTTTATGGAGTGAGTGTCCGCTTTGCGACAACGTGCCTATTGTACTGAAGCGACTTCCCATGCGCGACAAACCTTATATCAAGTATGGTGCTACACGATTACTCAATAATGTTTAATTTGTTATAATACGTGTGGTGTGAGTAAGCTGCGTCCACAATGACACAGCAATTTTAGATATGTACTCTCGTACTCTCGAATGAAGTAGTAAAAATCAAGGCTGATACCATAATTTGCGTGATTTTGAATATATGTAATTAGATTATAATTGTGTCAAATGAGCAGAGATAATCTGTATGTGGAAATCAAATCTGTGTTAATAATTTTTCAATTTTTTTCTAAACTAATCTATTATAAAATTTTAAATAATCAGTTATAAAATCTTATGTATTTTTAATTTTTTATAAAATGCAAATAATTTACTAAAATGTGGCGGAGGCGCCGGACATTTTATTAAGTGGTTTAATTTATTTTTCAAAATTCATAATACCATTGTTTTGGATATTAATTGGATATTAATTACCTTGTTTACCAAATTTGCTACTTCATAGCTTTAATCGTGTACTATGTGCAGCGTGTACTTGCAGCACCCTTAAATACCAAATATCTCAAAAACTAATAAAGATAATCTAAAACGGAAAACACCATTGTATTCAATTGATAATTCTTCATAGAACCAGATTATAAAATTTATATTTTTTATCTAGTGAAAACTGATTTTTCGATATGATTTTCTCGAAAATTATAAAAGATACAGACAAACTTTTTGCATATTCTTCATGCCCTAACAAGGATCTATAAAATGGCAGTTTTACTTTTTTGATTCTAAAGAGTTGACAAAAAACACCAAAAATTTGTCAAGAGGTTACACTTGACTATTCTTTGGCTCAAAAATTATTTTTTAAGCTAGAGAAAAATGAAAAACGCCAATTGATAGGGAATTGCAAGGGGATGAAAGATATCTAGTCAGTTTTTCGATATCATGATTATTTCCCAAATAACTGGTGAAAATCAAAACTGTCCAAACTGAACCACCTCTCCGATTTTCATGAAACTTTCTAGCATGATGTAGAATGATGCAAGGAGTCCATTAGTTTTGGTTTGGTTTTGATGACGTAATTAGTTTTCGACTTATTGACTATTTTCATTTCTTACGTAAGTGTAGATAATTGAAAATTTTAATGTGTCAAATAATGTAGAATTTTACTCTAAATACGAATCTAAAAACCGTTTTTCTCTAACATTATTAGTTTGCAAGAAAACTGCAAAAACTGGATTATTCATTTTCTTTAACATTTCTTAAATAAAAATTAAAAATTTGAAATTTAATCTTTTTATTGAAAGAGATTGAAGAAAACGTGATTCTGAATACTTTATCTTAGTAATATTTTATTATCAGACTATTAGTTTTATAGTAATCACCCTATATATGGGTACCTCTACGTCTGGTATTGTACATTATTAAACCGGACTTTTAAATGTACAAGACTAAACTGAGAAAATTTTAAATAGACATTCCTGGAGGGAATCTTTCAGGGATCAAGAATCTGTAAAGCTTTTTTCTTTGGTTCAGGAGTTATTTTGATTTCAACAGAAAATATACGAGTATTAACATTAAAGTTGAACACTGTGTTTTGACCGAAAATATTTTAACACAAAAGTTCGGACCTGTCTTTCGGCAGAAAATATTTCAAAGAAAAAGTTCGACCCTGTTTTCGGCAGAAAATATTTTATCGAAAAAGTTCGGACCTGTCTTTCGGCAGAAAACATTTTAACGAAAAAGTTCGGACCTGTCTTTCGACACAAAACATTTTAACGAAAAAGTTCGGACCTGCCTTCGGCAAAGAATATTTTAATAAAAACAGTTCGACCCTGCCTTTCGAGCGAAAAAGTTTTACTACCATTTAAGGAATTTTAAGGATTTAAAAAGTAATAAAGGAGTCGATAAGTAACAGTAATAAACGTAGTTGCTTAGTAAATCCTATATTAAATTTTATTACAAATAAACTTTTATACCAAGAACACACACACCCCAAACACACATGTACACACACTGTAATGTAAAAAAGTCTATTATTACAACGTCAGAGCCATAAATACATTGATCGTATCACCAAAATCGCAATTCGGTATTTAATTCTTCATATAAACAAAATAGATGGTGATTGAAATAGCAATAACAATAACTACAAATAAACATTTACAATTTTAGTATAACCGTCAAATAAAACATCAAAATAGTGAAAAATTAATTGGTGTCTTCATTTTCTTCGATTTTGTTGTATCTGATATGAAACGGAGACAAGAAAAAAGTAAATACAACAAGTAAAAATATTGTTGTTAGTGCAGTATGATAAATGAGTTGCATAGGAAGTGAAACTCCTTCTGTATCAATTTTATTTTATTAATCCTTTAATGAATAGTCTATCCCTCGTGTTCGGGGAGTAATTATGGTTTTAACATAATAATTTATTTGTTAAAGTCGCAGAGGTAAAACTATATACCACAACGTTTTGTATCCATGTAAATCGCAATCAATTCGATGAGATGATGGATAAACGATACAAAGGCCTGATGAGAACATTTCAAAATATCCATGATTTAGCAAAGATGTTCCGTTTTAATGCAACCTTATCTATTATTTATTGTTAAATGACATGATTTGATCATCATTGACTATCTGGCAGTCGCACGGCGACGTATCTGATCCTTGATGTTTGTGATTGCTCTCGTCGGCTTGGTCCGACGCACGAAAGTCGGAACAATGCGAGAAAAGTTTATTGCATTTTGTTTTGAATTCGTTTATGTTGGCTTCGCATTCGCCGAAATCGCCCTGCTTCAATGCCGTTAGAACATTTATACAATTCTGAAACAAAGAACAGAAACGTTAATTTGGTTGCATACAACAAACATAACAAAATTAATATAACTTACTTCAATATTTACATCCTTAAATTTATTGTCAAGACTACAAATCAGATTGAGGGCAGTTTTCTGGTTCTTAGGATCCAAAAAGTATACCATCTTGGCACCCTCCAAAACGGCCTGCATCGAACTCGAATTCTTATCCAGGAAGTCGTTGTTCAGTTGCTTCGCCTCCTTCGCACTGAACAGGGTTTCGCTTTGTTTTTTCAGCACCTCTGCAACGGCGGGGTCCAGCTCGACTTTGTTTTGATTCATGAAATTACAAAATCGGACAAAGCAACTGTGCAATTTCGCATTGTTCGGTTCCAATTTATGCGCGCGCTTAATGGATTGCAGCATTAGCAGTACTTTTTCTAAAACATAAAAACACATCTTATAGACCACAGCATTAATACACAATAAAACTTAAACATACTTTTCCTATAGTACACTTCGAATGCCATAAGATGCGTTTCGATGCAATTGCCCGCCAGCGTTTGCAATGGTTGCAGGAATTTGATGGCCTGCTCCAAAGGATCGTCCACCTACAAAAACAAATGATGTTAACAATTCAGCATCATCTCTCTTACACAGTAATAAAATACATACTCTTGCAAGTTTATCAGGAATTAATTCATCGAGTTGCGGTGCGTCAGCTTCCACATCGCCTTGCTGGCGTGATTTATGATGCTGGTCCTTCTTCACCTGCGCCTGTGCAGCCTGCGCACTCTCCTGCTCGGCCTTCTTGCGTGCCTTGCGTTGCTTGTTGCGTAGTTTCTTCAATTCCGATGGCGCCAAGTTATCTGCAAACAAGAAGCATTTTCGTAAAAGTGCACAAACTGTGGCGGCCGCGCCCAGACCGGTCGTTGGCCATGCATTGCAACAACACCAATACGTGCTACATATTCAAAGCGCACACTACAACAAACATTACACGCCGGTTACAAATGCGATTAATTGTTTTATATTTTAAATCTTGCGAAATGAGAAGGCGAATTCGTTTTTTCATATAGAATGTTCGTTGTTTGCAAAACTCCAAGCCTAAATATTTTACGTGTGTCCATTTTAATTGCATACAAGTGAAAGTATACATTTTGTTATTGTTGTCTGACATAAAGACAAAATATTAGTTAAGTCCCCCTGTAAAAGACGTAATTACCTTTTGTAATATTTAGTAAAATTATTATATATTCAATATAAATAATCCGACTTGTTTTACACGCGAGTATCAATATCTCGACCATAATAAAATTATTTGCCAATATGGTACGCTTACAAGAAGCACAATTAAATTGAACATTCCTTTCCAATTGAAGCATTAAACTCTTTATTATTTTCCTTTCAAGCGGCTGTTGTGTACACAGAGCACTTAATAAACAAAATCAAATAAATCTTTTTGCGCGCCGTAGATTTTACAGTTTTTAGCTTTTATTCGCAACTGATACTATAAACTTTCTAGTGCTGCAGTAATTTTTTTCCTCGATTTGCATAGAATGCAATTTATGTCCAATATTCGATAATCGATAACATAATAAATTATAACGCATAGATCTTGATCTTTTAAGAATACGCGCAGCGCACCACGCCCGAACGAAAAAAATTACATTGCCAAACTTCAAGCAAGACAATTTATACAAATGTGTTATGGGCTGCGGGGGGTCATATAATTCATATGATTAGTCCAACTGATTGTTGGCCAATGCACCGGGGGCAGAATGTCGATTCAAAAACTTGTAGACAAATTGTTTCCACAAACGTATTCGAATCTCGATCACATTATGCCCACTTGTGCAACCACCAGCACCGTCCATTATAATTAGAAAATCCAAAGATATATATAAAAGGAAATTGCATTTTTTGCTTGCGGTGAACACAACGTAAGATACAACTAGAGCACGGGCAGCGATTTGTTATTGCCGCGTTACATGTTATTACAATGAACGAACGCTATACAAACATTCGCGCACGTACACTGCTCCTACTACCTACTACTGGAAATATTTCTACCACAGAAATGCCAATTTATAAGTTGGGCAAGAAAATCGATAAGGAGATTTACTGTAGATATTTGAAAACGATCGTTTATAAATTCACTTTGTGCGCGGCGCGCTTTTTCGCTTTTACTTCAGACGTGCTCGATTTTAATCTGTAATAATCATATTATTGCGCAACGATGGCGAGCCAATGGGAATACCGCTGTGCAATGACCAGGCGACAATAATTTCCACCACAGAGTGTATCTATCTATCTCTCCACTCCGTCGAAAATGATTTCCTTTTCATAAAGGTGCACAATGCGCGCTTATATCGTCTAAATCGCTCCATTATATTATCACAACATTCAACATTTAACGGCCAACACAATGGTCATCGGTGACTGGTCAAGTTATTCACAATACAACAAAAAAAAAGACGTAAACTTTAGATTTTAACAGCTTTTAAACTTTCGTTGTGCTTTATTTATTATTGTCATAAAATGTATCAAGTCAAAAACGCTTTCAAAATTAGAAAACTGTCCCGAAACATGTAAATTCGCAACACTTCCATCTACGGATCGACAGCGCGACATCATAAATCACGGCTAACATTTAACCGCGCTCCGAAGACAATTCAATTAGAATCGGAATACATTACATAAATAATTGGTTAGCTTGGTTTTAATTAATTTCAATTCAAATGTCATCGTGTCTTGTTGAGATGTTCCGCACAAATTAGTCATGCATTTATTATTCGTAATCGCGGGCAACAGGTTGACGCGTGCGCGCCGTAATCGAAGGTGTTCGATGCTCGCGGAAAAGAAATCCAAAGAGTTGTTAGCACCGGGCGCACGTGAGCGCGCCAACAAATGCGATGAAGCAATAATATCGAATACATACCAATAGCAACAGCGAAAGTGTAAGCTCTCCTACTACTTACTACCTACTACACAACTACAAACAGCGCGGTTTCAATCGGTATTGTAAGTGTCCTGCCCAGGCCCGAGGCGAGCACATTCGCTCGTTATAACTATATATGGTCGGAATGCTCCAATTTTAATAACCCGGCACATGGGCAGGCCCCGGTAATACACTCTCCGCACGAGAGTGGCCGAGTATTTGAAAAATGAAGCCGAAAACTGGTTGCATTGCATAACTTTAACTAGCCTTTGCATATATCTAACATGTAAGTGCGACAGGCGCAACAAAAGGTGATTGAGCATTTTTCTGCCGTGCATTACACCATAAATTAAATAATTACCGACCGAATTAAATCAGAGCACAGACTGACCCAACCCAAAATCGCGGATGTTGATATTTATTAATCACTATTGAGTTGTTTTTACTTAAATATGCGGAAATTAATCGAAAGAATGGCAAAATTCACCGGCCTTGAATGTAATAAATTAAATTAAACATGATTTGCGTCAGTACACATTTACAATCATTTACATATGGAACCAAATAATATATTTATTGATTAGTGAATGTAGTTCAATTTGAATACAATGCAAGTTGTAAATACAAGTATTTACAGCGGAAAAAGAGTTTTACAATTGGTAATGTGTTCAAATTGTAAGAAATTATATTATTCTTTGTTGCATAAAGCAATTTCCTAGGATTTTCAACTAATTTTTACTGTTTTCAATTTCAAAATAGTCAAAAATCTGTCCAAAACATGTCCCAGTTTTAATAAAAAGAAATAAAATCCCTAAATATTCGTATTTTATTAATAAACAACAAATCCATTATAATGTATTACTACTGCGCTGAAAATAAGTATTCTTGCAGCCCCTGCATCTAGACAATCAACATTACCTAGTGCATTACAATTGCGGAAACATTAATAAATTAATGCAGTTGTAAAAGTTGCACATTAAGTAACGTTTTTTTTTTTGCGTTACGTTGGATTGCCTGACTGGCGCGCGCGCGTGGTGTTGCACGTACCAAGTAATAATGGTAATAATATCGTATGAAATTAACTAATGAAAATATCTGGCAATGATGGAATTTGTTAGCTGTTCCTTATACAACCGATGGCCGCACAGCGTAACGCGAAATGTAGAACAGCCATTTTAGCGTGACTTTGGCGCGCGTTGTTTGTTCGGCGCATTCAATTCATACTTGGAATCAATTAACAACTCAAAGTTATTAATTATTGCTCGTTACTGAAACGTGCCTGGCTTCTTGTTGCGACTTGTTGCCAACTATTACAACAGCACAACGAAAATTGAAGAGAAGATGTAACCTCAAGATTAATTTACATACGCGCGGCGCCGGCAATGACAAAAATCTGTCAAGATGATATTCGCGTGTCATGGCTAAAAGTTTTAATCAGAAAATCACGACAAACCTCACAGCATCACACATCTTTAAATAAATAATAAATATTTTAAGCTATAAAATCGAAAAAGTTGGTATTTAGTTGTAGGTGTATAAAACTCTTTTTTTTTAAATCAATATATAGAACGTAGGGATAAAGCATTGGCGTTTCCTTTGTAGAAATATCCTTTCACTCAACTGACTTTAAAGTGTACTTGTATGTTAATGAAATGCCATGTGTGCTGTGACGGACACCTTCGAACACTCCGCGCTGAATGCAATAAAATAATAACATTTCTAAAGTAATGAATTAGTGTCAATGTGCGTATTTATTAAGTTCAGTAAACCTATTTCATCGCATATAGAATTATTAAAAGTCAATCGATAAAATAAACATTTTATTTGTTTAAATACTCATTGCTCATGGCTAAAATTCAAAGTTTTGACAAGTCGATTATAAAACTGATAAAACAATCTGAAATATTACCTAATTGTATTGCAGCGAAATTTACACTCATTCAGCGGATAATTGAACCAGATTAATCTACGAATGGTGAATGTAGTGAATTCATAGGTTAATATTACTCGGATCAAGTGAATGAGCAATGCGCGAGTGTAATAAATTTATCCGCCTAGTATTTGGATAAGTACCGCTTCGGAGCAATTTAAAAGCAGGCATTTATTTTAGGAGTGGCACGTGCACAAAATGCTTCCACCAATCGGCTGGATCGGTCAAACTATCCGCTCCAAAATCTGCAGTCTTTAACGAAAGTAAACGTTTTAACAAAATAATAACGGCTATTCACAACCGCATGGAAAGTCCTTAATGCGGAATCGCCATTTGAGGCGATTCTTCTATGGTCAACGACGAGATGCACACGTGTGCGTGCACTTGGGACATTGCGACGATCGCCATCCGCGTCCTGTGTCAAGTTCTTTACTACTTCCTGTCTTGTCATCGGATTGCCTTAATTATAATGATTTCTAATATAAAGCATTCGAAGATCTGCCATTGACAGGCGCAGAAGAAACGCGCCATAAAACCGATCGTATAGATTTCTAACAACACAACACTGTGCTGTGAATAATGCGACAAGAAAGTAAAACGAGAACGAGCAATCGGAATGAAAGCATATTGTTCCGAAATACGTAGTGAATAGCTAAAATAAAAGTGCGTAGCGAAGCCAGCTTTCAATTGAATACGGAGGGAATTGGGATAAATTTTATCTTATTATATTTATTCACAAGCGCAAGTGTAATGGACTACTACTATACAAATTTTAATTAAAAATGATAAATTCAGCACGCTTTCATTTGATGAAATCTGGTCCACATTCCGCGCCATTGTTTATAATACTCTAAATGGTACAATTTGTGCGTGAAAAAGCCGTGAAGTAAATAAACGTTTTAAGCTCGTAAAATCTGTGCCAAGCAAATTGTTTTATCCCTAAAAGTGTGAAAGTAAAAGAAGCACAGACTGCGAATGTACGGATTCAGTATATTAATAAATAATTAGTATACATTTTCAATGTTGTGCACAGCTTCTTCTTCAACTGTGTACACACCTGGCGTGCGCTATTAGATTTAATTCGAAGAAATAGAATGTATTGCTGTGCACACTGTGAGTTTATTCCATTTGTATGAAAAAGTATTGTTTGTCATTCAAAGAACAACACATTTAGCGCGTTTTCGAGCTGTCCATCAACAGCAGAAAAAGAAACTCAATCGGCAGGCGGCGTATCTAACGAAATCTCAATGCAAAAATCATTAGGATTTAACGATCGAGAGAGAAATGCAGTTGAGTTGACCAATACGAGTATAAATTATATATTTCGAATCGCTGCTCAATTATGATAAACTATATGTTATATATATGTTGCAATATAAAGTGTATTATTTGTATTTTTCCTCGCCAGCATCCTGTATACGTGCACCATGCACAAAATAAACGGCAACGGTCACGCCGAAGAGAAAACCGCTCTAATTACAAACCGTCGACTGCGACGAGATAGCTTCGCTTTTAATATCTACACGAATGCTAATCCCAGAGCCAACGCGACAAAAAGACAACAACCGAAACAAAACAAGTGAAAAGTGAAATAAACTCTCAACGTTCGCAATGCCTCAATTATTTTATCAAAGCATGCGCGCATGTTTCAGACCGTGAAATATTCAAATCTTAAAAATTTTAGAATAATTTCGCATTGTCAATAGTTAAAAATTAAAACAGACAATAATTACACTCACACGTGGGCCGAAGAGATTGCGCGGGTGTATGACAGCTCTCACATCGAGACGATTATAAAGTATAATTAGTGTATGGGTTGATTACTTCATGCACACAAGCGTTCATGCTATTGTCGCAACTTGAAATTTTTATATAACCCGAAAGCTAAGCGCTCCGGATGTGATTTTAATTGTTGCAAAAGCAGCGAATGCAACCACATGCGTTGCGCGCAGATTGCTTTTGACATAATCCTTTGATTGCCATGAAGATGTTTTTCAAAATTAATTTTGTTACGACAGACGACGATTAATCCGGATGTAGATCATCCAGGTTAATTGTGACTTAGAATAGAAAATTATGTAAAACACATAAAATTTACTACATTTTTTCTTTATAAAAATCAAGTTTTTTACAAAAATATGATACAAATCATAATTAAAACTCAAATTGAGGAAATAGTTAGATTATAATGTTTTAATAAATTACCAATTAACGTTTATACAAAACGTGTGACTACGTCTAGATTAGAAGTGAACTGATCAAGCCTTGAACCTGAATTTTTTCTTTACGCGAACATACTCGTATAATGAAATGCGATACATATTCAATTAAATGTCTGAGTTATGGTTCGCTCGGACCGCCGCGCTGAAGGAGTGCAGACCGCGCCCACGGGACACACTTGATACACATTTTATTTTACATATAGCACGATTGTCTAATAGACCTGAAAAGGTCACATTTCTAGCTTAATGAAAGACATGAGAGACAATCGGTGAAAACAACAATCTGGCGGTGCGTTTGAAATACAACCTTGCTCGAAATTCCACCTATAACATGTAGTTTTTGCTCGTGCATTGCAGGCGGGTGGTGGCCCAAAGAACAATTCACTTAAAACATTGTTTACTTGAGTATAATGCGATACAAAAACATTTTTAAAATTTTTCTTTTCTTTAGCACTTTTTTCTTTCTAGGTTAGTCTATTGTAATTATTTCCAAAGCTGTGGAAATCGCACTTCTTAATTACGCCCGAGTTGTGAATTATATAACACGAAATAGCTGAATTATTTTTTAAACTAAATGATCGTAAGCTGCTGATAAGAATAATAAAGAGTATTAAAGCAAAGTTTCATGTTTCTTTTATCTAAATTTGGTTTGAAAACAATTCGAAACACCTTAACGGAAGATTGAAGTCAAATAAACTGTACTCCAAGAAGTACATGACTTAAAACTTCAGAATTGCATTTATTTAAGTACGGCAAAGAACTTTTAAATGTTTTTGTAAAGTTTATGTCACAGCATGTAAACGAAGTTGTGCATGATGCATACAAATTAACGAATATAAAAGCATTGCTACGAAGTTTTCGCTATATAAAACCAAATGGACAAAAACGACGTGAAACTTGTTGATTCCTTTACGGTGTATGATTTACAGGAAATGCCGCGTACGCTATGCTTCACTTTTATTTTTCGCAGTGTTGAGACTAGCAATGAAGTAAACTAGTAGAAAAAGCAGTGCACGCAATCTACAGGAGCATTGAACATATTTTTTTGTTTAAAGTTTAAAGAAGAAAAAATTTGTATTGTTTGAAGATAAAAGGTTTTTTAGCAATGAATTGAATTTTGCTTAATTTTTTAAGGTCACAACTTACAGCCAATATTTTAAGTGGTAAAATTAATTTATTTTTGAAAAAATAAGAAATTCAATTAGTTTCCTTGCATTTAAGTATAGTTGGCATCCTGTTTACCATAAATATGTTATTTTCAAAGAGAATAATAAAAAATTAAGCCTAAAAAATCATAAAAGTTGAGTATAGTAAGACTACTAAAATGAATATTAAAGAAAATGACTAATACAGCAAAGTAATTATAAAAAATCAAATTATTATGCATTTTTCTGACATCGTAATGTAAAAATCTGAGTAACGTGTAAATGGGTATTACCGGAATAAATAATAAAATAAAAGCAAATAAAACAAAATGTAATTTAGGAAATCCCGGACGTCCTTGTCGAGGTCTCAACCTGCCTCCCACTATTCGCCAAAGCCAGGATGCTCGAGCCCCAAGAGATACCGCACACCTCGTGGAAGTCGCGCGCGAGCCGTCGAGTACGGCACGAGATATTTGTGTCTTATTGTAGACCTCAAACAATTCTCTTTGCAGCCGCGCGCGTAGTAGAAGCCAACCAAGCAGCGGTGTCGGTAAAACGCTGGAGCCGTGGAAGGTGTTGTTCGGCGGAATCGTGCAAGTGCGACTCGAGCACGAGCCAAGCGACCGGTCAATTCAAGACAACAACAAAACGCGCGCGCAAACCAGAGCGCACACGCCGCCTCATTGCACGCAAACACCAAAAAAAAACATAACGCGGTTTTTCATATCGACGGTGGCAGCAGCCGCAGCACACAAAAGTTGCGCAAATTAATACACAATCGGCTAAATTAATACTTAATCGATTTATTGTTGTTTACTTAAAAGGCAATGTGAAATGTGTTTCCTACGACAATGTGAAAACTGCGTAATGTTTAAGTGGAAGTGCAGGAAGTTAACATCATCGATATCAACAAATCGCAACGAATAATAACCAACACCATCACCTCACAAACGCTTTTGGAGCTTATATAAAAAATACAAAAATAATCAAAGTAAGATATTGCTGTTTGTCGACAATTATACTCAAAATTAAATTAAGCCACCATTTTTTGTCTTGTTTCATTTTTGCGCACATTCAAATGTGAAAAGCGACCCACTTTGCATGCACATCTGCTCGGATTCTCATTGTTATTCATAAATAACGCGGGAATGTGTCTCAACTCTAGGGATTTGTGCTAACTGCACAACAATATGAATTCGCCGCACAACTCCAGTTCGTGCAGCATATTTCATGGGAAAATAAAACAATCTATTCAAATAATAAAACTTTTCGCATATAGTAACACTTCTATTCATCGTGTTCTTTCTTCCCAAGGTTCACAATCGCGTTTTTTGGAAACTCCTTCGCTAATATGTGAAATTTATCTCTCGTGTAATTAATAATCGTTATTCGCGTACAACACAACAGCACCTTGAACTATATTTTGCATACGCCATGGAATCACCATAAACGGGAGCGTTTTAATTATTTTAATTTCCAAGCACACACATGTGATGAAAGTTCACAAATGAGATGAATCTGAATGCGTTTGATATTAGAGAAATTTCAAAATCAAATCAATTTCACCGCGTAATGCGCATTACTCGTAATTAAATCGCATTAAATGTTATCCTTCGATTAGTTCTTCGCGCATTCAACGTAAATTAACCGCACACATTATCAGTTTCAAACTTTATAGTTGCACATTACGCTGAAAGAATGAAAGTTTTTTGTTCCGTCTCGAGAGCGAATTTAATTCTGCGCAATGAGCAGTTATATAGATCTTATTGTTGCTTTAAACTTTCTTTTGCTACGTTGGAAACGGTTAAACGCTGTTAGTATTTATGTGTTACTTGTGACAGAAAACGCAACTCTTTCAAGCACACACACACACACACACCAGCTGTGCTTGCATTAATTCAGAGCAACAAATGCATTTGCTCGCTGCGCGCACGGATTTTACAGCCTTCGTCGTTCTTGCTTCGTTTCTTCAATTCGCTGCACTCGCATTTACCGACTCGCGTTTTTCCTCACCCACATACATATTAAAACAAAATCGCAAGCGCTCACAACTAGTTCGAATAAAATTATTTAGGAGCGCAGCTAATTTGCCTGATTTGCGTATAATTCATTTCACCAAAATGGCAAATATCGCATCTAATCTGACGAAATTATATAAGAATTATGCTCGGCCACGTTCCATCACCATGTCAATACACACTTTATTGCACGTTACTACGATTTTTTAATCGCCAACAATGCGCTTCGACGGTTTGCACTATAACAATTATTTACATAACGTCGTGCGTCGACTATAAATAAACTTATCTGGAGTAAATCCAATACAACATTTGAATTTTTTTTCCAGCCACTCGTCGAGCATAATACATTTCCTGAGTAACATAACATAAAGCAGAGCAAAAACATTCGATTTCGATCCACATGCCATACGTCCAAACATAATACCCGCAATATCTATCACCGAATAAAGCATATTTTCTATTCCATTTCACTACGGCGATACAGATAAATGAGTCTTAAGCAAATGACGCAATGGAGACACCAACACACCAACGGCATAATCCTATACAGCATGTGCTTTCGTCCACTTTACAAGGCATATTAGCAATGTTATACCCATATAATATCGGCTAATGTCTGGCATTCGATTCTCGTCTCGTTCTTTTGTACTTCGTAAGAGCAACCGCCTTGTTACCATTCGCTTCGTTTTGATCATGCTTTATATATTTGTGTCTAAACATTTGATAGCTAACTAACTTGTAAACTGCGGCGATTTGCCGCGCTACAAATTTTGCTCTTGGCATTACAATTTTTTTCTCCTCTTATCCACTTTACTTTTTCGTAGCCCGTGCCGCGCGGTAATGCAACTTTCGCAATGTTGATACATAAAACATTGTAGAGATAAATATATTTGATTGCCAGCGACAAGGAAAAGCAATTAATTATCGACAGATACCGCAGAGAACGCTCGCGTTCCGTGATGAATGATGAATTCGATGGTGGAGGTGGCGGTTGATCGAAGAAAGAAATCACTTTCAGACGATTTATAATCGCGCAAGATTGACGTATGGATAACGCACTAAAATGTGCGCAATTAGTAATTTATACCATTAACGCGAATTAAATGGAAACGTAATTGTGATAGCGGAATCATTTTCATTATCAAGACAGGTTTAAAGTTCTAATAAAGATGATGCTACATTAACACTTTACTCAGTTTATTTTCATGAATAAATATTAATTAAATCGTAACTTTTGAATGAAAGCAAACATTAGATTTACGTAATTTCCAGAATCAAACAAGAACAAGATTTATATATTTCTGTTTATCAACGAATGAGGTAATTAAAGATTAACATGCTATAACCGGTAGTAAAGATATAAAACTGTATCATATATTCTTAATTAAATACTCATACTAACTACATTCGTGTCAATCAACTGCTATCAGACTGATTTTAATGGCAAGAGAGTGTTTCGAACTCGTGTATTACCACATTCTGGTATTAATGAATATTTAACACAAAAAACTAACAAAAGTGAGTTAAGTGACGCGTTGCCCTGCAGATTTCTGGTATTTCTTCATGTTCTTTACACAAATTAGCCTAAATTTTATCTGCCTGCAGGCGCCGCTAGTCATTACTTATTGTAGCACTTTAAGGAGTAGAGAAATCTGTCAGAAAATGCATTCATTCAAGAATACAGAAATTTGTACAAAAATAAATTACAACAAGTTTATAAAAAAAAATTTCACGTGTATAGTATTTTAGTAAGTAATATTATAAATGAAAAATATGAATTTGTTTGTTTGTTTCGCTTTTTCACCAAAACAACTGAAGAAATTTTTATCAATTTTTGTATAGATATATTTTTAACCTTGGAAAAACAAATAGACCACTTTTTGTCACAAAATTATAACTTAAAGAGTGTAAAATAAGGGATAAAAATTGATATAAATTTTTTTATCAAAGTTATAGTTTTATATTTCAACTTCAGATGGCGCAAAAATTCATTTATAGTATTTCTCATTCCCTTAAAATAAAATTGAGAATTTTATTGACGGAATCGGCACATAATAAGTACTTTTCACAGACGAAAACTACCAGTTCATAAATAACTAGCATGTATCACCTGATAATTACAATATCTACTAATCAATTATCACTCTACCCAAGACCTCGTGAACTATTCAAGCGTACACGTCTAGAATCACATATATTTGTAAATGTCATTTGCTCAAGTTTTCATTCTCCGCGATTATTCATGGCGAGCAAGCACATTGTATTGTCTTTTATGTGATACCGTGTCATAATATGACGCTGAATTCTATTGCAATACTCTCAACCACTTTGCAACGAATATTAACGAGAATTTAAGTCGTTTTTAGAAATTAAATGAAGTCAAACAATGAATGTAAAACTGCGATTTGAACAGCGTCAGCTCAGCTCTCTTGCAATAAAGTTACAAAGTCATATCACAGGAGGAGTGTGCAACAATTGTCGACCTCAAAGAGTTGAATTAATGGCTTGCGGCTTGCACAGCCAACTCTCGACCCAATGCAATCAATAATTTGAAGCAAACACAAATAATAGACGCACATAATTGCGCGCGTTTAGGAACTGAAAATTTTGCGCACTTTTTGAAAACGATTAACCTTGATCTGAATAAACGTTATAATTTAACAATTTACTCCTACGTCCTAGGATTAAACCACAAAAGAAATGTAACAAGTGGCCTCACTTCAAATTCAAACACATTTCGGCGCGCTTGCATTCATAAACATATTAAACACATATATTAGCAGTTCTTTTGGTGGCAGCAGCCGATTGAAAAACACTATTTTAACACTTGACAACAAACAAACGCATACATATGCGCGGGCGCACGCCTTTAATTCACACTAATTATACTGATTTCGGTTTATTTCTTTCCTGTACAAGTCGTGTTTCAAAACACCAATTACCCATTTCGACGCGCCACACAATCGTTACGATAATTACTCGAACACATAGACAATCCGGTAATTTCTGCACGTATTCTGTTTTCGTATCCGTGCGCAGCGTACTGAGCACGAGATGCAACAATTCACAATAATACAACATTAACACGCGGGGCATAAATATTCGCGCGTCATTTTAAGGCTTGCGATTCGGAATGCAGATAATTGAATACTCTGCATTCCCAATCGAAAAACAAGTTACATATCGCATCGGAATGAAGTGTAATTCTTAACGCACACGTTTTTTAATGACTCAAGAAAGTAAATAAGAAAATATCTTCACTTTTATGAGAAAATGTCATTACTTAGTAAAAGTATATTATAATAATCATAAAAACGACTATTAAATTAACTTCACTAACTGACCAGTTAAATTACACATCCGTCGAAACAATTCCAAGCACAATTCGTGCCTAGTAATTATATTAATAACACATCTCTGCAAACACTGTGATTAGGAGTTCCTTATTGTATATTAGATGCATTTAAGGCAAATACCTCTCCGGTTGAGAAGGATGTGTAAAACACTTTATTTTTTAATGTTTAAGGAAGTCAATTTCAAATTGATTTTTTCGCTAGTACCTACTTTGTGAATGATAAAAATGTTGCACAATGTTAAACGAAAGAGAGAAAAAAGTAACATTGTTTTCGTAATTAAGACGTCAAAAATGCCTTTGTTCTAAGGTTACCTGAGTGCGGCATACTCCAATTAACAAATTGCTAATAGTTCCCATCGCGGCAAGTCAAGGTCGGCGCATTTGGTGCTCGTGAAAGCTCTTGTTAAACAATAGACCAAATCAAAAATTATTACAATTAGCACAATCGAAAAGAGCGCTAATTATTGCTGTGAAAAAGTTGCAAGCATTAAAAATAGAATAATGTGTGAGTTTAGTCAATTCCGTGTGTCCGAGTGAGGTAATGTTTTTATTTTATTGAATAATAAAACTACTTAATCGCGGGTAATTACTGAAAATATGCCGTGTGACGAAAACGGTTATCAAACACTTGCGGAACATTTTATAAGGTGGTGATATTCACAATTGTTTAACAACGTACGAAACAAAATATATATATCACGCGGTCTTTTTCCTTATATTCGTCGTCTCGTTACCAGACACATTTCGCAAATGTGCGCAATGCATGAAATCAATTCAATTGAAATATTCTGTAATAGTTTTACTCAACCGTATATGTTCGGTCTATTAAAATAAATAATTAATAAATTGCCTTTTTTGTGTCGAAAAATAATAATCCATGCCGGGATTATTCCATGATCTAGAGAAGAGAACGTAAACGTTGACCACAAAATGCAATGGTCCAGTTATGAAAAACCGCGCCCTGTCATTTAACCTTGGGCAGTGTAAAGACAATCACGAAACCGCTCCACTGGCCTCTGACCTAAACAGAAATTGTGTTCATTGCGGCGCAGACACCTTTAAGAGTTTCTATCTTGTAGCGCGGCTTGAAATTTAAAGAGCACGCCGATGACTTGCAGACAATCTAATGGCGAGCGAGTTATAATTCTCGCAAATGACATTAATTTGCAAAGGGAGCGCCGGACGTGTGCCGGCCGTTTGGTAAAAATGAGGAAACGCAATAAAAAATAAACAAGACTAAGTATAATTATAGAAAGGTGCAAGGCTACATTCATAGCAGCAAACCAACAGCGTCTAAGAGGAACGGCGGCGCCGCTGAGCAAGCTCTAGTTGCAATTAAACTATCATGTCGCGGGTCTCTCGCGCGTAACAGCGAAAGTCGCAACCAGATACCTCTAAATACGGCTCAAACTAATTAGAAATTTCGCATTGTTTTCAGATGCAGCCGCAGCTAGGCCCACTTTGGGGTTTTCTACTGTTACTTCCATTATGGTTAGTCCTTGTACAATGTGATACATCGTCGCCGCAACGAACGTTACACCGACTCGTTGGTGGTCACATGAGAACTCAACCGGAATTAGACGATGCCGAATTAATAATCACCTCCAGTGCGGGCGGAGGTCGCGAAAGTAAAACAAAAGAAGGCGACGACAAAAAAACACTGTCGCAGCAAGTGGCGGACGGTAAATACGGACTGATACAGAACGAATTGTTCAGCAAGCCGGTGAAAAAGCCGGGTATAATTAGTTACGAGAGTAATCCGGAAGTGCCTAAGGACAATATAAACAATTTAGGAGGACTGAATAAGAACGACATCTGGCTGGCCGAGAACCACCTATTAGTAATAAGAGGTGGCGACTTTGCCGATCAGGATGTGCCCGCCGTCAGTGATAGCCATCCGGTGTGGCCGCCCATCGATGATTATCACGCGCCGGGGAGGCAGGTCAAGCTGCCGAGCAATCCAAAAGTGCCACCGCCCTTTCCCGTCCAGCTCACCGAGGACGGGCCACTCCAAATCCTGGGCACAAACTATTCGACAACGCTTAATGGAACGATCGCAGCGTCACCATACCCCCTACCGCCCGCGGAAGGCGGCTTCTATCCATCGTTCCCGTCAGATGGAGGTGCCTATCAGGCCAACACTACTTCCGGGGAAACTCCGTTCCCAATACCTGCTTTCCCTCCAGAATTTGGCACACCGCCGTTCCCGCTGAACGGCAGTATACCACCCTTTTTCGCATCGCTACCACCCGGAGCTGCTATACTGCCTCCACCGAGTAATACCAGCATAGAATACGATGATGATGACCCATCAATATATTATCCACCGCCGTATAGTTTTTATTACCAGATGGATAATTCAACACAAGTACCACCAGGTCCTTTGGTTCCGGGTATAGTCCTACCACCACCGCCAAATTTCTTTGCGCCATTGGATAAACCCCGAATGAAACCAATACGTGTCAGCACTACCACAACAACAACAACGACAACAACTCGTAAACCATTCACAACAGTGAGCACGGAAGGCTTTAAACAAATTCGACCTACAACAACTGCCTTACCACCTACGCCACATAAATCCAACAGAGTCAAAGTGGATAACCATTACATCCCCCCACCACCTCCACAACAACCACCACGTGTTGTTATACACGTAGAAGACACAACACCAGCCCAACCAATCGAACCCCAACGAATAGTCACAATAGTCCCAGTAAAACACTATCACACCCAACAATACAACCGAACAGGGGTTGTGGTACGACCCAAACCCGAATCTGTCACAGTCCTGAAACCAGTCAAAACCGGAAATACACCAGCACCCACGCCACGACCAATTTACTTCTACGAAAACAACGTTAAACCATACAAGATTTACGGGCCACCAAGCAGACCACGAACAACAGTTAGCTCCACGCAAATACCATTGAAAGCCCAATATCACTACAGCACATCGAATGAAATCGACACCAATTCGGTAGTGACTCAACTGCCCGAAACTGATTACTATCGGCCGAGAACCACAACGAAACAACCGCGACAATACTACTACTACGAAGAGCAACCGCAGGTGAATTCAATCACCACCCAACGCACACCCAAACAACAACAGCATCAACAGAATTACTTCAACGTGCCGCAGGAATACTACGTGCCTGCAAAGCAGGCGGTTCGTGAGAATTACCAGGCGAAACCAATTCTAGAACAACAACCACAATACTACTACCGGCCAAGTCGACCTCCAGCAAGTCGGTACCGATTTGTAGAAACAACCAAAAAGCCAGATTCGTTTAGTATTCATGTAGCTCGACTAAAACAACAAATTCATCAATATTACACTACTCCAGAACCTTATCTTAGTTATGAACAACCACGACAACAACAACAACCAGCCCCTAAACCAGTATATCAGTTTAGTTTCCAAGCTGCAAACTATCAACCACAGCAAATAAATGGTTTCCGGGCATCACCACTGGATGATTCTGATGATGAAAAGTTCCAACCGATTAATAAATACAATGTTGAAATACAACCAGCCATAGAAGTACTGCCCACAAGGATTCCCTATCAAAATACACCCTCACCAGGACAATATTACCACCCGAAACCAATTCAAGTCCTGCAGACGTCCACAGAACGACCTTCCAAGTATTACACTACACCTCAACCGGATTATGATTATGAACAGATTGATGTTAAGCAAAAGTCGCCTTATCAAACAGCAACTGCCACTCCAAAACCAATAAGTCAGTATTCATTCGATGCTACACCGAATCCATACCAGCAATACTATACAAAACCGGAAGATGCGTATTTAGATGATTTAACACAGAAATATTTCACGGTTTTCGGTAAGAAAATACCCGGACAAACCACGCCGATTCCCACAAATACCCAGCGGCCTAATGTGCAGATTCAGTACGCGCAGAGCGCAGGTAAAGAGGTATCTCTGCACGGCGACACGATCGTAAATTACGTGCGGCCGCGCCCGATTGAAGCGCAGGCGGAATATGTGCGCGCCAGGCGGCCACAGCCGCAGCATCCGGCGCCCTCAAAGCCAGAAATTGTGCAAGCCATACCAGTGAAAATCGCCGCATCGCCCGAAGGTAAACCCGGCTCGTTTATCTCTTATGAACTACCGGGTGATGATGGGGCGCACTTCTACTTCCTCACCCCGCAGCTGGCGCAGAGCAGAGACCAAGGGGCAGGTTTCTACTTTGAGAATCCGAAGGCGCAAGAGCTCAAAGACAAGCAGCAACAGCAGCAGCAACGCACCAAGAGCTAACAGCGCGTCAGCATCCAGTCAACGCTCAAATATTTATGGACACACACGATAATTTATGTACTTGTAAAATTTGCCCACCTACCTACTACCTATTACTCTATTCTACACTACCCGATAATGATTTGTGTTTCTCATGTATGCTTCCTATTGCAACGTTTATGTAATCATAGATATTAATTTAATTCATGCTGTATTTAAAGAACGAAGAAACAAATATGATTTAGTAATTATTTTATTTTTGAGTGGTCTGTGATCGTCGGAGTGCCAGAACACGCTCACGCATTTCGACTGCAATTTATTCAAGATGAAAAATTGATGAATATGTATGTATGTATAATGCTTAAGTATAGAAAAGATTAATAAAAATATGTGGTGTGAATATTCCCAGGAATCTACCAAACGAATCGAGAGAGAGTGTTACGCCGCGCGAGACAATTCTTCTTTCTTTTCGCGACTCCAGACGAGTTGATATTTACGAGCATTGTAAATTACTGTTATGTTAAGGAGAGAAGCATGTACAATAAACACTTGTATGTAGAATGCATGTTGCTTGCATCCAGGATTTAAATTCAGATCTTAGAAAATGCAAATCGAAGGGCAATTTTTGAGTAATTTTCGATAAAAAATTGTTTTTTCGATTGTTTCATCATAAATTTCAGCATAAATCAACGAACAACACGACTAATATTGCTAATTTCATGTTTCATGATCAATTTTTACTTAAACCTGATAAAAACACGACTAGTACTGTTAATTTTTATAATTCATGGACAATTTTTTGTATTAAAAACCCGGTAAAAACAGTTTTTTCAATTGCTTATCATAAATTTCAGCATAAACCAATTAAATACGCGAATAATTTTACTAATTTCATGTTTCATTGACAATTACTAATTAATTCACCATAAAAACATGATGTTTCGGTTATTTATCACAAGTTCACAGTATCACAGTATAAATCAATCAAATATGCCCCTAACATTTCAAATTTCAAGATATTTCCGCATAAGTGTTTTAACCAAATTTAACCAAAATAATCCAAAAAATACACTTACCAGTGTCAAGTTCCTGCTCGGCACTCTCATCCTTCAATGGTGAATCAAACAAGTGCAGGTAGACCTCAATCGCACATCGTGCAGCCTTGAAGTAAAAAGGATGCCCCCTCAAGACGTCCTCCAAGCGCAACAAGCCAACATACGATCGTAATGTCATTTTACGCATGCAGTATGTATGAAAGTCGAATTGATCCTCGATGATTTCCGAAAAATGCTACAAAAACATCACAAAGTAACTATTAATATACTCTTATATCATAATATGATCAACTTACTCTGTCCACTTCATGACACTTCTTTAAGGCATCGCCGTATTGCTCCAGTCTTTGGTAAGCCAACGCGCACTCCGTCTGGAACCACATGCACTGCATCTCATTCAAGTTCTCCATCGCAGAAACACCTTCACGTGTGAACTTAGCGCAGGTCTCCTCTGCTTCCTTAATATGATTCGCCCGGAGCATATACTTGGCGCATTTGGAGTTAATGTAGCGATCGGCAGTGTCGAGGGCTTGTGCCTCATCCAACCACTTGTACGCCTCTTCCGCATCACCGGCATGCTTGAAAATACGACCTTTAGTCACGTACAGTTCGATAAGTGTCGGGGTATGCTCGATGGCCGAAGTAATATAACTGAGTGACTTATCAGTGTTGGTTAGATAGTCATAGTGTTGAGCAAGGTAATAATATACCCATAATAATGCGGATGCTGGTTCGCGTGGTCCGTTATTCTTTTCAGACTCCGCGTACTTTCCGCAACTCTTCAATGAATCCACATATTGTAGAAGAAGGCTTTCGATGATTGCAACCTTTGCCGGATCGGTGTAGAGGGATCTGAGATCGACGAAAAGCGGCGGGACACCTTTGGTAAACCCGCGACGCATGTATTTATCCACTTGCGACTTGAAAGTCTCACCGGTAGCGTAATTCAGTGGAAGTCTACGCGGTGGCATCGCGCGTGGAAACTTCTCTGAATAATCCAGATAGAAGTTAACAATATCGTTGGCGTTCGTCAGTTGTTTGGCTTCAATCAACTTCTTGTAGTAAATAGTATTCTCTGGATTTCGCCGAATCAGCTCTTCGTAAATCCTGGTTGCATCAGAAAACTGCTTCAACTGCAGATGCAATGAACCAAGATTCTCTTTCCAGGTGAGTTTGTCAACAATCTGGTCGGCGTTCTTTTGCAAATGATCTAAGGCTTTTTGCAGATCGCCAGACTCTTGTATCACTAGGTTCTGGTAGAGCAAGAGCTCACTGTGTTCATAATCAAAATTACCCTTCTGTAACAAACAAAAACGTTTAAGTATTAATAAATATAAATTGATTAATCATTAACTTACTGGTTGCTGATCCAGGAAAGTGTCTAATATAATCAGTGCATTCTTATAATCACCTAAAAGGTGATAGGACATGGCATAGCCAATCCATGAAGTTCTTTGAGTGGCTCTCAGCATCAGCAGCTGGTACCTGGTCTCCCTGTATCCTTCCAAATCGCGCATTTGTATTTGCAGCAGGGACAAATCGCGCAGGATTTGAATGTTGTCCTTCTCCCATTTGAGCGCATTGCGGTAGCACTTGATTGCCTCATCGTACTTTTTATCCGAGCGTTGTAGAAGACCGTATACATGCCAACACACGTGCGAGCGTAAATCATTTCGCAGCCCTCTTCGTACATACTCGTATGCCTCCTCTTTTCTGCCTAGACAATTCAATGTCAGGCCTTTCATTGCCAAGGTTTCTCCATGTTCTTGATACTTTGGATTGGTGAGGATTTGTTTGGCAAACTTCAATCCATTTTTGTACTGCTTTTGTTCATAGCATCTCTGTGGGAAAATTTTCCAAACATTAATTACATAATATTAAAATTTACTTTTAGTAGCATTCTGACAAAACAAACAGTAGCATAGCCATTTAATCCTTAATAAAACAATCAGTTTATAACAACTAGTTGATATTGGATATTTTGTAAGTTGATATGTAAAATGTTTCATTTTCATAGGAAGCAAGAAAAGCATCAACATTAATAAAATAGGTTATGTACCGACATGACTAGGCTGTCGATTTGCAAATAATTTCGGTATTGAATTCGCTAGCTATTTGCGGCAGTGATTTTACATTCGAAAAAGTTGCTGAATATAAGAAAATCGTAGCGGCTTCTACGCGGCTGCCGGTTGGATAAAGCGGCGCAAACATTTAATGGCTTGCTCCTGTAAGTTTAGCAGTGCATGGTTGACGTTGTACATACCAATATTCGTTTAAATAAGGCATTTTCTTTTGGCGGCAACGGATTACTTGAGGGCATCGTAACAATTCCACTATGTGTGTGTTATAAATAATCCGGCGAAATTAGAATTATGGATAAAATAAAAACCTCGTGGTCACACAAACCTCACGGAGTCGATAGACGTCACGTGACCAACACCACTGCCGCCAACCGATCGCGCCGGGAAATAGTGTCCCTGATCAAATAAATCACGCCGCTTGCGAGTAAATTTTGCGCCGAAATTGCCGTAACCACGTTTGCACAATTTAGGTTTATTCATTTATAATTATTTGTACTAATCAAACGTAAATACCTAAAAACATAACTTAGAAAAAGTGCATGAAATTATTTAAAAGCAACTTTATTTAAGGAAAACTCTAAAATTTAAGTTCTAATATTGTTTTGCGCAGTATGGGTTGCCTATATGTTTTGTCGGCACTTTGTGCAGCATGTGATAATTAAAAGCAGGGTGAGAAAAGAACTTATATATTTATCATACTAAACTAAAACTATGAGTAAATACGAATTAATAGTACTCTTTGATGGTTACTCTACAACCGTAGAGGAGGGTATGAAGGCTAATTGTACCTGTACATTATTAAAAAGCGAAAAAAACAAGATAATTATTGATACAAGAACACCATGGGATGGTGACAGCCTTATCACAGCTCTTCAGCAACAAAATATCAAACCTGAAGACATAAATTATGTTATCTGTACTCATAGCCATTCGGACCACATTGGTTGCAACTATCTCTTCCAAAACGCTTTACACATAGTTGGAAAAACATGCATTTCCAGGAATGATTTGTATTATGACTATGATTTCAAAGATAACCATGTAATTGATGAGTATGTGAAATTAATAACAACACCTGGACATACCTCTGAGTGTATAACAGTCCTGGTACAGACACAAGAAGGATTAATTGCTATTGTAGGTGATTTATTTGAAAAGAAACAAGATATGGATGATGAGGAGCTGTGGAAGTGTTGCAGTGACTTTCCTGAAATTCAGGAGGAAAGTAGAAGAAAAATTCTTGAAATAGCTGATTTTATTGTACCTGGACATGGTCCCATGTTTAAAAACCCAAATAAAACTTAAATCAAGTTGTATCAATATGAAATACTCAATTAAAACTATAAGACAAACCGCAGTCAATTTCTACAATACATTAGACAAGATTCATAAAAGTAAAGCTGGAAAATTTATGTATTTGACTATAAACTAAAACTTAAGATTAATTGGAGCATATAAAGATAAAAGGCACAAAGGTATAATTTCCTAAAATATAATTTAAGCTCCACACATTTCACAACCCTCAGGATTGGCCAGTGAGCAAACCATCGCCGCCATATTCTTTTCTACCTCCTCAACTTCTTCCTCATGGAAACTTTTATCGTTACCATTGACGCCATTTTCCTTCGTATCACCATTACTTACACCGTTTTGTGCGGTTCCGTTTTCCTTCACCATCAATTTAGACTTATCAACCGTGAATTGAATCGGCCTAGCAGCGGGCTTTGTGCGCAAGTAATACATACCAGTCTTCAATCCCTTTTTCCATCCGTAGAAATGCATCGATGTCAAAACTCCATAATTCGGTTTCTCAATGTGAATATTCAAGCTTTGCGATTGGTCAATGAAAGCACCGCGATCAGCGGCCATGTTTATGATGACTTTCTGTGAGATTTCCCAGACGGTTTTGTAGATTTTCTTCAAATCATCCGGAATAGTTGGAATGTTTTGAATCGAACCACAATTTGCGATGATTTGATTCTTCATCACATCATCCCACAAACCTTTATCAGTCAAATCTTTGAGTAAATGATGATTTACCACTTGGAATTCACCAGATAACACTCTCCTCGTGTAGATGTTAGAAGTATAAGGCTCAACGGATTCATTATTGCCTAGAATTTGAGCAGTGGAAGCAGTTGGCATTGGTGCCAGGAGCAGTGAATTTCTAATTCCGTGTTTAGCGATTTTAGCCTTCAACGCAGACCAATCCCAGAGACTTGTCGGTGTTACATCCCACATTTCATATTGTAGAATACCTTTGGAGACTGGTGAACCTTCATAAGTTGAATACGGTCCATCAACTTCAGCGATTTCACAGCTGGCTTCCAAAGCTCCGTAATAAATCGTCTCGAAAATCTGAACATTCAACTTTTGAGCTTCTGCACTTTCAAACGGCATTTTCATGAGAATAAAAGCATCTGCAAGGCCTTGAACACCAATACCAATTGGTCGGTGTCTCAAGTTAGATTTCTTCGCCTCTGGTACAGGATAATAGTTAACATCAATGATTTTATTCAGGTTTTTAGTCACAACTTTAGTAACTTTCTTGAGCTCATCAAAATCATACTTGTCTTTATCAACGACAAACATGTTAACAGCAATTGAAGCAAGATTACATACGGCAATCTCATCCGGTGAAGTGTATTCAATAATCTCAGTACACAAATTCGAAGATTTAATCGTTCCCAAATTCTGTTGATTAGATTTCCTGTTACATGCATCTTTGTACAACATATAAGGTGTTCCAGTCTCAATTTGTGATACGCAGATTTGCGACCAGAGACTTCTAGCATCAACTTGTTTGGTAAACTTGCCTTGTTCCTCATAACTCTGATACAATTTCTCGAATTCTTCACCCCAACAATCAGACAATCCAGGACATTGATGTGGGCACATCAATGACCACTTTCCGTCCTCTTCAACGCGCTTCATAAACAAATCAGGAATCCATAGCGCGTAGAATAATTCACGCGCGCGTAATTCCTCTTTCCAGTGTTTTTCTTTAAGTTTAAGAAATCAAAAATATCCGCATGCCATGGCTCTAAATAGATAGCGAATGCACCGGGGCGTTTGTTACCTCCTTGATCAACATATCTTGCTGTATTGTTGAAAACACGCAGCATAGGTACCAACCCATTCGAATGTCCGCCAGTTCCAGCAATGTAAGTGCCATTCGCGCGGATGTTGTGTACATTCACACCGATTCCACCAGCGGATTTCGAGATATAAGCGCATTGACTAAGACAACGGAAAATACCCTCAATGGAATCATCAGGCATCATCAACAAGAAACATGAAGATAATTGTGGACGCGGTGTTGCAGCAGCAAATAAAGTCGGCGATGCATGAGTGAAATATCTCTCACTCAAATAATTGTAGGTTTCTATAACTGCAGGAATATCTTCACCGTGGATTCCGACAGAAACTCGCATCAACATATGCTGAGGACGCTCGACAATTTTTCCATTAATGCGGATTAAATAAGATCGTTCCAAGGTTTTAAAGCCAAAATAATTGTAAGAGAAGTCGCGATCGTAGATGATACAGGAATTTAATTTATCGGCATTCTCCATGATGATTTTATAGTGATAATCAGAGATTTGCGGACAACGTCTACCGGTTTTCTCGTTGATCATCGTGTATAAATCCTCAATAACATCTGTTATTGCAATCAAATTGAATTAATACTTTTATAAGTCTTAGTGTAATGTTATGAGACTTACCGCTAAATTGTTTCTTTGTTTCCTTGTGTAGATTGGAAACGGCAATACGTGCGGCAAGTATAGCATAATCAGGATGATCTGTGGTCATCATAGCTGCTGTTTCAGCAGCCAGAGTGTCCAGCTCAACTGTTGTGACACCAGGGTAGAGGCCATTGATGACTTTTAAAGTGATTGCCAACTAATTAAAGAAAAATAAACATTATTCAGATGAATAAATACATTAAGAAATGTTACTTACAGGATCTACAAAGTCTGCATTCAATCCATAACAGAGCTTTTGTACTCTTGAGGTGATCTTGTCAAGGTGGACTTCTTCTTTTCTTCCATCTGAAGATAAAGATATTTATTAACATGTTATGGATGTTGTTTAATTAGTTTACACTTGATCTATTAGTATTTTATACATTTAATATAAGTTTTTAGCTCACCTCTCTTAAGGACAAACATCTTGCTCAAAGGTTTGTTCACCATTGTAAAAATGTGACTCTGCACTGCGATTATCGAGAGGAAGAGGGTGGCTACAAGTTAACTCCCTCGTCGACTGTTACAATAAAACGAAAAAGTGGAAGAAATTCCGTTGCAATCCCAACAATAGCAGGTAAAAATCGTTGATTATATAAAAAAAAACACCTGCCTCACGCGAGGCAAACTGCGTCGTGCACAAACAAGAATGAACAAGATCGTTCGGCGTAACGCACGGCCGTTTTATAACGAACTCGCAGCAGTGTGAGTAAATGAGGGTAAGTTGTAAAAAGCGGTGCGAAAACTGCGATAACCTTAAACAAGTGGCGCGAAACAGCGGCCCATGACCAAAAAAAATAAAAACCGCCCGAGTATCCCGCCAAAACTTATTCAAAATAAGTAAGCATGCGCAAGAAGCACAATTAAATCAAAAGAGGTGGAAGACGTGTTCGTTTCTTTCAAATTCAGTGTTTATTTTGTTTGAAAGTTCAAATCAACGTCAGATGCGACATATTAATTAGCATTTAATTGCCGTTTGTACAATTGAAGATGAACGACAATCGGTGGAGCCCAGAAAGCAATTCCGAAGTATAACAGGAAAACAATGGTAAAACGCATATGATTCCTGATTTGAAATGGTACCATATAGAAGGGATCACCGCCGATGGACTTGGACAGGAAATCTTTCGGGTCGGGTGGGACTCTTTTCTCGCAAAGTTTCTTCCAGATTTGAGTGCGAATCGGTTGTCTTGTAAATAATGACCGAGCACGAAGCAGTGGACCAATCATGTTGAGGGTTGTTGGATTTGTTCAAGGAATTATATTCAATACTCGCGGGTAAAACGATTCAAACTGAAACTTGAAAGGTTATTAATTATTATTATCAACACTTTATTTTGTTTTATCATGGATATATAATTCATAGGTTGCTAAAATATAAAAATATAGCTTTTATTTGTTTCTGCAAATATTCTTTGTTTTCAACAGACGAAAAATTACGATCGTAGGCGATCATGCGCGATCAAAGAACGGTTTTTGAACTTTTTACGTCTTTTACATGAATAATCTATTAATACTATTAAACTATAGAATATTTTTTAAATGGAAGACATTTATAAAGTTAATTTTCTTACAATTTCATAAAATCATTTTGCTTTTGTTTAAGCGTACGAGGTGTTATCGTCAATAACAGGTTCTGTTTTACACTCAGTTGAGTTGGTAGGGTTGGCGGAGGAACAACAGAAACATAACCAAGTTATAGTAATTGCTTTTCTCCGTGAAACTCATTAAAATGAAGTGATAACTACTCGATTATACTCGCAACAATAGCATAAACCAACTAATAAGTTAATAAGTTGTTATTCTTTTAACAAAATGGTTGTGTGCCCGGCTGATCACGGCTTACAAGCCGACGTAATTTTCGTCATCGAAGCAACAGCTATAAATGGAGCATACATAAACGATTTGAAGACGAACTACATTCTACCATCCCTAGAGTAAGTGACTTTCTAATACATTCTAAATTATTTCACATTACATACGAAACATGATGAAACCGAACGGATATTTGAAGATGGTTTGAGGTATCTGGTTAATCTTGGATGTAACCTTGCTGTTTTATGTGAAAATTTACACACCTGATCCTTTTTTTATTAAAATTTTAACTGCACACCTTACTAGATTTAATTAGTTACCCATTTTTTGTTTTTGAAATTGTTACAGATACTTTAGCCAGGGAAATATTGATGATATTAACTATATCTCTGAGAATGCAAATTGTTTGTATGGTATTGTAGTTTACCATGCAGCAGATTGTTTGCCAAGTCCTAGCAGTGACACAATTGGCCCATATTCAAGTCCAAGTAAATTACTGAATGCACTTGATAAACTTGAGTAAGTCAATAAATGTTCATTAGAAAAGAATAAGAATGATGTAAATATATGTTGGGTTTGTTTTGTTAAGATTGATTGGGGGTAAAGGTGAATCCCATGCAAATATCGGCGAAGGTCTAGCCACAGCTTTAAATTGTTTTGAAGAGTTGGGTCAGAAAAGAGATGCTGCTAGTAATGCATCTGTGCAGAAACATTGTATCTTGGTTTGTCACTCGCCGCCATATTTGATTCCAGTTTTGGAGTCACATAATTATTCTGGGAAGAATACTGAACAACTTGCAGGAGTTTTACAGGAAGTGAGTTGAATGAATGTAATAATTTACCAAATAGGTAAATAATGTATTATTTTCATTTTATTCTTAGAATGGGATTAATTTATCAATTATTTCCCCAAGAAAAATTCCATCCTTGTATAAACTCTTTGAAAAAGCCGGTGGTGATCTCTCAATCTCGCAAACTAAAAATTATGCGAAAGATCCACGACATTTGGTACTTCTTAAAGGTTTCTCGCTTAAAGAAAGACCCTTGACTCCACCGAGTGGCCCTGTTACTTCATCTCAAAACCAACTTCCTAGCAGCAATCCTATACAAATCGGTTCATTGCCAAGTCCGATTGCAAACAATGATTCTCCTATTCCTGGTGGTCAACAAGGTGTTAATCCTAACATGATGGGTCAAAATCCTAACGCTGGACCTAATCAAGTTGGGCCGAATAATGTCTTCCGCCCGAACAATCCGCAAGGCATTACATCGCTGCAGCAACAAAATCAACAACAGCAGAATATACTAATGAATCAAGTACGCGGTGGACTGATGGGCAACCAGCAGTTCCAAAACACGCAAATGCAAGCACCGCCTGGTTATCAACAGACTATTTCCATGGGTGGTATGGGTGGAAATCGTCCGCAACGTGGATGGATGATGCCGCCACAACAACCGCAACGGCCACCATTCATGCAGAATCAACCTCAAGGGGGACAGAGTCAGGGGAGTGCTTTGATTGCGCAACTTACACAACCGCCGAATTCTATGCCTAATACGGTTAATCAATTTAACTCATGTAAGCATTTTATTCTGGAAATTTTGCGTTTTTTGCTAATTTTTCTATTACGTTTTTCTTGTAGTGGGTAATAACGTAGCGATGTCTCCTCAACAACAACACCCGAACAACCAACAACAGCAAATTCGTATGGGTTTACTCACGCCGCAACAACAGCAACAACAGTTGAATCAACAGCAACAATTGAATCAACAACAGCAGTTGAATCAGCAGCAACAGCTTGCGCAACAACAGCTAAACCAACAGCAGCAGAATATGCAACAACAACAGCAAAATTTACAGCAACAACAGCAGCAACAGCAACAAGCCCAACAACAACAACAACAGCAAAATATACAAACCTCTATGTCCAATGTAAATCAACAAGGCGTGAATGTGAACCAAGGTGTTCCGCCTAATGTAATGCCTAATGTGAGTAACGTAGGTCCAGGGACCATGCAACAATCCATGCCTATTCAACAGCAAGCCCAGGGTAATCAACCGATTACTTCACAAGCACAGCCTGGTACTGGGGGTAGGCAAACAATCTGGCAGGGTGTTTTGGAATGGATTGAAAAACCAAAGGTTTTGCCGGATTCGCAAAAGATTACTAAACAAGTGCAATGCTCTGTTTCGGCTGGCGTTAAAGATGGCGAATTGGAGTTGAAGGCTGATGGATGGCCACACAAGTTGATTATGCAATTGATGCCTAAGCAACTTATTGGAAATATTGGTGGAGCGTATTTGAAGAATTCGAAATCGGTGTTTTTTCATCCATTGCCATGTGAGGCTTTGGATTCTTTGACGAAAGTTATGAGTACTGGTTTTGTAAGTATTTGATTTTTATTTATTTTTAAGTTTTTTTGATTAATTTTTAAATTTTGTATGCAGGCTGGTTGTGTACACTTTACAGGCGCAAACAACCAATCCGTTTGTGATATTAAAGTCTTGATTCTTCTCTACACCGCTGAGAAACGCGCATATTTAGGTTTCATTCCTAACGATCAAGTTGCGTTTGTTGATCGTCTTCGAAAAGTAATCCAGCAACAAAAATCCACGCAAATTATGCGTCGTGTTGATCAGACGCAAGGCATGAATCCTGGTCAACCTGGGCCTGGAATTGGTTGTCCTACACAAATGCCAAATACTTCCACTCCGCAATCAGCGAGTCAACCAATGATGATGGTGCAAAAGAACACGATGACCATGGGAGGTGGTCAACTCACACAGAATGTGGTTACTTCCAGTAGTCAACCACAACCGAATATTCCTGGTCCCGGTGGGATGATGAACCCGAATATGCCTGGTGGGATGCGGTTGAGGATGCCGATCCCGAATCAAGCACAGCAACAAGCTCCTCCTAATCAAACTATGGCGGGTGGGAGTCAACAAGGTGGTATGATGGGTGGGCCTAATCGGCCACAGCAAGGGTATAATCAACTTGAGGCGGAGCGACAGGTTAATCTGGATAAGATTAATCAGTTGAAGCAAACGCTGGAAGTTGCGCAACAACAGGAGCAACAGTATAAGAATCAACTCGAGAGGATTTCCCATATGAAGACGCAACAGTTACAGGAGGCGTTGCATGTTGCTCAGCAACAAGAGATGCAATATAAGTTGCTTGATGTAAGGCGCATTGTTGAATACTTTGCTGTTTTATTTTTAATTTTTGATTTTTAACAGCAACAACGTATGAAAACTGTTATACCAACGCCGAATTGTATACAACCTCAAAGAATGATGTTATCGGGACCTGGCGGACCACAAGTCCTACCAAACAATCCAGGATTGAGGACGTTGCTACAACAACAGCCACAATATCGTCAACAGATGATGGCTGGGCAGATGCATCCGAACATGGGTGGTAATATGCAACATGGCGGACCGCGACCAACGATGGATCAACAAATGGGACAAGGGCAAGGAAATAATCAGGTGAACTTCGATGAAGTTTCAAACTTTGATTATTTCACCAATAATTAAGCATTATTTTAACGTAATTTATATACATATATACAAGCGATAAACGTATTAATGTCTAAAGATGTGTATGAGTGGTTGCCTACGATGAATGTCCATAATTATAAAAATTGTTTTTGTTTGGTTTGTAAACAAACCAGCGGCAAAAACAAAATCAAGTTGCTGGAGGAAAACAACATCAAAATAAAAGCAAAACGCATTTGCTATGGTGATTTGTTTACTGTCGCCAGCATATTACAAGGGGCAAAAAATCGTGGCGGCGGTGAGACGCAGATTCTCGAAACCAGATCATTGCATCACACTTGTGTCTTAGTTGTTTTGCGACAAATTTACATATTCAAATCTCGGCATACGCATTCGCAATCATTTATTACATGTTAATTGGAGCCTCGATGTGCATTCATTCATCGGTGAGTACATTTTCTTATCTTTTTTAAAACTCAATCTTTATTTCTATGAAAAGATGAATTTTGAATGAAAATTTCATTTATTGAGGTATATCAGGTATTAGTAACTGCAGACGAATGAAATATAAATGTGCCCGTGGAACTACAGCCGCATTGCGGATGATGTGCGGGATTATACGCATTTATTTTATTAATTGCTTGCGTTAGCTTTTGAGCCAGCGCTCATTTATTTGTATACAAACAAGAAACTAAAGGCACCCGCCGCCCCAAGGTCATCGCGTTGTTCTTATCAATAGTCATTATTGCTTTCGCATGCGGTGTGTGTGATATTGTGTGGGCGGGCATCGCGCAACTCAATTGCAACCTGTTATAAATATTAATGCACAATAACTCCACATCTATATAGGGTGTCCGAAAATTATGTATAATATGTTTCAACTTCTAGAAATTCAACCGATTGTTGCGTGTTTATTTGACGCTGCGACATTGTAGGAGACATGCGGATATTAGTCCATCTCGCTTCCTCGTTCCGCAGTGTGGCGCGTTATCACATCGCCCACGCGGCGAGATGTGCGAGCGACACAGTGATTTTTTGCGCGTCCCTCAGTCAGTCGCTCGGTCTCGTTGATTATACACTGCATGCGGACAAGTGGACCCGCGCGGCGGACGTGTTAACACAGTGCGCCCGTGGTTGTCGTTGCGTCAGAGCGTGCAGTGAGTGGGTCTGAGTGCGACAGAACGGCGCAGCGAAGGGAGACCGCTTGGGACGAAGACGCGTGCCGCGTGCTCCTGCTCGCGCCGACACCGATTTGTGATTGGCTGGCGGTCGCCGCACGCGTACCACGCAGCCGTGTGTGCTGCTGCCCGCTGCTGCTTGTGTGTTGCTGCGTGCCCTTGCGCTTCTGCTCAGATCGCTCAAACTCGAACGCGCAGCGAGACGCGCCATTTGCTAAACAATTCCACACGCTCGTCATGGCAGTGGTGAGTGTAATTTTTCTTCTCTTTATCGTCTCATTGCGTCGCCATAATCCTCGCTAAACTGCAGGCAGTGAATGATTGCATGTTATTCACGTCGCGTGAATTACCCGATTGATTGATTTCGTGAGCTTTGCCGCACGCAGTGCAGTTAAACTAACCTAGCTTTCCTACTCCCACACACTTGCTCATTTTTTACTTGTGAGCTTTATTTTTTTTAAATGCTCTTCAATTTATCCAATACTAATGTTCGTGTGTATATACAATATGATTATTCTATTAATATCTTTTGTTTGTGACGTTCAGATGAACGTTTCTTAAGTTTGCAAGTTTGGGGGGCCTATAACATTAAGTAATCAAGTTGCAAGTTCACGCCACAAGAATACAAGACAAGTGATAGGACACGATTCGCATATTGCCATTGGACGCTTTGCCGGGAACATTGTAACGTCCGCAATCCGCTGCAATGATGGATGAACTGAAACAAGATTACTGTGAAAAGGATTTTGAGCCCATTGAGGAGTTTGGTCTATCAGGAACCATTTTTGGGGATGGTGTCAAGAGCAGCAGTTCTAGTCCACTGGAGAATGCCTTGTTGGGCGATCCAGACAATTGCCGCTTGTGCAGGTAATAAAATTTACTGTTTTTTTACTTGTAAAGTAGTTGAAATAATAATAAAATTTGATTTGCAGGGGACCATTGGTTGTTCCAAGATTGCTGTCTTGCCTACATGTGTTTTGTGAGCAATGCTTGGATATGAAGCTGATGGATGGGGGTGGTGATGCTGGCTGTACAACTACAGTTATTTGCTGTCCAATCTGTGAACAGGACACTAATGTAAGTGCAGATTATTATTTTTTTAGAGTTCAAATTAGATGTAATAAGATCAAAAAAGATTTGCGGTGTTGAGAAGGAAATGAAAGTGTCCTAATCTGATGAGGTGAGAATTGGTTGTAATTAAGAGTTTAGAGTTGTCTGGAAAAGTGGGAAAGTTTTTATCTGGTCCAGTTGTCGCGAAACGCTCGACATCTGGGTCAATGCGGTCGGATCTAGTTGCGGAACTGGGTCGTGACCCAATTCCGCACGTGTCCCATTGGGGTGGCAGCGCGCGGTGCGGCATATTGGCGCGGCTGACGCGTCGTACCGGGGGCGGCGGTGCGCGAGAGATGGCGAAGATAGGGGGCGACAGTGTGCACGGCACCTGTACATTTGAAGGCCAAGCACATAATCATAATATATTTGTATCTTGAATAATTTGATTTTCTTATGCAATGTGATGGTATTTATAGGTTGGCATGAAAAAATTAGCCTCATTACCATTGGACGTAATGACGACCAACATCTCTGACGTGACCAACAATTCCAACTTGCAGTGTACCAGCTGCACCGCCAAGGAGGTGGCCGTGTCGCGCTGCTCGACGTGCCACAATTTGCTGTGCAGTCATTGCGAGAAAGCGCATCACTTTATGCGTCTGTTTGAGACCCACGTGGTGGTCTCTCTGGATGAGATGCGCGCCGAGGGTAAGAAAATCACCATCCATAAGCCGTTGGTGTGCGCGCAGCACGCCGGCGAACATCTTCTCTATTACTGCGGCACTTGCGAGATGCCCGTGTGCACTGAGTGCGTCAAGGTGGAGCACAACAGTGCCGCTGGCCACAAGTACGAGCAGATTCTCGAGTCCGAACAGCGCGTTCGCGAAGAACTGCAGTGCTTGCTTGATAAGACTAAGAATGTCGCCGAGGGCATGTTCAAAGCCTCTGGTGACTTGGACAGCGCTCTCGAGGAGCTTGCTAATCAGAAGAGCACCGCCAAAGATCTAATTACCGAATCCTACCAGAGCTACAAGGCTATCTTGGAGCAATGCTGCGAGGACACGCTCGGCCAGCTCAATAATTTGTATCGCGACAGGGAACTGAAGATTATGGATATGACTCAGAAGGTTGGTAGAGATACTGAGCTGTTGGAGGATGCTTGCAAGTACGCTACACGCGTCCTCGAGGTCGGCACCGCTTCGGAGATAATGTATCTGCGTAGTGTTGTCGGCAGCCAGCTCATGAAGTTGATTAAACAATTGCGTAAACCCGAATGCAACTATTCGTTCGAATTCGTCACTGATATTAATGAGTTCGAAGCTGTGATGAAGAAAGTTTTCGGTAGGTTTAAGACCGAAAATATTGCCCCGATTGATGCGGTGATGGAAGAGCCTGTTGAGGTCAAGAAAGAGAAGCCGGTTAACTTGCCGATGATTCCAATTCCGAATGGAAACATTCCCGATGATTCGCAGACCACCAGCAGCCCGATATCTCTGCCGACGTCGATGCAATCTTCATTCGATGGAGATTTGAGCTCCAATTTGCAAGGCTTGGCTCTGGCGTCTACTCCACCCATTGCGCCAATTAACTCCGCTGGTTTGCAAGGTTTTACCAGTATTGCTGAATACAATATAACTCAACTTGCCAGTTTGGCTGAGAATGCCAATACTGCGACATCGCCGACTCAACCGCCGTTTTTGGCTGACTTGTTTACTACCGACACTGCATTCAAGAATCTCCAGTCGCTGGCGAAGCTTGGCGGCTTTAGCAATGGAGATCATGGTATTTCCAATGGGGGTGGTATGATGATGCGCGCCTCTTCACCGGCGTTGACTAATAATCTTCTCAATGGGTTTGCTCCGTTGTCGACTTCCACTTCGCCGTTGTTGTCCACACCGGATGATATTATTCCTGATGGAATGGGTCATCAAGCTGGTCGTGGACCACAGGTGCAGAGAGCTGGCAAGGTGTGCCCGATGCAGATACGCTGTAAATTTGGGCAATTGGGCGCTGGAAAAGGGCAGTTTAACTCCCCGCATGGATTCTGCTTGGGTTTAGAGGAGGATATTGTCGTGGCCGACACGAATAATCACCGAATTCAGGTGTTTGACAAGAATGGAACGTTCAAGTTTCAATTCGGCGTGGCTGGAAAAGACGAGGGGCAGCTATGGTATCCGCGAAAGGTTGCTGTGATGCGCTCAAGCGGCAAGTACGTTGTTTGCGATCGCGGTAATGAACGCTCGCGCATGCAAATCTTCACCAAGAACGGACATTTCTTGAAGAAGATCGCCATCAGATACATCGACATCGTTGCCGGACTGGCAGTGACCACCAACGGCGAGATTGTCGCTGTGGACAGTGTCAGTCCGACTGTTTTCGTGATTTCCGAAAACGGCGATCTCATTAGATGGTTTGATTGCAGCGATTACATGCGCGAACCGTCTGATATTGCTATCCACGGTAAGTCACGTCTTAGATTCGACTTGTTACATGAAGTTAATTGATCGTTATGTTTGTGTCTCTTACAGGCAAAGAGTTCTACGTTTGTGACTTCAAGGGTCACAACGTGGTGATTTTCAGCGAGGATGGCAATTACATCCGCCGCATTGGTTGGGATAACATCACCAGTTATCCGAACGGCATCGACATATCCGACGCTGGCGACATTCTCATCGGCGACTCACACGGCAATCGCTTCCATGTCGCTGTATTCAATCGTGAAGGCGACCTCATTTCGGAATTCGAGTGCCCCTATGTCAAAGTAAGTTCTTTTTCATCTTTTTTTTTTCCTTCAAAATAAATTATGTAATTATGTTTGTGCAGGTTTCTCGCTGTTGCGGTTTGAAGATCACGTCCGAGGGCTACGTTGTCACCTTGGCCAAGAATAATCATCACGTCTTGGTGCTCAACACGCTTTACATTCTCTAAATACAAGATAACAAGAAAAACGAAGCCCTGCACGAAAATCAACTAATGAACTCTTCACACACACATAATTGCCGACCAGCGACAAGCGCCATCCAACAAAAGCACTCTACCAACGGCAAGTAGTATTTTTGATCTCTTTTATATATTAGATTTAATTAATTTTTATTCACAGAACTGATTTTATTTTACTAGTTGTTGATTTGTTCTAAACAAAAAAAATATGAAAAATGTTTGTTTACGCGTCGAAGCATCGACACCCTCACTGTCGCTGTTATTATCAGCGATGCTTGTTTAAAATATTTCAAATTTCCATAGTAGTCAAATCGACAGAATCTATGATTTTGCGCGACAACGTTAAAAATTATTAATATTTAATTTCTAACGTTTTCGCCTAACCTATGGAGTGTGAAAACATAATCACTTAATTTAAACCGTAACATATAATTTTAAAGCGATACAATTCAAGTGAGAACGAAAAGATTTACAATATTTACATGAACGATTTTTAATTCTACGAAACCACATAAAGAAAAACACAAAAACAATGTAGATGAGGATGAATATCGCGACCGTACACAAACAAAAAGCCATGTGAAGTTTAAATCCAAAGTTTACATACACACATACATTCATATTCTACATACATACGTATTTTAGCTATGAATTTACTAAAATTGCCCCGAGATGGGGCTGCAATGTCAAAATGTGTACACACGCAGATTTTAACGTTTTTTAAAACTTGTTTTCTTTATTTACAATTCGTAAGATTTGTTTTTTGATATGTTTTTATATAGTTTAACTTCATGAGAAATGTAATTTTAAATTACACACATACAAACACACACACACACAAGCACACATTTACTGCAAGGCAGACAAAGCGAGATGAATAAGGTTCCTACATATTTACACGTTAATTATAATTATTACTTTTAAGTTTTATCAATTTTTTGATTTGTCAATTATTCGCGCGGAAAATGCAAACCAACAAAAGTAAAAAGTTTGTGGGTGAGATCGAGCTAAACGTTTACTATATATTGATGATAATTACTATAAGCGATAATGAAAATAAATACAAAGATATTTCATGTGCCAATTACTAAATTTTAAAGTTTCGAATTGTTCAACACAAAAACAGCGTAATACCAAAAATTTGCACATTAATAATTGATGAATCTCGGCGGGTGATTGATTTGCGTAGTGATCACGAGTATAAATTTAAATTTCCATTTTGAAGAGCGCATACCTGAAGTTTAAAAAGAAAAACAAACAAAAAAAAAACGGTAATACGAGCACAATCTTTTTGATATTATACAAAACTACGATTACAATATACTACTACATACGTTTGTGACATTTTTATATACACTTATATGTTTTGCGATCGCCTAATTGTTGTCTCTGAGTTTGGGATTTCTGATTACTTGCGCGAGACAGGAGTTTATTAGTGTAAAACGGAGGGGATTTGCAGCCGAAGTTTGATCAAAAGTTGTGTTTGATTGAATGACTGCCGCATAGTCTGGGCGTACACGAAACACAAACAACAACAATCATTCCGTTTATTTAACTACTTTTAATTTTTAACATTTAATAATCAAATAAAATTATTACGCGAACACATAATGTATTTTAGTTTGTAAGTTTGTTGTTTTTTGTGATTATTTATTTTTATTTTTGAAGTTGAGATCAAATTATTGATTGATATGTTTAATTAATTTTTGAATGCTTTTATTTACATATTAAATATTAAATTTAATGCAACAATCGACGAGAAGAGCAGAGGAGGAGATGGAAGATGATGCGTGTGGTTGGGTGAATGTTTTCAATCAAATTGATTCATCAGATTTTCTATTTACATATATGATACCTAGGCGTAAATATTTACAGGCGCGCTTTAAAATTCAAAATTCATATATACGTACTCAGGTTGCTTAGGCGTTTCCTTAAAAAATGTAAATTTAGTCCAGGCAGATGAGGAATGTGGATAATCGTAAAAGACGCGTGCAAATATCAAATTTTCAGGATGTTAGCGTTAGACTTGTGTAAAAAGAAAACGATAAAGTTTGAAAACTTAGGGGGCGGTGTGAGAATGATTGAAGGAATACAAATAATAGCATTATACATTGTGCCATCATCCGTAGCTGTTTTTAATTGTAGGGTACTAAAAATTTTAAGAATGTTATTTGATTATTTATCTTCATACAATTGTATCTACTATGTCTACGCACTAGAGCAAGTACGATCGACGATAACTAAACAAAACAAAATGATATATACACACGTACAGTTATATCAGCCTAATATTGAGTAACAATACGAGGGAAGGAAGAAGCGCCGCTGTATTATTAATTATTGATTTACTTACCAAAATGATTTGTGTTGAGTACAAGCGTGAATGTGCTGTGAATGATTGGACATTTTGAAATGTTCTCGAGTAAATGTACGTTTGATTGTGGTATATAATTGTTCTTCAAAAGAAAAAAAAAATGAAAATACAAAAAATATCACCGTGACTGCTTGCAGGTTAACACAAAAGTTTCCAATCCAAAGAAAACAACCAAAATTTTAATTAGAGCGACATGTAATGTATGAGAAGTGCGATAAGTTTTAATTTTGAAATATTCGGTGTTTGAATAAATTAGAATCGAAATGTAAGCAGCCACGGCGAACCGCGCCTGTGATAATAGTATCTTCAGGATAAGTTGTGACCTTAGTCTGTCGTTGTTATTTTGCGCGCCGCACGACTTGCGCAACATGACATTAACTATTCTAATGAGTGTTAAACGTTGCACGTTTGGCAGCGCGGGCGCGTTTTGCCCCTAAACCGACCTGCAACGTTCCAAGCATGATTATTACATTTTTAGTGCGACGCGCAAGAAATATTTTTAAATATATTACGATATTTATGTATATATTATATACATGTAAAGAGATGCATACAAAATGAAGCAAAAACTAATTGAGACACAAAAACAAGAGCTACAGTCATTCAATATTTAAAAATTGTAGTATTGATACATATATCAAAGAGTCACAGTCGAAAATCGAGTTTGTGGGACAGTTCAAGGAGACACGGCATTGAAGCAAACTAAATTTTAAACTATACAATATTACAATTAATATCCGTACCTCTTATAATACACGATTATATTATTAGTATGTAATAACATAGCATACAAATGAAAAACTTTACAAATTTACTTGTGATGTCAATTTTATCTCTTGAACATGATGGCAAAGAAGAAAAAATGAGAAAAACACAAAAAAAACATTAGATATTAGTTGGTACTAACATGCAAAACTATTTACAATTAAATAATGAGTGCGGCGGCACGCTCGCATTCTGCATGATTATTGATTGAATTAATTTTCAAGCGAAGTAACAATAAGCAAAATGAAGTCATTCGAAAGTCATTTTACAACTTATACAATTACAAAATGTGTATTTACAATTATCGTATGATTCATATTAAGGTAGAACGAAACTGATTTATTTTTTATTTAATTGTTTAACAATGTTTCTTTATATATATATACATACATAATATACATACATTATTTTCTCTAGATTAAGTTCGAAACTAACAAATATGGCGAATTGGTGAGGCAATATTAAGATTAGTCGGTTCGTTTGGTGTTTTATTTTACAAATCAAGATGAAAGAACTTAATAATGAAACAAATAGTGAGGCGATGCATAATAAATTTAGTAGTTAAGTCACCCACACACATACATATTTTATGAAGTTGCGCGCTGATTTGGCGTCCACTCAAATTATCAAGAAACAAAATTGATTATCGTAATGGAATCGCTTTTGATTTACAATTTACATTCACATAATGTAACACACGAAGTAAAGCGTTAGAAGGGAGTCCATTTAAAACAAAAACCTGTAACATGTTGTTGTTGACTTATTGACATGGCATCGACATATTTTTCTCGCCAAAGACAATTAATAAACGTTTACATATTGTACTATTAACTACTATGTGTATGAGAATGCAGAAAATTGAAACAAATCTTCATATACATATATACATTTACATTTTATCAAAGAAAATGAGAAGCATTTGCTCACTTACTATAGAAGTTTAAAAAGTAGGAATCAAGGAATCAAAACGAGTGTTGGATGTTTCTTTTAATATCTATGAAAATCTCAATAATGCACTCTTACGAATCCACACCCACACCAAAATATCAAGTTGCTTTCGAATTGAAGTTGATGATATACTTGCTATATTCCTCACGTTTTGGGAACCTACGCGTTACTACGAATGTTAATAATTAGATGTATTTCCACTAGGACTCTAGGACTAATTCTTACTGAAAGGTTGTTGCACGCCGGAAGTATATTCCACGCAATATCGCAATATTAGACACACTTTCTCTCAACATCCGCATGTTTATGACATACATACAATTTTTCCCGAATGTTGATAATATTATACGACACAGACACAAACTTAGGACACGACTACCACTACCTTTCAAATATATTCAAAATATGAAACATGTATAACTTTAATGTGATAGATTTTTGATGATTTTTACAATCGCTAACAGTCTCATAATTGAAATGTTTGACAAAATATTAAATGTTATCATGAATCGTGTACAAAGCAGCGACGGGCGGTAGGAAAGCGATGGTGTGAATTTAAGATGAAGTCTAAATATTTAAAAAGTCACCTGAGAAAAACAAACAAAATGCAAAAAAAAGAGGAAACGAGAGTGGAGAGGAGAAAATATTAAACGTTTTTAGATACTCGTATTTTCGCCATGTATACACACATACAAAAGTTAATATTTATAAATTATACATTTATTATTCATTGATTGATTTGGATATTTACAAGATTGGTGTAAATCTAATGTGGGTGTTTGTTGAATCATTTAATAATGACAAAAAAGCAATCGCAAATAACGAAAAACTAAAGAAGGCGTGAGGAAGCTGTTTGGAAAGTTATTCAAATTCAAGCTTAAAGTTTAACTATAGCAATAAGTATTTCACGAGAGAAGAAAATCAGTATTTATCGTAAAAATTACAACATTAATGGAACATGAATTGACAATGTATAGTTGACAAATTTAGCCAGACGTGTTGAACATGTAGTTGTTATCCTAGTTGGTTTTATATGAAACATCCTAAAATGCTAACTAGTTTCTCGATGAGTTGCTTGAATTCTTTCGAAACTTGCGAAATAATATCAACACCGGTTTTACGAAAACGCAATGAAAAAAAAAAAGAAAAATTTTATTCTAAAATTGAACACTGAATTAGACGGTTTTCTAGATGACGCTCTGTACAATCATTTTGAAACGACCATATATAATATATCTATACACCACTTAAAAGAATAATAATAATATTTACTAATGTATAAAGAAAGTAAAGATACCTTATCTACCTTACCTCATAATGCAACTTATTATCCAAACCAATTGAATCTAAGTAAAATATATTCACTGCGTCGTGACGCGCGCTGGCGTGGGTTCTTATTAATTAATTGGTTTCTTCAATGAACGGTTGTGAGCCCCATTGATGTATCGATGCAAATCAAGAGTATTTTTTGCCCCCGTTTGGTTGTTGCGATGCGATAATAAGAGGAAGATATCTATTTGCCACATGCCCCTATTTTTTACGTGTTTTTTCAAAGTTGTCTTAGATATCGTAGTATTAGGTGGGAGATGGTAGTGTCGTGTTTTGAAAGCAGATTGTGCAATAACTGCAAATACGATGAGTGAACATCATGAAATTAAAACAATAATTCTACAAATGTTGTAACCAGAAATGAATCAAAATTTTGGCGGAGTTTAGTTGTACGTTCGTTATTTGTGTGGTGTAAATGGAAATAAAACTGCATTTTAGTCAGGAAAGTACAAATTTAACACTAAAAGAAATGAATATTTTTGAAGAGTCGTGTGAATTACTACAAATTAAATTAAAGGAGTCGTTAATTAAAATAAATTGATGTATGTATTTTAGTGTGTTTGCATAGATGTTAAAAAAGTTTCAACGATTCTGATATTCGGATTTTAGTTTTTGTCGAGTTGTATATGCGTCGTTTAGTTTGTAAACTTTGCAGTACGTGTAACGAGAATGTACGATTGTAGAATTTAGAGTAAAATACGATGTAAGAAGCTCTTGTTGATTAAGTCATATTGTAAACGTTGCAAACATATCATTTTGACGATTTTCATGTATAATTTTCTAGCAAACTTTACGGAATTTTAAAATAACTAATAGCTGTCGTTGATAGTCGTTTTTATCGAATTTCTAAGTCGCCAATTACGAATTGCTTTGAGAAGAACAGCCCGGATTGAAGTTGACAACAACGCGCCAATTGCAACTTATTAATTACCATATACATAATTAATATATTGACAAGCACGTGTTTCTCCATCAAAGAATATTTAATAACAAGCAAAAAAAAACTTCCAAAATCCAAATTGTCGTAGAATTTTACTTGGTTGTGTTTGGACGATGCAGGAATGACAAAATTTGCGAATAAGTTTAGAACGAATAAGAATTTAACAATGCAACCAAATTGAAACTTGGCTCTTTGAAGACACCAAAATGAACTTTTTTGAATTGCCGTATATACTGTTGACGAGTTTACATGTATACACATTCACGCAAATTTGCGTGTGAAATGAAATTCAAATGAAAACATCCAAAGATTTTATTGCCATTTCTACGATTAGCGTTTGCTAGTGGTTGCTCGCACTAGTATGCAAAAACTATATACCTAAGTGTAATTGTAATCTCTTGATATTTACAAGTTTCCATTTTACAATTATTACAAATTTCTTAAGATAACTACCGACGAATCGTGGCAAAAAAGCAACATTCAAACGCATGTGCATTAATATCTCGCGCTACACACATAGATGGAGACAAATTGAAGATCTTCTGCAGATCTCCGGTAGCAATTGTTCGAGTAGAAAGGCTGGCCTGCGCATATTAAATCCGCTTGTTTTACCTATCTAACAATCTTGACTTTTCTAGATTTTAAGAAACAATTTGAAACGGATTTTTAAAAGTTGAAAGAAAGACCGAAACAAAAGGCATCTAATTGATTGAGCTGAAAGCGCTTGATGTAAGAATTGATAAAGAAATCGCGTCTATTTACACGTTAGCCAAACAACAAGAGATTTAATTGGGATTGGCGACGAAAAAACGAATACATGTCAAAGCGGAAGAATAACTAAACGCTACTTACTGGTCGTCCGGTCCTTTTCTTATCTATTACTTTACAACTCCGACTTTATCCTGCTATATTGCACAGTAATTTTGATTTTGGTTTTGTTACTGCTTCTCCGAAACTTATTGTTTCTCATTTTTTGATAATTTTTCATTTTGTATACCATTCTTCGTAGACTTGTTGTTTACACCTTTTTTTTTCTTTCTATATCTTTAAAACTAATTGTTGTTAGTTTCTTCTTTACCTTGTAAGATAAACAAGATGAATCAAAAACGGGGTGTTTTCGCGGACATTGGAAATGAACGAACGAAACGGAAATACTAAGCATGAATCGCAAATACAATAAACACAATGGTTATTCAGGGTTATAATTCGGAAGCCGTTTTATTTATTTATCATGAGAGCGCCTAAGAATCGACGAGCGACGTGCACGAATACACGCAACTTTGATGAAGATGATGCGTCGCGAGACGATTGCAATGGCGAGTTAACGAAATGGCTTCGGAAGAAATGTATTTTTGGATGCAGTTTATTTGGTTATTATTGCATATTACGTATTATATGATGTACTATTAATTGATACGGCATATTTTGCAAATTATTCATGTACCTATTACTATACTATTACCATTATATCCGATCATACGGACGCAACCAAATTTAATTGTGTGGGCGTTTTTATTGTCTTATTGATATTTAACAATTAGAATGAACGTTGGTTGATTTGCGCATTACTCCCGAGGGGGTTGGCGGATTGACCAACGAATGAATACGATGTGTACCTTATTTCTATAGAATAGTAGAGTTACGAGCGTAGTAATGAAGTGCTAAACGAATGCGATCTTGCATAACTTGAAATGAAACGAAAATGCAAGAGTTACAATATTACGATCAGAAAATTGTGGAGATCACAACAAAAAAAAAAGCAAAAATTACTTTATAAAAACACAAAAAATTTAATAATATGTATATGTACTGTACTGATGACGATTTTATGGTTGTTACTTTGTAAGTTTTTTTGGTTTTTTATTTAAAATAAATATTTACAATTACAAAATGTTGCTGTGTATTTTTGTTATATGACGTATTATTGTTTAAACCTCTACTATCGACAATGGAATACATTCGTCCGCAGGTAAGTGAATAAAACTTTGCTTGCATAGATGCGATGTTTTGTAACTTTGATAAAAAGGTGAACTTGAATTGTTTTCAATGTCATTTCGACATGTGTATCAGCGTTTGAATGTAAACAAGTTTTATCACGTTCGGCGCGCGAATTGGAGTCGTGCGATCTTTTAGAGTCTGGTTGCTGCTGCCCTCTTCTCACCTCGCCGGTATCTCGCAGTACTTTGGCAGACTTGCTACATTCCTGCAGTTTCTAGTCGACCGGCCGCTCACACGCGTTGCACGCGATTCGCCGCAGTTTTAAAGATTTTAATTAGGAAATCGTATTCTGCTTGATCGGCTACCGATGATATTGAGTGACAATATTCTTGCGCGATGTTGTGCTAATGATTTATCCCGCGTGAACGGTGCGGAGTGTTTGTACAAGGTGTTTGTACAATTCGAGTGGCTGTTCATGTGTTGGGGAGGAAGATGTTGTGCCGTCGGATGTAGATTATCTTCAAACGTCTACAAATCAACATATAAGGATATATGAATGCAGCAACAAATTAGAGGTAATTTATTTTTATAATTCTGGAAATAAGAAATAGAAATATCGCTATTGATTTTTTAATTAGGATGTACTTACTGTTTATATTAGATTTGATCAGGTCATTTTTGAGTTTGTAGGTGTTTGTGTGTTGACTGTTTTGTGCGATTTAGTGCAACAGATCTTTTTTTTTATCTTATTTGCGATCGTAGGGTTAGTTTCCAAACCAATACCTTTAAGATTAGCAAGTTTACGAAACATATTTTATAGCTATGATACCTATATTTTAGTTTTCTCTTCATATTTCAATGGGGAACCTTCAGGCACCGGCCGTAGCATGGTTCAAACCCGTGCATTCCTGCGATTATCGAAGTCTAGCATCGTCGGGCGCGGGTAGTACTTGGATGAGAGACTGCTGAACTCCTTCCAACCACCCGTTAGTAGTTTCAAGCCGCACTACCATTGAATTAGTGGGTTCAAGTCCTACCCTCTCCTTGCACTTGTAGGTTCACGCCCTGCTTTCACCTATAATTCAGCTTTCTTTTCAAAATTAGATTGCTCAAGAGTTATTTATAAGGGCACGTACCTGCGCCTTCTTATGTTGCTCGAATTGTGTTAAAATGACCCCCAAAGTTAAGCCTGTTTTCACATTTTTTATTTATGCTATATTTATCAATATCATCAATATTTATCAATCAATTTATCAATTATTTATCATTTATACAATTATTTATTTATATTTTAGAAGGTGTAGAGTTACAACTATTACCAAATTTTAGGAAAGTTAAGCCTGTTTTCACGTTATTTTAGCAAACTCCATTTTTACATATATTGTTCGTTTATTTATGCGAGTATAATATTTTTATATTTATCAATGTATAAAAGTTGCAAAATTTAAATTGTTTAAACATAAAATTTTCAGAGAATAGTAATTTTAATTTAACAAATATTTAATAATAATCATCATCGATATCTTGGCTATTCGTTCCTTTCTATCTCCTTTAGTTTACGAGATATTAGCAATTGAAATAAAACGTCAAAAATTGAAAATTGCACTTTTGAGCTCTTTCAGTCGCGGTTTCAGTCGCGGTATCGAGAACAATGATGAAAATTATTAAAGATTTGTTGAAATAAAATTACTATTATGCGTAAATTTCATGTTTAAACAATTTAACTTTTACAACTCTTATACATCAATGCGTCTGGCAGGATGACAGAACCGACCAAATTTATAATATGTATCAAATTCAGCTTCTTAATATAACGAAAGTAAAAAGTTAAAAAATATTATAGTTTTGGCTAGGTTGGAACCATACCAGGTGTTATATTTTAGAAGGTGTAAAAGAGTTACAACTATTACATTGTAACACTAAAATACAAATAAATATAACTTTACTGATATTTAAACATTTTTGATAAAGTGTAAAGTACGCTTTACAAATCACGAATGCGTTAACTAAGCTTGGGCAGGTTGACACAATGAAACCTAACATATAATATCGTGATATAATACATAAACCATAATTATATTGAAGCCACCTTGGCTCCGGCGCTCTCTAGCGGCGTATGGACTACGAGCACCGCCGACTAGACCGCGCTAAGGACGCTCAACTAGGGATCCTAGAGAGCTGGGATCTTAGGGAGCTGTCCTCATGACAAGCGGCAACCCACAATCCGACCTCACTAAACATCGACACCTTGCAAGCGAGCTCAACCTCTCAGAACAGCGACATCCTCACCAGTCCACTAATACCCAAGCCCTTCACCACCGCTGACAGAAAACCTACGCATCAATATAAAAGTTTATTTTTGTGTTATTAATTAATATAATGTTATAAAATGTATCACTACCTGTATTACTAAACCATTGCAAGTCAATGCAAGTATTTGTCAAGCCTGATGTGGATAGCTATTTCGACCATTAGAGGTCTCATCAGCACACCTACTGGCTTGACAAAGCCAGGTTTAGTAAAAATATCGTTTCGGCGATATTGTGAGGGTATAGTGTACAGTAAGTGTTTACTTAACTTTACTTAGCTTATATTCACCCTCTCGAACTACCATTGTATTTCAAAATTAATATAACTAATATAAATATTTATTTCAATTTTAAAGTGTGTAGTGTTATAAATGTATTACTTCTGCACTGAAATAGAAATAAGCAATATTTTACTGTTTTGCACACATATAAAGTGTGAAGTAACCTTTTCAAAAATGTTTGTGTTAAGTGAGTCTTAGTTGTTGTCCATAAAAACTGCTACGATAAACTACGAAAAACTCTCTCTGTTGTTCTCTTCTCTGTTTTAGGGCGAGTCACGAGCCAAATTTGAATAGTCGCTTCGTCGGCCGACTCCCGATTTAAAATAAAATAAACAAATATACCTCTTCCCGCATTTCCTCATAACAATGTCATTTATACTTATTAGGCAGATTTTATTATTTCAAGATTAGTGTCGAGCGTTGCAACCTGTGAAATACTGGTATGTAGAATATGTAATTATGTATGTTTCTGTACCTCTATCGACAGGTGCTGGTAATAATATGTAATGTCTTTAGTCATTGAACGCGAGCGGGTCGCCGCTATAAACCAGGCGGGTGGAATGGGTTTAAATTAAATTCTCCGTCTAGCTGTATTTGTTTGATGCAGGAATCTGACCCGCAACCCGCCAACCTTTAAAGTGTGATTTATCTGTCAGTTTTTCGTGAAATAATCGTATTTTTTTGAGGTAAGACGTGATCTCAGCGTCTCACAACTTCGGCGCTGCATCTAAAGATGGAATTAAATTCTCCGTCAGGTGTATGTGTGTGATGGAGGAATTCTCCTGCAACCCGTACAAATTTGCATTAAAGTGTGATGTACCCACCGTTTTCGGAAATATTTGTATTTTTTGAGTTTGTACTGATCGTAGCAGTTCTGCATACCCTGGCGCGGCATCAAAAAGATGGAACGCAACGTTCAGTTTGTAATAGTTTTAAAATTAAATTCCTGTTTTTCTCAATCTTATGAGACATCCCAAAAGCTTCAATAAATTCATTTTCTTTATGCCGAGAAATATTGGAAAGTAAAAAAGTTGATTTCCTGTGTATGTCGGTTATTTCAAATACTGTGAAATTTTAGTTTGGTCTTTCAATCCGAGTTTATCACTATTGCCCGTGTATAAACAACTTTTTCTGTTGACTAATGCGCGTAATATCGCTACCACCAGCCTTGTACCTGGCTAAGCGAAGCGCACTCGGTAGCCGTTTCACCGCGTATCCGCGAACGTGTTCCTTCTAATCGCCGTGCGTTTTGAGGCTGTAATTGGATTAATCACGTACTTTTTTCGACCATCAAAGCAATTATTATTCTGCCGCATGTGTCGCTCTGCTTCAATGTGATTTCCAGGCGTTTAGATTCTCCTGAAATAAAGGTAAGGTCCATTAATCTGTGCGTGTTTTGTTATAATTATATTCAAACATAAAACTTCTTTAATACAGTTGCTGCGTACTCAAATTTTTTACGGAAAGTTACGCCGGTTTCAATTTAAATTGATTATTCTATATGAGTATATGAAATTTGCATGTATCATCTAGCAAATTACAAAACACACATGGTAGGCAACATTTTTATCAGAATTTTAGTTCCGTTTCCGAAATTAAATACATGGATGATTTAATTACTGCAAACACTGTTTTAAAAAAGCATCTTAGCTTATTAAAATTCGTACTATCTATATGGTCGACAACACTCACTTTGCTGTCGGTCGCTCTATTGCTCGGCCATCTTTTCTGATGAACAATTTAAATGTTTTAATCGATTTGCAACTCTTTTAGTAACACATCTTGTACCTTGAATAATTCGTTTTCTATAGTTCTATACATTTTAAATACGCAAAAAAATAGTTATTTTTATCCCTCTCTTTGGACAACTGTATTGCTACGCCGTCGCTTGCCGCTGTCAGCTGATTTGAATGTTTCCGCCGATATTCTATCAATTTATGATGTGATGCTTCACCCGTCGGTTACTTTATGTAAAGATGCTTCAATTAATGAATACGCATTCCTGCCAATATAAATAATTTATTTTTATGTCAGTCTTTGCTCACTTCCTGATGATTTTTTTGCAAAATCTGATTTTTGTATTAAAATATTGTTATTGTATTGTAAATTTCTCTTCGTGTTGTGAAATATTAAACCTTTTGTAAAGTTTTAAAGTTTTTCTTAGTAAATTATGTGTATATTGTTTTTCTAACACTACGTAGAAAATCGCCAGCCGTATTGGCGTTTTTTTCGTTTAACCAGAGATTTTCTTCCGAAAACACCCTGTATACAATTCTTTGTGTCCGTGAAAACCTTGTTTTAACGTTGTTTTAGGGTTTTCTTTATTGCCCCTTGAATTTTTTGTAACACCCTGTATATATTAGTTTCCTGAGCCTCGTGAAACGAATGATATTTGTAGTGTTAAAATATTTTCGGTTTCAAGGTAGAAAATTTTCATTTCTAACAATAATCTGTATATAGTTGTTTTCGTTTTCAATAACGTAGAAATGAACCATATTTGCTAATTTCCTTATTCCGGTAGAACTGAACTTCTACTTGCTTATATAAAAGTGCGTGGCTTGGCAGGTCGTAAGTCCTGCTTCAAATATGGCGGAACTTATTTGGTTGACTTGTAAAATGTAAACTTGTATTCTATTGTTACTAAAGAATCAGTAAGATATATTGGACTTCTTTACCTAGGTATGTACCCCTTCTATGATTACTTCAGGAACAGTTCCCCTCTCCCCAGGGGATGATCCCCACTTTTAAAAATTGTTAAGGTATTCCCGGTGCGATTCGTGTACCCATCTTTCATTTTCAGCCACAGGTCAGAACTTGTAAGAATATGGTGTCACCTCTTGAGGGCGACTTAAAACTTAGAATACTAAAGCGAAAGTCCTTATTAGGGATTGTCCTTTTGCAAGGAGTCCTCTCTCTCTGGGGCATCCCGGCCATTAAAATTAAGTTTATGTCTGAGAATTTTCTGGGGATGAAGCGCAGAGACATCGTAGCTGTAGGGATGGGCTGGGAGCAATGAACGCATCGAAGCAAGGACTGTCTAACGACACGCTCCAAAAAATTTAAAAATCTGATCCGCTCCTGTTGCTTTTTCTTCTATCTCCTCCTCCTCTTCTCTAATACCTTCTCCTTCTGTCTTCAACTCTTTTCTACTATTCCTTTTTTCTGACTTCTCCTATTTCCTCTGTTCTCCGTTTCCTCCATTTCCTCTTACTTCTTATTACCCCTACTTGTATTTCCATTTCTGCGTACTTGCCGTACCCAAAGTATATGCAACCCAAATTTCCCCAATCTGATATTTTTATATTGAGAAAAAATGCCTTCTGTCTGAGATTCGATCCGTGTCTACTAGCATGCCAGCAGGTGCACGTCTCCACTCGACCACCGAGTGTTTTTATTATTGTTATTCGTTTCTTCTATATATGTTTATCTTTTATTCAATTTAAAAACAACAATACATGCAGCAGCTATGCGTTTCACACGCTTCACGCGCATTAAATTTATATGCAATATATGATTTGTGATACCAATACTGAAAACAACAAACGGGATACATACAAAATAAGAATTAATTTTTAACATTATATTGTGTTTTATTGCCAACGTGTAGAAAGAAATATTTTTTCAAATAAAACATTGACGACTCAAATTTCGTAGCAGTAAAAACTTGCCTTAAAATGTGCGCATCTCCAATACTTCCTTCATGGTATTGTAGATTCCATGACTCTCATACACCTTTAGTACGCTAGTAAATGCACATACCACTGAGCTACCACGCTGAACTTAAGTTGTTGTTTGTTGCTGTTATAAATGTTACATTATTAATCACATTTTAAAAAGTAAACAAACATTTACAGTATCTCCAGTAAACTCCACACTCCTTTATTATTAAATGGAGAATTTTTTATTTGATTAGCAACTTACCACTGCATTTATTATTATCACAATAATAGTCGATAGCAATTATTGCGATTAACCGAATAAAATACCCGAGAAACGTGGCGAACCGCATGGTGCGTACGGACGCACCGGCAAACAGAATCAAACTACTCGTAGATAACAGTCACAAACAACACAAGGCTAAAAGCGCGCGGTGCACCGATGAAAAAAACTACTTGCACATAAACAACCACATAATTCTCGCGTATTTTCTAGCAGTAAAATCTCAAATAGAATCACGTTTGGATCTGTTTGAAACTTAGGAGAAGAACCCAAATTGTAGGTGTGCGTAATTAATTTCCGGTCCAGGGATTTAATCACATGAGTATCGGAACAATAAATGTGTTGGCCGATTGAACTAGCAAAGCCGTAAAAGCGATTACAAGTTGATTATATATCTTGTTTTTCTTTCCATGACAATAAAACATTTACATGTAGCATCATTAATATTATCTATCATAATCCAAATTAACATAATTCATTATACAATTATTTAGAAAATAGGAATATGTACATTATATTTTTGATGTAGATACTATAATATTTTATACAAGCCGTTGTTATTCGTTTTAAATCGAGTTAAATTTAATTAATTTTATAACTTTATTTTTGGGTCAGGCTTTAGGTTTACTTTGAAATTTTGATATTGAAAATGTATAAATGTATAACACCGAAAAGCATTTGTTGGTTGTTTAACAATATGTCGAGGAATGATTTGTACATCTGTACAAAATTTTACAATAGTTATGTCAATCAATGGTCACAGTAATAAAATTGTTTAGTTTTCGTAGCTTATGTTTACAAATTTGTTTGATTCGTCAATAAATGTCATGGCAATATTTACAGAATGACATGAGGGATGATACATTTCATGTACGAAACCAGAGATAGAGAGAGCACACATTTGAAATTATTGTTAATTAATTACATGTTACGTCAGTGGCGTGCAATTATCGATGATCTTACATTCGCATTCTTTGTTGCTTGAGCTATGAATCATTTACAATGAACTAACTTATCGAAACAACGGAAAGATGTTTACATCTGGGCTCTTGACAATTAGAATGAACTCATTCCAACTGTCTAACACACCTCATAGATTATCGCCGCCGACTGTCTGTTTGTATAATACTGAACTGCGGATTGTTGTTTCGTCTTATGTCTAATCTTAAACGCTAACATAAGAGATCAGTGTTTTCAGCACGATTGTCCTCGTGGTCGGGTTAACAAGTTTAGATGGGCCAATCTCGCATTCAACTCACAATCTACTAGTATAGTCTTCATCGATATAAAAGTACAAAATAAATAAGACGCATGCGTTTTTCGAATATGGATTAAATTTCGCTAATGTACGCTTAGTTCCATTATTACAAGTATACGCAAGTGTAGTCCGAAAACATTCAACTGGAAGCCCGAGGTACTAGTGTCGAGTGTTCGAACAACCGAAGCAGTACTGAGCTAGGTCGTCGTACGTGAGAGAAGAACAGTGGTGAAGATCGCCGAATGAAACGAGTCGTAATTTACATGTAAGGCACAATCAACATCCCATCGCGTTCTGACCGCGTTCGACCGCAAGTTATATACAAGCTATTCGTCCTAGAAACCCTGTGATTATCGTAAGTGAACACGGCTCAATCGTTCCATCCGTCATTGGTCCGCACTGCGTGGCATCTGGTAGCACCAACAGTTTAGCGTATCTTTGTATGTTACACGACCAGTGCTCGAGTGAGCACTAGTAAAAGCCATTCTCACACCTCGGTACCATCCTCACCCTCGTCCTCGAAGAGGGGACCGGTAGAGGTGCGCTTCTTAGGCTTTGGCGGAGGTCGCGGCGGGATCTTAGGTGATTTGCCGTCGGTAGGGATGAGCGATGCTGTAGAGTCGCGCCGCGAGTCAGTATCGGAGCTGCGCGCCCACGAACTACGCAGATCAAACTGAGGACTTAGCGCACGATGCGCAGCGAGGTTTCGCGGCAGCGTAGATGCGGTGAGAGCACGAGGCGGGGACTCGTGCTCGGCGATGGTATCACAAGGTTGCGGTGATAGCAACGGCATATTCGGCCGTGCGGTACGCGTTGGCGTTCCAGCCGGAGATGTAGCGTCCAGCTTGTTGAGAGATAGCGCGGAGGCGCCTTTAGCCGTAGTGCGTAGGCCCAGATTGTCGTAGAGGGGTTCGCCCACTTCGGGCATGTTGGGAGGTTCGCTACTCCAGCTGGAGCGAGGTCGTCTAGGAATGGTTACATATGCTCCCGGGCGGGACACCCTAGCCAAAGGCTGAACACCATTAGAAGCAAATGGCGAATGCGACCTAGAGTAGGGCAGTGTCCTGTAGAGAGCGTTTGAATGGTCGTACGATGGGCTGTGAATTGGCGAATGCATCCCATGATGTGGTAATCTGGTAGTATCTGCAACTGTAGATGCAGAACTTCCAGCTGGCGAAATTTGGTGAGTTGCCCTCGGTGGAAATGACAACAGATCTGGAGGATAGTGATCCGTTTTATAATCATCGACCATTGGGTTCCGCTTTGGAGCTTTCAAAGCAGGATAATCATACAACTTCATTTCTTCATCACCATCTAAAAAACATGAATGAGTATCCATTGCAAAATAAAATATCATTTAATATTGAAAAAAAGACTTACTGTAAATAGACTCATCATCAATGAGTTTGGTCTTGGCATCACTGACTTCAGTGCCACCGCTAATAACCGAAGTGGGCACAGAATGCTGCCTCGGCGGTTTGGAAACAGGATTAACACTAGTAATCCGGCCGTCATCGTGTCTAGAGTCGGAATTATTCCTGATGAACTCCTGCATTTCCTTTTGATTTGGATTGTTCTTGGTTAAGCGCTCATGGTTATCAGTGCGCTTGCAGCAGCAGCAGATGAGCAGCATGATGACCACAAGTAGAATAATCGCACCGGCAGCCAGGAGAATAATCAGCAACATAGTGTTGGACATTGAAGTGGACGATAAAGTGCCACCACCCAAATAATCCGTACCTCTGAGATACACGGTGACGTTACGCTCGTCAGAACCACCCGGATTGGTGGCAATGCACTTATAATCTCCGCGATCACGATAGCTCACGTTAATTATAGTCAAATTATCCCAGTAGGGCCAATCTTTCGAACTGGACACGTGATATTTTTGTGAATTTCTATGTGTGTCTACACTCCGTCCGTTCGACATCCAAACAACAGACGGACGAGGATCACCTTCAACCTTGCAGGGTATAGTGTAATTAACACTGTCAATCTCCAGTACCGCGCTGGGCGAGGGTTCGATGATTTTCGGCTCGCAGGCAAAGATCACGCTCTCGTCAGCCCACTTTCTGCCTCTTAGGCGTTCCGGTTGCTGGCACTCAATGGGTTGTGTGATCCAATTATTCACCAGCGCTAGTTTCCTAAACGATTCCAGCTTACAATCGCACATCCACGGATTACCGCCAAGCTCAATACTACTCAACTTTTGCATTCTATCCGTGAAACTGGGCCCTAAATAAGTCAGCCGATTGTTCTCCAATGACAAATGCGTTATAGGGCACGTGGGACCGAAAGTATCCTCGCTAATCACCTCCAAACGATTGTCATCCAGATGAATCCGTTGAAGGTGCGTCATGTTCGGAAACATGTTACTCCCTAGTTGCCGCAATTTATTATGCGACAAATATAAGATTCTCAGCTTAACATTGGCCTTGAAGACCATGTTGTCCAGCTTCTTGATGTTGTTGTTGGAAAGGTCCAGCTCAATGAGCAGCATTAGTCGCTCGAAAGCGCTGGGGTCCACCTCTTCAATACTGCAGTTCGCCAGCTTGAGCTTGTGCACATTTTGCAGTCCGGCGTCGTCGAACTCACGCTGACGGAGCTGGTAAAGTGGATTGCCCGAAAAGTCAATCTCACGAACTTCTTTACTGAGGTCGTTAGGGATCTGACTGAAGCGTAGGTTGCGACAGTCGGCGGATTTTTTGCCACTCGACCAAACACATTTACACTTGTTGCACTCGGTCGTCCAGTCTTTTTCGCTGAGTACCGGCAGCAGCACCAATGCACAAGCCACCAAAAAGAGTGGTATCGTTAACGGTGACGCCATTTTCGATACAAGCGCCAAATGGGGACCACTATTCCATCTGAAAGCAAACAAGAATATCATTAAGTTTATGATCAACACGAGAAAGTTAATCTACGCAGTGCTTTCCGATAATCGAAAATTCACTTCGTTTCATAACCAAATGTATAGATATAGAATGACAGTGCATGTGGAGGGTATCAACCCGGCAATGTGTTCGATGCCCCAGAGGGTGGTCGGGCGCATTGTCATCGTAATGAAATCTCGGCGAGATGCCGCTGCGAATCAACGCAAAACGGGGAGATTTATATACACTGTAATTAAGATTAAATTAAATTCCGACTCCCCTATGAGATTTCGCCCTACCAACAAAGCGCGCGTCGCTGCCGCTCGCACAAACGCTGACAATTTTATTACACGCCTCATTTTACATTTTACCAGAGATACCAATAACATTAAATTAAAAATAAAACTTAAGCCGGCCAATTACTGCGGTAGTAAAACATTTAGAAGTCAGCATTAAACTTTAAAGTCACAACAGTCACATTTCAGGCGGATAGCAGTTTTTGGGACGACGGTAAAAACGGCAACGACAAACACAATGCTGGAGAATTATGTGCAAGAACACCTTGTGCGCGGTCGAGACACGAATCGTAAACTCGAGCTGAATTCAGCGTCGTGCGCGTAAACTCAAACGAAAAACGTTGCGGTTGAACATAAAGAGCGTTGCATAAAGCACGGAAAATATTATTCGGATAAGGTAAGAGAGCAAAGTCTGTGAAATGCAGTCAGTCACCTTGCCGCAAACGAGAAAATACAAATACCGCCCCCGCAACGACACGACATGCTCTTATCTTGATTTTGTGTGACTTTTTTTCGCAGTGGTTTTCTGTAAACTTGCGTTCAATGCGTCGCGCAAAATTTGGTATTTCCAGTTTTTGGCCACTTTCGCAAGCTGGCAAATTGTGCGCCGGTGATAAAATAAGACAACGAATGTTCAGGGGACTCCTACCTCAGGTCGGTTTTGCTCTCGAGCTGGGAGCAATTGAACATTTCTCTTCGGTGGCGGGCCGGAAGGCGGGAAATTGCTCTCGCACGCCGTGCAAACACCGACTCAAGTTCCGGACACAATACGTTCGCTTCTTGTTCTAGCGCCGCTCCACTCGAGAATATACGCCGAGCGGACGCTGCGAATTTCACATTCACCTTGCACGCCGGGCGCAAAACTCGGAAATGCATTTTATAGCCAGTTTAGATGGCGATTTAGATACGAATGCAAGGCGACGACTTCGACCGCATATTGAATATGATAATGATAACGATTTAACTGAGTGTAGAAATAGTGCCGGGTACAAAAGAGTTGCTTCTTTGCCGCCATTGTTGCGTTAATAAAGCGATTGCAGCTCAATAATACCATCGTCCCTATGGTAATCAGTGAACAATGAGGTGATTTGTCTGATTTGAACAGAAATCGAAGAAAGAAAGCACAACTGTGAACCTACAAAGCAATAAATAATAGATTAGACCACACATTGCTATCAGCACGTACGGGAACAATGATCAATCGAAGTTTGACCTGCGCCAAGTTTAGTACATTTAGTTTATCATCAAGCGTTCAATTTAAATTCCTTACATTCCACTCAAATTGCGCTGAAATAATGAAAGAGAGCGCCGCTAAGAAAGTGCCATTATTCTGATAACACACCGAGAACGAGCTCGAGAATGAATTTAAATCGAAATTTCATTAGTCCCGAGTCTCGCTGCTTCCGATGTTCCTCTTCTGCTGCTTGCCCTGCGGACGTTCGAATTTCAATCGAAATTCAATCGAAATTCGAGCGCACGCCGAGACGAAATGAAGCAATCTCGCTTTCGGGCAGTCGCTGCATTCACTGCTGACTTGAGCAATGGCCGAGCGACGTACAAACAGTGTTCCCAACAAGTGGACCATCGTTTAACTACCACCCGCTTCCGAGCAAACTTAACTCGAAATGCAATTATTCTGTACTTTACACGTTCCCAGCATAAAGCCCTTTAATTGGCTACCTATAATAGTAAAGTTAATATTTCATTCTATACAACGTGTATGATTGGTTGCATACGATAAATTATAATATTGCTCTTAGTTTGCTCCTAGAGTAATATTTCATCATTTTTATATATAAAAAGAAAACTATATGTATAAATAAAGAGTATCCGTATAACAAGAGAAAAAAAACGTAGAAATATACACGAAGCATACGCGAATTGAAGATTTATAGGCCCGATAGGCAGTGATTTCTCACGTTTCTTCGCAAACTTTTTTCGGCCATTTTTCCTACCCGCGTCTAAACACTTTTTGCAAGTCGCAACAAAGAGAGAAAAACTCTGGAACTTCCCGACTGCGTCTGGAGTTGCCAGAGACTCGTATATAAAGCGAGTACAGTTTTACGATTAGAAAACGATTTACGAATCCCGAAGATTTCCTTTTTACGCCCGGCTCGACGTCACTGCACGGCTTTCTTTTCTTTTGAGTCATTAGCACGCGTCGTTTTCACCCCACAGACCAAGAAAACCGACGCCCGCTCCTTTGTCGCTGCGTTTTTTTGTTTCCTGTCTCAAACCCTAAATGCACCCAATGAAGGAAACAAGGAAATCGTTAAAACCTCCGAGGCTTGTTAATAGATTTGTACTTACGAGTAAAGTGGAAAAAAATCTATTACTTTTTTTTTCAATTGTAATTTGATTTAAATTAGCCTATCATATCATAGTAGGCAACAAATAATACCTACATTACTAGTAAATTTTAAATGTAGTATTTCAGTTTAGTTGGATTGAAAGTAAATTTATTTCCCAAGATTATCACCAAAAAGAAACAAAATAAATGTGTTGGGGTAAAAGTGACGTTTTCCGGTTTCTCACTTTTGGTTTTACATTATCGTCTCGACGCGTGCCGTGGCAGGAACCGCACGAAGACACGAAGGACCGAATGACATGCGAGAGTAACAGACTGAAAGACACGAAAAACCAGGAGCAGCCAGCTAGTTTACGGCCTGTCGTCCTGACCGAGGCGAGTGAGAATATAATTGGAACACGTTTCCAAAGTGCTAGTTAGACGTCTCACGTTTTCCATTACCAACTCGTTGCGCGCGCTCATAATGACACCGCATTTTTTACCCCTTTTCTCAAGACTCAACTCAACTCAAGTCCTTGATACTTTTTTCCTTCATAATTCAAACACTTACAGACGTAGAAAAAAAAGCAACAGAAATCATATTAGAAAGAAAATATTTGCCAGCATAAACAAGCGTTGAAATCAAACATAAATCCACTTTAAAGTGTTTCCATGTAATACAAGTTTGCAAAATGAAATATCCGCCAATAATTGTTATCTTTAACGACAGCTTAAGTTATCGCCACTTATTTATTTACAAGCCGGATGTAATCGAGGTTGGAAGGTATAACGTTTGACATAAAATCAATGTACATTGTGCGTTGGCGTTGGTGGTAGCGAGCCGCTAGTTTCACCTTTATTATTATTGCTTTCCTTTTGTTGCTGAGCAGAGGAAATTGAACTTTGACTTTTACGTCAGTCGCTTCAAGCGACAAACAAGCAAATCCACACAAAAAACGAGCGTGCGTGTTCAACTTTTATAAAGTTGGCGGCTAATATAAAACTGATATTAAAATCGTTTTAAGTACATTATTATTGCATTAAACAAGTGAATATGTCAGGTCGAAAGTTATTCCTGAGTAAACTATTATGATAAATGTATTGTTGGTTGCCTATGTAGTCATAGCAAAGCAAAATAAACGTTTTAGGTTACCGCGGAGAATTAAAATCGTAAAATGTTCAATAATTATAAGATAATTAACCTGTTCACGATGTTATTATTAATTGAAACGAAAATAAAGCCATAAACCTAGTTAGATACATATCTGATATAATTTTTAATGCATAAAATTGGTTCTAATGTATTTCTCATCATTATAAGTTAAATATTCAGAATACATTCAAAGTATTCAGTAGTTTACCTAATAAACTACCTACACATGCTTTGGGTTGAAATTTGTTGTTTTAGTTTGTGCAAAAAAAAAGTCCACAGTGTGCTCAGGAGTTGAAGCACACGGAAAAAGCAACAAAAACTCACTTTCGAGCAGCGTTCGGGGGCGGAAATAAGGGCAAACGATTTTGCATTTTGCATTTTTACACGTAAAGTTAATTTTAAACTTTTTATTGCTTCGTGTGCGCGCTCGTCTGCTGCTCTCCGGTGAGGAGGTGAAACAGCCGACAACAAACAACCGAAATGTGTTTTTTATTCGCTTTAGCGCGTCGCTAGTTTTGCGTATCCCGACGGTGGGCGAAGGGCGCAGGGCGGCAAAAGGACCGAGGCACTCTATAAAGATCGCCTCGCAAAGATTAAATAAAAAACTTTGCGCGCACGGGCTGTAATTGTTGGCAAAGTTGGCGCATAATGTCCCGAAAGTCCGGCCGTTTCCAAACCATTTTGATATCAAACGAGCGCGAGATAGCGCCGCCGCCGCGACGCCGAAAATGGCAGCGAAAAATAAAACATAAAACGTCGCCAAAGCCAAAAGACCAGAAGAAATATTCAACGCGGCCGCGCTATTCAACACAATTCCGTTTGTGCGATAAACTGCGAGAGACTCTTTCAGAAACTGCTAGACTAGGACCAAAATGGCGACGACGGCCGAGAGTAGTAGATTTGGGTCGGCGGCAATAAATACTCTTCGGGTAGCACGCCGTGGTTGAAGCAAAAGCGAAAAAGAGAACGAGAAAAAAAGAATGTCAGAAACTAATTCATTGCGATGGATCGCGCCATGCCGATACCGATACAGATACTGATACGACGCGCTCGAAATGTGAGAGAGCAATTCATTGCCTGCGGTGGTGGTGACTGGCGGTGGCGGCGGCAGCCTATACGCAACCGAAGAGCTGTTAATGCTTCGACAATAAACCGGGCGCGAATCGTTATGATTTATTGAAACGCGTCGATAAATGCGACGCGCACCATTGGCAAGAGCCACATCGCGCACCGGAAAACCGGAATTGATCGAAAAAAGATAATGGTGGCTATTTCAAAGCCATTACTAACCAAATGAAATAGACACATAGCCACCGCGGATTTATAAACGAGCCACAACACACAAAAAAATATATAAATAAACCTATAATTTCGAACACATTGTATATAAATGGTGTCATATGTTGCGCCGCGTCCCTGGTGCGTTTTTGTTGACAAGATCGCCATCGGTTTATTGTTATATTTTGTTCGTTTCGTGGGTTTATTTCCAGCAAACTAGCGTAACAGCTGGGCCATGATTTTCATTACGCCGCCAGCAAACGCCGGACATCATCATTATCCGCAGTTTTTTACGAGTCGACTAACGCAATGCAGGCTTAGGACGACAAACCCACACCGTTGGTTCGTTGTTGATGTTGATGACGCTGATGGAACAAGATCAGACGTTGCTGCTGCTGCCTGGGAAATAATAAAAGCCCAATGGCCCTTAACTTCACTTGGAAGTTTATTGAACGATGAAACGAAATGTGTCTCGAGCGCGCATTTCATCAGATGCTGATCGCAAACGCTCCAAACACGCCGCCATTTTGGCGGATGTTGGATGTTTTGTCTTTTGTAAGCTCTTTCGCGGTAAACGTTACAGCTTTGCAGCGGATTTTAATCAAAGCGAAAGGCTCGAATAAACAAACCAATACGATTTTGGTTAATTTCTGGCTGCGAGTGAATCCATTGCCATTCAGCCGCGGCTAATGCAATGCGAACGCGTTTATTAATCAATCATCGAATGAGTGGCGCAGAGACGATTGAAAACATCGCGCCGAGATGAAACATTTGAATTGCAAACACACCTGCGAAGCCTTTCAGTGCGAAATTAATGAGTAGTCATAAACAAATATTGAAATTGCAATCTAGCCTCCGCAGAGTTAATATCAACAATAATTTTTCGATATTACATCAAATATTCTATGAGTTTAATTTTATTAATGAAAAGCACCACCTTTCGATATAGAACATTAAAACTATTTTAATAACCAAAAGTGTCGTCAAAGCCCAAACGCGCCGGAAGTCTCCAAAGGATATGAGGAATAAAACTTTTTTAATAATAAATTTCAGCCGGCCACGTTCATAACTTCGGTGAAGGTTGCAAAAACACCAACAAGTATGCACCAGCAAAAAAGGTGTATTCTGGATTGCATACAGTAAAAATATTGAAAATGAATGTACGGTTCGTGTGATATGCAAAGATTACATCGTGTAAATCCAGGCAAACATCTGATAATCTAATATATTCACAAGCGGCGAACCACACAACCACATGTTATGATTCAAAGATGGCAGAAATCGCGCAAAAGCGAATCGAAGCGCGCATTCAAAACACGCTCCGAATGTTGTGCGCGATGCTTTGTTTGCCGTCGCCGCCCCCACGCAACAAGAAAACACCGAAATGCAACACAATGCAACTCGACTTGACTATCATCACAGCGAGCTGGAAATACGTGCCGCATGCAAATTCACAAACATTTTACAAACGCGCCGCGAGCACGTACAGACGAACCAAGAAGACGAGCAAGCAACAACATCAAAGCAATTGCGACGATCGAAACGTAAATTATTAGCCCGACATAACGGTATCTATTAAGTTAGGTTATGTTAGTTGGGGCTTTAGTAAAAAAGCGCCGCGTGTAAAGTCACGAGCATGAACTCACGCGTGGGATTTCAACTTCGACGAATTCTTCGCGCAAAGGATGCGCGATTGTGTTCCGATAAATAACAGAACGCCGCTGCGCGATATTCAGCGCTATTCAGTGCAGTGTTATACGCGTGTGTGCTTGGTTGCATATCTCGACGCTGCTATCGCATTGCATATTTTCTATTCTGCGTTCCAGCCGCACGGGAATAGAATGGAACATAGCAAACGCGCAGCAAGATAGGAGAGAATCTCTTGGAAAATAAAAATTTCAACTTCAACTCTTCAACCTCCAACCCGAAACGTAAACTCGACGCGCGCCGTGAGACTCGACTCGAGTCGTCGGTGTGTGTGGGTGTGTTGCATTCGTTTTTTGCGCCCGACGCCATTTCCTTTTTCGTGCGCCGGCTCGTTCGTTTGCGTTTTATTTTTTTACGTTTTTGGGCTTTGCTTTTCGCGTATTTCTTTTTGAGGCCTTTAACCTTCGGGGCTATTACCATTAGCCCGCTTTTATTTCGTGGATTTTTTTCGAACGCGCACGAATGCGCGTTTCGGTTGCCGCTTTCAACTCGCTAAACCACGTCCTCGTTTTTATTTCAGGATCTATTTCGACTACCTCTACATCAAATGTATCAAAGCCCGGAATTTACATTTCGACGCTCAAAACATTTCTAGGCGGAATGAAATTTGAACAAAATTTATTTCACGTAATTTTTTTTTGCTCAGCAAGTGAGAAAAAAAGTGTGGAAAAATTTTAAGCACGACACGTAAAATGTTATGTTTATATTGTTCTCGAGGGTGTCGAGAATAAAATCGTGCTTGTGCAAATATTTGAAGGTCCTTTGCGGCGTACAAAACCAAACTCTTCGTTTGCAATCGAAGGATTTTCCGAACGCGTTTCCTTGCACAGATTATACGCTAGGTTTTAGACGGGTATATCCCTAGATCCTCATCCGGGGATTCACGGGATTGTTGTTCGTAGGGAAACACAGCTGTGCGCCGCACGCGTTCATAAATTCATTAAATGTAATCAACAGGACGCAATAATACACTCTGCTCGGGGTTTAGGAGGTAGTAACCGTGCTTAATATTAATAATTTTTGATGAAATTTTCGATCACTGGGCAGCATATTTTATGGAAAACCCTGGTATAATCAGCAATTGTGAATTAAGCGGATATTTCATGGTTAATTTCGAATTATAGGCGACGATAACATGCTGAGAATTACGACATTACGATTAAACTGTGTACTTTCTACGAAAGGTAAATGCACTTAATATTAATAGTTTCTAGTTAACTTTTTAATAATTAAAAAGCCAATTAATATACTATAAGATACCGAGAAAACTATTTAGTATTAATCGTAATTTGTTTGATTAATTATGCTTTGAAGTGCAAAAATCAAACAAAACCAGATCAACAACACAGTTTAAGCAAACACTTTGCAAGGCTGTAAATGCCACAAAAAACAATATTTTCTAATTATTTTTGTATTATTTTATAAACAATTTATGCACAAATTAATCACTATAAAATATTTTGGTAAAAATTGTCAATTAACAATATATATTTTCACTTTATTAAAAAATAATTATTTTATTCTGTAAAGTTATAAATATTTTCAATTGAAACTGTCACAAGTTATAAATAATTTCATTGTGAATAAAATCATGTCAAAAATTTTAATTTCTAATAATAATTTCATAACAAAATATTAATTTAAACTCAACTTGTACCAAAAATGTAAAATATTTCATAATGAAAGTATCAACTTTGCAAGCCTGTAAAATCCTGCTTTGATATAATTTACGCCAAAAATTGTTACCACAATATACAAAATTTAATCACAAACCATATTACGTCTACTTGTTTGGCGATAAACAATTATTTCCGCTTTTAATGCGACAGTTTCCGCGAAGAAAAAAATCCAACGTCGTCACCCATGTGTGTATATACATACGCGTTTACACAACATCAAACGGTGTTTACATTGTTTACCATCTTGCGTCGTTTTCCGTCGCGACAGGATTTTGACAACGACGAAATTACCGGCTGACATATTACCATACGACAAACACGACATAAAATTACACGCCGGGGCGCGTACTTCAATTGCAAGCGATTTCCGACCCGCGCGCTTTCCTGCCTGCCTGCCTGGGCCCGTCGTCGGGTGTTTATTTTCTTATCCTTTGCCGTCACCGTGCGGGCGCGAGACCGGGGCTCGTCGTCGTCGGCGGCGGATAAATACGCTCCTTAACGCCCAAGGTTTACGGTTTACACGGTTTACTGCTCGATATGTGAGACGTAACGACCGCGCGCGCGCTCACACGAGCCGACGAGTTCATGCCGCCGCCTCCGCCGTCCCCGACGAACATAACCGTATAGCATTATGGATAATTTTCCACCGTTCGCCTTGGATTACACGACAAAGCTTTCTCGCGTCGCGGCTCGGCGCAGCTCATCTCGTCGTTTAACATATAATTAATGGACGCGCAACGCGAGCAAGGAGGCGGCGACGCCGGCGAACACGAGTTATGACTTATATAAGTTTCGCCCCGTGAATAAGAGACACGAAGTTGTTTAGTCTACGACAATTATTTCTGCTTTAAAGTTCAACTTTCAATGGCGCAAACACAACAACGTGAACTTTGAAGGGGCAAAAACTACCCTTAAAATAACATTTATAATCAGTTCAATTTGAAGTCGTATAGAAAATTTAATTGTGAATAAAATAATAAATTAAAAAATGAAAATATTGAATTATTTATGAGGTAAATTCAAGTTTGAAGTAAAAAACAAGTAAAAATTATGCAAAAATTAAAATTGCAAATTAATTTTACCATTTTTTAGTTAAAATTAATTAATAACATGATTATATTCTTATTTTTAATAATTTTCAGTTTTACTCACCAGTTAATTAGTAAATTTCATCCAGATCTGCAACAAAAACAAGAATATTTAGCATTTTCACATAAAATGAACAAAAAAAGTTAATAAAAGTAATTTATATGCAAATTCCATGCAAAATAAAACGCATTATATCAAAACAAATCAGTGCACGGTGTTGCTTTGTTAATGCTATTAATACTCTAGTAAAGCAATATTTAATACGTATTAAATTTTAGAGTGACGTGTGCGCGTTCGCAGAAGATATAACAACATTATGCACACGTGATCGTGACGAAGCGTCGGATTGCCGATGATATCATTAGCGCGACAAACGCGCCGCCGCCGAATTTATTGCGCGCGGCGCGAATTATGCCCACCGCATCGCTCATAATGTCATAACGTCGTAATGAAATAACGCCGACATCAATACGTAGATACGGTGGATGCAAATTACAACGGCGCGAGTTGCTACAAGCAGTAAATGACTAGCAAAATATAATTTTACGGAATTAAAGTGATAGTTTCCCGCCAAACATCAAAATATTTTGAATTATTTTTAGCCCAACAATAAAACAACGAGTTTGTTCGTTGGGTTGCCTATATAAACAGTAAATGATAGAAAAGAATATTGCTCGTACTACCATTGTATTTCAAAAAGAATATTTTACGGAATAGAAGTCATAGTTTCCCGCCAAACATCAAAATATTTTGAAGTTATTTTTAGCCGAACAAAACGACAAACAGCGAGTTTGTTTGTTGGGTTGCCTACAATGTCTACAAGCGTAAAAATATCGAAAATATCTGTTTATATAAATACGATGAAAGCACATAATAAAGGCGCGAGATAGGTATTAGAAGCAGTAAATGATACTAAAAGATAATTTTACCAAATAAAAGTGATAGTTTTACACCAAACACAAAAATATTTAAAGTTATTCTTAGCCCAACAATACAATGGCGAGTGTGTTTGTTGGGTTGCGTAGAATATCAACAATCCGTGGAAAAACGTGGAAAACTTCTGAATTAAGCATGAAATTACTTTGGAAAAAACAATCTATTTTCCTAGATACACGAGTGATAAAATGTTTTATGGCCGACGCAAATTAATTTCTCGTCTATAAAAGGGCAATAAATATGTTTTGAATTTTCTTTTTTAAACCATATAAACATTTTAATTACTATTCAAAGCATATAAACCTTATAAAAAATTAATTACCTGCTTCCAGTCAAACATGGAAGATACAAATAGAAATTTTACTGCTTGAATAATAAAATGCATATTTAACACGTCTTTGAGCTTTCAAAAATAACAATATTCTATTATCTTTGTGACTGTGTGCAAGAAACCTCTATTCTGGACAAAACACAGTTAAGTGATAACAATAACTTGTCTAGTTTCCTCATTACAAGGCATTTCGATGACCCTATTCGATATGAGAGTATTAAAAGTTTCCTACGTGTCATTATCGACTGCTCCATCGTATCGAATCCTATTATTTTTCCGAAACTCACCGAACGACGACATAAACGCCGTTTCGTTGTGCACTAACAGAGAAATAAAACTCGTCAACTCATCCAACGACTCGCCGTAGGGCGCTGCAGCAAAAAAAATACACACCGAAGAAAGTACATAGTGAAAAACAGCGCGCGCACGGAAAATCTGTTAAGCCACTTTTACGACTGTGCTCGTATCGCCGAATCGCCAAAACGATGCCACCGAATCGCTCCTTTGCAGCGTTGTCTTTTTTTCTCTGGCTGCAGTCAAGGAGTGACTTCTTTTTAAACGATGTTTATTCAAGCGTTTCGATTCAGTTACGAGCACGACTCGCGCATGCACAAAATCTCATTTCCGCGGGATAAAATAATGACGCGCGGCTTTCAACAATGCGAAAAAATGAAGATAAAATCTATTAAGACGTTTAAGTTTAAAGCGACATCTACTCGTGGATTGAAAGTCAGTCAACGTAACGAATTTTAAGTTGTGTTAAGTTTTCGCGCGCGCACAGACGAAAAAGTTTGGAAAGTTCTTCAGCACGAAAACATTCAAAACTCATGTTAAATTGCAAACTGCAAACTTTGTTTGAGTTTGCCTGATCCGAAAAAATATACGACGTAAAGTGTGAAATTGACGAAGAGGGAAAAATCCAGGCATCGTGCACATTATATTGTCAAAAGTGTGAAAAGGCATTATGATTATAATCACAATCACAATGGAATCGTAAAACGAGATATAACGGATGCGGACGCATAACGCAAATGGCATAATGTCATAATCGTAATGGCGGCGCGCGACTTGTTCGCCGAAAGTTTTATTACGTCGAACTGAAAGCCGCCCGCGTGCAGCCGCCACCGCTGCCGCTATCGCTCACGTTCGCGTTTTGTGCAAGCTGCGTAATGTAAGATTTTAATTTAACATAACCGGAAAACAAAGGGCCATTTGCATAATAATAATGCTGACTCGCAGCCGAAACGAGCGCTGCGAATATTGCGCGCGCTGCCGCCGCCACCGCCTCTCACCAACCGCTGAATATTTTACTATCGTGGAAAGCAAACAAATTCTGCAAGACAAAAAAATCGAATATTTATGTTAAACTTTCGAAAGAAATTATTTTAATAAATTATTAAACACTCAGTATAATAACAATTGGAGTTCATGAGATAATAGACTATTTTATCGTGCATAATTTAGTACTAATTTTATATCGCTGATGTAAATATTTACGATGCTATAAATTATAAACGTTAGTTATTTGCGAAATCTTTATTTAAATTATCAAACAAATTTCAACTTTACCGAATAATAGCTCAAGAACTATGAGTTAAAATCATATAAAAGTCAAACAAAAATATTATATAGTTAATTAGGTATAAAATAAAACCCAAGGATGACTAATTTACCTTTTAATTGCGGTCGTATTCAGATAACTTGTAAATTTTGTCAAAAAATTGTGAAAAACTAGGAATTTTAACTTTTTTTTTTAATTTTGAGTTTAATTTGCTGATGAACTAGGTAATAAATCTAGCTGAAATTAGCACCAACTAGTAGTAAATTTAATAGAGATTAACTAGTATTATATTCAGATGCGTAAAGTAAAGGTAACTTAATTTAATTGGCATTACAAATGAGTCGTGTACTTTTTGATGCTAAAATTAAAAGAATTTTTGAAAAAAGTTTCAATTTTACGTACGAAAAACACATAAATTAAAGCTGATATTAATATAAAACTTTAAATACTGTAAAGTACATTTAATTACGTGTTTAATTAAAGTACATTCGTAAAAATTACATTAAAATTACCATTGCAATTGCAATTTGTTTAATATTTCCAATTTCCATAAAAATTAATAATATGACCATTCCTAGATTGTTATTGCCAACAACTACATTAAATTAATATTGGATGTTAACTAAATTAAGTATCAAGTATACTAAAATTCTAAAAGAATTTTTCCAAGTAAAAATTCAAACAGAACGACATTATAAAATGTTCAAAGCAAGAAATTTTTAATTACGACTTTTTCATGCGCCCGCAGCGCGCGTTGGGATCAAAGACTCGGTCCTAATCAGAGAAGAAATCCGCCAAATGAGCGCGAGAAACTTTGAATGAGCAACCTCCGACCAAACGCGTTGCTAGTTTCCAGTTTCCGGCTTCCGCAATCCGCGAATCTCTTTATAATTATATGTGCCACCGTAACCTACACTCACATTACCACATGTGAATAAATTTGCGCACGCATAGTCGAATTAAATTAATTAATTTTAAACTATTCTCAGCCTTAAGATATAATCTCCACGTGTGTGTCGTGTGTCATGTTCGTAATGGCGTCATCTGACCATGTTTCACGTCGTATCTTTGTCCAATTTGGTCATCGTTATTACACGAACAAAAAAACAAAACTAAACAAAAGAACAAGAAGTAAAATATATAATAACCGACACAATGACACAATGATAAACGTCAGCGATAAATAATATTGAACAAATGTACTCTAACTTTCTACCTACGCATGTGCGGCAATTGCAAGAATGAATTTATTGAATTGATAAATGAATAAGTCTCCTGCCTCGTAAAATCACTTGATTCTTGATTCCCTGAATAAATCGTGCGTGTGTGCATTACCTACATACTTCAATTGTACTTCAGTTATGTAGCTCGTAAGAAGTTATGAATCATACCGATGATTCGTAACGCAAACGGACATGCCGCGGCGGTGGCGGCGGCAGTGAGCTCGAAGCAAACAATCAGTTCAAAGCGTATTGAACTCGCGGCGTCGTTTTTCAACAGAAAACTTATCGAGCAGTTATTATTATTATTGTCGTGCACTCCAGACTCAAGTGAACAAATCCGCTATTTTTATGTTATTGTTATCGTCCATCGAGTATTTATTTCCAAACAATAAACTTCAATCTAGTTCGAAATTATTTTCATGACTTGTATAAAAATAAAACGAAACGGCAAACAAACAACTTACGATATAAATAGAAGACAATGAGGGTTTGATAAATAAAATTTAATGTTTCAATCGGCTTTAATCGCTGTGTAGTCATTAGACAGTTCTTGGAATAATTACGGAAGTAATAGATTTATTAATATTAATAGAAGAGTGTCGAGTGGATACTCATCGAGCAAAAAATGACCTAATTCACAGCGAGTTTAAAGAAAGGTGAGTCATAATAGAACAGTAGTGTTAATGTTGAGCAGTAGGCAATTTAATTAGCTTCAATTTGTTAAGTGATTCATGTAATTAGGAGAACAATGTCGAAGGTTATAAACAAATTAGTAAATGCATGCGAGAGCAGATGCTAAAAATAAAAATTTTAACTTTTCGTTGAAAAAGTTTCGAAACATGTTTTATGGCTAAGTTAATTGCGTTTAATTAACGTTAATTTTCTATAAAATCTATAAAACAAAGTCGTGTTAGTTACAACTTTTATAACTCGAAAACGCCTGGACAGATTTTGATAATCAATGATTTGGTAGATTCGCCTTGGTCTAAAATAGCAGAATAACTATTAAAATATTGGAAATATTGATTTACAGGGTGTTAAATAAGAGATAAAAAAATGGTATTGAGATTCAATCATACTTCTAGTTAAATAATTGAATCAGAGATGGCGCAAAAGTGCATTATTACCATATCTCATTTCTTCAAAATAAAATTGCGAATCTGATTGATGGACACATATAAGGTCCCAGAAGGTAAAAATTAATTAAAATTTTACTAAATACAACAGGGGCAAAGTTGCTAGTATATTTACAAAGCTAAAAATTGTAATTTTTAATTTGCTCCAGATTTTCCAATTTTCTCATGCAGAAACTAGCACGTAGAAATCGGGATTTGCATGAAAAATATATCCGAGATTAATTCAACGTTATCGTTTCCAGCTCCCTCGACTCTCCTTCACATTGCGATCGTCTTTCACGTCCGCACGTTTTGCCACCCCGCATTTGTACTTCGCTCATATCTATATACGTTTTTTTCCATACCGGTTTTTTTGCGCTATCAGAAAATTGCTTTTTTACACACGCCTCCCTCCTTCTGCCGGCTGTGCTTCATTTGTAATGCAGAAAATTTAACTTTATAATACTTTGTAATAGGAACGTGTCGACTATCGGAATCGAGGCGACTTTTTGCACTTTCACAGAGTACCAGAGTACCAGCCCGCCAGCGAGAGAGCTTTTAGGTTTTTCGCAGACGACATTGATACATTAGATCGACGATAAAACATTTACTTGCTCGGTGTTGGCGAGTAATTTTTCATATTTTGCTTTTTGCCGCTTTTGCCACGAGAGATATGTGAAAATTATGAACGCGTTGCGGACACTCATCTCGAGCGTAAAACCAGAGAACTTCACATTTTTTCCTACTTTGTTAAAACACTGCGCTCGATTCGGATGATTTTTCAACTCGGTTCTCCAAACTCTCCTCGAGTACATATTAAGCAATTTAAGCACCCCGGATGGCAAGCACCTTGGCCAAAAAGACAGCGTCGCGTAGCCGAATAATTTACGACCGACAGGCACAGGGTTTTATTTCGTCCCTTGGACGATGCGCGGTATTTCACTTAAACGTCGACGAATAACTTTCCTTACGCGCGCGCGCGCAGGAAGACAAATAAATTTATTTAATAAGAAAGTAAGCCGAAACTTCCGGCTGGCGAAGAATGCCTTTCGCTTTCGGGGACGGCTCGTTTTTCCGCGTGGCACTCTCATGCATCCCAGGTGTTTGGTTGTTGTCCCTTTGTGTACTTATTTCAACTTATTTCACCAGGACACGAGCTTTTATTAGTCAGCCTCAAGTTTCCTGACGCGCGCCCGATGCTCGAAATACTTCACCCGAGAGGCGCGGCGTCCGCGTAATTTATGCACGCGCAATCGCTTTTAAATAAGAATAACGGAAATAAACCGATTTTACGACGCGCCCCCAGAGAACACGCCGACAAAAACTTAAATAACTAGAGCTGGTTGCTTATCGCGAGCGAAAAATCCAGGCGAGGCCTGTTGCGGACATAAATAGCATTTTCTAAGGGCGTGAAAAATTCCCCAAAGTCTTTAAATGCCGAATACGTTCCTAAGTCCGGATTATTTTGACGACCGCGCCAAGATAAAGTGAATTAATTCATTAAAGGCACTAAAATGTATATTTTACTTCAACCAAACATAACCTCCCTAAAAATTACAGGTTCCTAAATCAATACAGGAATCTGTAATTTTGCATCAAAAAATAGAAAATGTCATCGATGCAAATCGTGGATGCAAATGAAAAATTTGTATTTTACTGCAACACAATATAACGGCGCTAAAAATTACAGAGTTCTGTAATATGACTGAATAAAATACATGCTGAAATCTGTAATTTTGTAATATTGCAAACACGGAAAAACTGAAACTGCAAGCGCTGCAGATGAAAAATATTGTGCGCATCAGAAAAGTGCATATCTAGAAATGAATGCGATTGATGGCACTCGTGATGCGATAAAGTAACGACTAACGAATGGATAACACAACGTCGAATGTCGAAATGGTTTATTCGATCCAACTAAGCCGTTACTCGCGACGGCTCTTCAATTTCCGCGTTTTTAGCACGGCGGCGGATTTTTGCGCTCGGACGTTTTCAGCGTTTTACGATGCTAAATTGCTTCGATAACTCGCGCGATCGGCCAATATGCGTCGACTCTGCAACAACTCCGCCACTGCCGAAGCGCCATAACTGATAAACAGACGCATAAATCATCGCGAATTCAATATACAAAGTGCATCGGCCATTATTCACTCGCGCAGCGCTTCAAAAACTTTGCGGAAAATTAATACAAAACCAGTGGTGAAATATTGCGGTAAGTATGAAATAATTTGTTTACCTTAATCTGGTCTTTGTATGAATCCAGGAAGCGCACTGCAAAAAAAAACAGACTTAATTAGCAACATCATCAAGTTTTGCCGTAGAGCGATATCGAAGTGCAATCTTGAAACTAATTAGGTTTCGCGTTATTACGAGCGCTGAGGCAGCGCGCACGCCGCCCGGTCAAACAGAATTCAATCAAAACGCCATAAAAGCGCGATGCCATCGCGCACACATGCCGACGGCGCACTTTCCCATTTTTGCCCTGCAACTCTGCTCCTTTTGTTTTATAGATTGCTGGCTGGTGGTGCGTTTTATCGCAAAATCTCCAAGCGAAAGCTTTCGCCACTTTTTGACATCGTGTATCCAACGGAAACAGGTGACTGCACAGATAGATAGATGGCGCGCGCGAGTGTGTGTAACACACAGCGTGACGGACATTTGAAATCAGCTTTTTTCGAGTGCACTCAGCAACTTTCCGAGTATGTACAAAGCAATAATTTCGTTGGATGTGTGCGGCGCCGGAATGTGCGACGAGGGGAATAATAACGTCCGCGCGTAATGAGATCGTGTGTGCGCACGTTCGGAATATGTAGAAATATGTGCACTGCATGTCGGCCATGGCCGACACACGCTGCAACCCGCCGGGTGCATTATGGAAGTAGTGAGCATTTATTCGTGATACGTGCGTGTATACTTCAACAGCGCACGTGACTTTTGACCCAAGCTCGAAACCAAGCAACGAGCAAAAGATTTCTACCTCTAGACAACAAGACAAATATTTTATTTCAAACGCTATTTATATGTGCAAGTATAATTTAAAAACGAAAAGAAAAAATCTAAACCAATTTTTTGTCTCCCCCAGGTTTAGCACGTGTTGTACTTATCTTATATTTCCGGTTGCTGTTTAGTTCCGGCACGAGTCTATTTTTGCAACAGATAATCTCGCGACGCGCCGACGAGATATTTTTATTTTCGTTCACACAAACGTGTGGAACTTTCGAGTCGAGGGTGGAGAAAACCGTGATATTGCGACGCGCGGAATTTCGCTTTGAGCACGTTCTCCTCGCTTCGCTCGTTTTCTTATCACCGTCGCAACTCGAGAAGTAAAATTCTTTAATGTACAACTTTTCTAAGAAATTCTACACCGAAAAAAACACACAACACAACTTGTGAAAATTCTATGAAAATATATTAAAAGTTTAATGCTTCCGTTTAAAATGATTTGCTCTTGCTAATAAAATCTGACTGACATTTCCAATCTGCATCTGCGATGGGTTTCGATGTTTTCGAGAGGTTAGAGAACTGAATGCCGCGCGCAATTTAATCCATTAGACAGACATGGCTAACAATACCGTCGCCGAGAGCGTACGAGTACACATTTTCCATCGTTGTACCGTTTTAACGAGACCATAAAGAATTTATTCATATCACTCAACTGTGCGCCGGTCAAGCGCGTACAGTAATAACTTTGTTATGCTCGAATACGGCCCGCCACTCGATAGTTTAATGGCTTCCGAACATTTTTGCACTTTGCATAGGCCAGGCCGCAGAAAATGCACGTTGAAATCGTCCGATTTGATTGAGATCGAATACATGTCCGAGTCAATGGCGAAATTGCGGCCCCAACGACGGTTTAATGGACGTCGATGCCGTTAGTGTGCCGGCCGACGAGAGTTTCAGTAGTTTAATTAAACATAAATTTATTATCAGTCGCTTAATTGCCGTCAATTATAAATAATAAACCATCTCTATTCATGCTTATGCCTGCAATTTAATGAGTTGTGATAAAGTCGGCTTCTTGTCTTAACTTTAGATGACTTTACTAATTCTTAATTAAAAACTTCGACAAGAAAAAAAAAACACAAGCACACTTTATAGGTTAGAATTAGTAGGAAATTAAAATAATTTCCTTATTGTCCTGGAAGTAGTAGGTACTAGTTGGTGGCTGGTTTCAGGGTTCGTTCGCCCCAACGAGCTGAATTATTACTCAAAGGAGTTTAAATTAAAACGAGTTTTGCGCCGCGGCGAACGAACGCGCGAGCCAAAGCTTTGCGTCCGAGAAATCCAAGAAGTAATGGACGAGAGCACACAGAGACCAAAAGCTGCACGCAAGACGACGACGAACGAGAGAAAAGAAGTTCCACCGGCGACGCCCGAAAAACTTAGCCAACTTCATTTGAATTTAGATTGAGAAAAATTATCCTGGCACGCAAATAACTACACCCACTTCTTGTAAAACCAAGAAAAAGTTCAGCTTTACGCAAAGGGTGGAAATTAAAGATGAAAATATGGTGTTGATGGTGTTGCCACAAAGCTGTAAAACAAAATAATTACATTTTTGTCTTCCGCTCTTCTTTATGTTAAACTCTCAACGCAATTTTCAATGAACGACTCTTAATTATACAAATTGTGTTGAATTGTCTACAACTCTATAATGATGCACCGCGGTTATTGCATTACTGTTTGTAATCAAATTGATTGAAGTTGCAATTGCAATTCCACGCGGAGATAAAAAGGAAACGCTCGAGTTTAACCGAAAAAAACAAACCAACAATAAATATCAATTCCTTTGTGTCGTATTATATTAGATCCTGTCTTCACATCGTATAAAATTACAATTGACACAGTCTACTACTTTTTAAGAATTTCACGCTTTTGACAAGTTAAAGCAAACATTAATGAGCGCATTTTCAAGCTAATGAATTAATTTATTAAATTCCACACGCGATAATAATTTAAACTTAAGTTCGTAACTTTGCGTTACATGAACTCGTCATAAAACTATACATTCATGCGGTTTGTGTGTCTTTAATTAAATAACCGCCGGCCGCAAGCGGCGTAAAAACAAGCCAAATTATTTAATGTCGACTAATGTTATGTGGAACAAATTTAAAATTATGTGAGCAACGCGAATACACATACACACATACATCGCGAGCATGTAATTGCAGTTGTTCGAGTTGATAGTTCGTGTTTTCCGACTTTTTGTTTTCCAACTTTGTGCAGTATTTAACTAAACGTTCAAGCGCATGCAAGTAGAACATAAAATTGACATAAATATTAATTTGGTAAGTTATTTAATATTAACTTGTTAATTAAATTTATTTCGGTTTTTGAGACATCGGTTTAGTCAAGTATTTGTTCGCTGTTTGCAGAAAATACAAGCAAATGTAATAAACGTGCTCTGAATCCGTCAATTTTTCCTCATCTCTGAGAGGACACACGACTCAACCCCTATACGCTTGTCTGTCTAATCCGTAATAAAGTTATTTGAGTTGAATTCGATAAATTCGAGGAAGTTGAAGTTGTTTCCCGCACGCTTTTTCCTGCCCGAACGATATTCCCCGCAATAATATCATCTTCCAAGCCTCTCTCAACAGACACGCCGAGAATGAGAAGAAGAAGAGGATTTCTACAAAAAAGTTTCGCATTACAAACAGAACGAAACATGCCAATATAAAAGAAATTTATATTGAGAAAGTCCAAATGTCGGCGCGGAAAACGTTGATGTTGAGACGACAACAAACACAGTACGAGTAAACTCTCCAAAAGAAGAGAAAAAGTAAATAATTTACAAGAATCTATCTATACGTTTACCTGGCGCTTGAACTTTGAAGCATCCAGAGGAGAGAGAATTAAGATTATCAAGGATATCAACATCCTACACAATATTTGATCGCAATGAGTCTTGTTTTTTTTTTCATCGAGTGTTGGAGAAGCGAATGCGCCGAAAAATAAATTAAAAGTTAATGTGGTAAAATGTTGAGCGTGTCGACTCGTCACGAAGAGACTTCGAGAAGGGCAGAGCCAATAAACACGCGTCGGAAAGTCGAACACGATCGCGGAAAGTTGCCAACTTTCAAGGTCGATGATTTAACAAACGTCGGAGAATTCCAATGACGCTTCAACGAAATTGCTTTTCGTAACTTTCGCACTTTGCTAGATCTTGATATTAATCATCAATCGATCGATCTAGAAACAAGCAGCCCGACAATTAAAAACTTGTTTTACAATTCTATCAAACCAAAATCTAAAACTAACATAACCTCACGTTTTGTATTCCTATAACCATTTATAGGTATAAGCTTACATTTAAGTTAAAAAAGGAATAAAATTCTAATGATTGGATTTCAGTTCAGCTTCACGTTCGTTTTCAGTTTGAGTTTGAGTTTGAGAAACCAGTCTTCGAGTGGACAATAGAGAGCGAGCACACAATGATCAGTTTCCAAGGAAGCAGCAAGCGCTCGTATACCGAGAGAGGTAGAGACCCGCAACGACAACATCACCACAAAAACACAACACAACACAAAAAGTGAGAAAAACAAACCCAGAATGCCGGCAGCTAGCCATAGACGAACAAAATGGTTACCTGTGGGCAAGAAAGATGCAAGCTGCATTATATTATTAGAGGTTAGAGCAAAGAGAACCTGAGACCTGACCCTAGGATACCTATTCCTATACCTACAAGATAAAACCGAGAGCTTTTGCTTTGCTTTGCTGACCATGCATACAAGAACAGATTTGACTGCACTGCATGAAAACACCATCGTGATGATGATGATGATGATGACCAACATGGTGCTATACTAGTGCACCTATATAATATACAACAATATACAATAAAAGGTCAACGAAATATAAATTATACTTGGAAGTATAAAAAATAAAAAATAAACTTGTTTTGTTTCTGTTTTTAGATTGTTATCAATATCAACATCAACACTACATACGACTAACAACTAAACTGATCCGAATATTAAACAATCCGTTGTTAATTGTTATTTGTGGCTTAATATTAATGCTACACCGTTAGTTATGTGAATTTTTGATCAAACATACCACTCCACTGTGACGTGAACATGTACCGCGCATCGCAACCGTAAATAATTACCTTAATTAACTCTATACAGCCGAAACGACCCGACCTGTAATCGTGCTATCCGAAAATAATCAACACAACTCACAGCTCACGGAATACGATATTATACTGCGTTATATCAGTAAGAGATATGGATTTATATCAAAACGTAAAATATATTTACACTGCGTACCCTCTTTGCATACGTCTATAGGAAATAAAAGTTTCTTGTTTAATCAATGTGATAAGATAAAAAACGACAGCGTGAATCCAATTTCACCTTATGTTATGTTATCAATCGCATTTGTGTAAATGTTGACCGAACGCTTCAATATGTACGATAACACTTTATATATAAATATGTGTCAAGTGATAACGCATTTCATACCTCATGTCTTTGTTGCTTCGGTTTTCGTAACCTGTGTGTTAATCCATTTTCTTTGTTGGACAAACCGTGGTAAATCCAATTGGAACTAGATTTTATACACACAACACTAAATAGTTACTTGAAATGAAATGTTTTAATGGAAGATTTTGCTGCAGTTGCAGCTGCAACGCGCAAGAAAAGACTTAAGTCAACACGACGCGGATAGCAAGCGTGAACTGCGGCGATCAGACGCGATGCCGGTTTTGTCTGCGCCGTGTGCATCAACTGGTGCACGAAATTACCAACACACAGCAGAACGTGCACGCCGAAGCAAACACCAACGAACTCTCTCAACACACTCAACCTGGCGCGCATGCGCATCGCGTCTTGTTCTCTGTCCGAGCGTGGCCGACTAGACCACCTTCGACTGCGTTCGCCCCGACTTAACTCATCTTACAGAGTGTTACACATCAAAAAATCCATGTACGCGCACCGCACCGTGTAGAATATTTAAAAATTCAGATGACTCGTGACTTGTTTCCAGCAGGCACACTGGCCGATCGGAGGTGCGAAACCAGTTTACGTTTAACTATAAACTCTTTCTCACTTTTGCTTCGCTGTGTTTTTGTATACACAGTGTTGCAGAATCACAATCATGCGGTCGTCGCTTTGTTTTTCACTCGCAGCGTCCATGTTTTCAAAGTGACTAGTTTAGCAGTTAGCACTCGGATGACTCCGAGGAGTATAGTTAAAACATTACGCCATTAAAACGCTGGCGACGCTCGCCATTCAAGCAATAACTCCGATTCCCGACGGGGCGATTACCAGATCGTTGCAACCGAGCACTACAAGAAGTACAAGAAGATGCGATGCAAGAACTATTGAAACTATTCGGTTTGATGTTAGATCTGGCTGCAGTTGTTGAAGTATTTGTTGTAGAGAGTTTTTTGTTTGCATTGCTTTCGATTTATTGTAGCTACTAATCACAGCCCGGCTTTAATGAGACTTTTTCCGGCGGACAAAATGGTAAAAATGTGTAATTATAGAGTGGTAAAACAACAAACTAAGTACAACTGCAACAGAAATAGTTTTATCTAAGAGTGGAATGTTTATTGAAAATAAAATAACAACCGTTATCACTAATTCTCTGGTTGCGAAGCATTAAATTATGTTTGTTCAGACGTTTTATAGTTGAAAAATTGATTTAAATGAAGTGTGTTTGAGTCATGCTCCAGTTAATAATATTCGTAGAAAATATGAACGATAGACACAAATAACTGATAATAAAATAGAATAAAGTGATACACTAAACATTAACTTCATATAAATTATTAAAATTATCAAAATTACAAAACAATTTTATGTTGATATTGTAATTATTGAACTTTTAGTACATTTTTTAATATATTTTAATTCATAACTCAAAAAGTAATAAATATAAATAAATAATCTTTTTTGCAACCTATCTAGCATAAAATTATCTTCCTAAAAATAAAAAATGTCATTGATAACAGGTTTTAATCAATAGTTGTAAGCCAATTTGTTTCCAATTAATGTTTTCCAAAATTTCCAATATAAAATGTTTATAACTTTTTAATTAACAAACGGATCAATACCATTTTTGGTAGTTAGATATAAAATTTTATTAAAAATAATTTCCTAATAGGATCATAACGCTAACCCAAATAGTATTCGAGTTATAAATTAAAAACTATAAAAAATCTCATCATTACCATTGAAAACACTTGTCGCGACTTTACTCCTAGATACGTCCGTAAAAATAAATTTATGTGCATCGTCACATTTTAATATTCATAAATGCAATATATAATAATATCTTAACGCGTCAGATAACTTAGGCGTCTGCGATACTGGCGCCATGCAAAGATATTCACTATTCAGTTATTCTGTCTCTGATTACGTTGTTTATAACGTTGTTTATACTACGTCGCGATTATTTATTCATATGCAACTTGACGTCGCTGCAGTCTTTGACTGCAAAGAGTAACGGCACTGTTGTCTTGTTTTAATCTTAAAACTAAATACACTGCATTTTTAATGTTGGAAAAGTCGGCGTGCTGGCGAGAAATGACTTGTATTTATTTTATTGAGTTTATAAACTTTGCATTGCGTATTTATTGAATTGCAGGATAATGTTGATAGTAGCTAGTTATACTGTCGATAACAGTGATTAATTGCGTTTGCGTTTGATTGCGTTTCCTGACGACTGCAAAACTATTCGCTATTAACGTAGTACAAAAAAAGATAGAAATAGAGAAATAGGAATAATGCTGGTTGTAGAGTCACCTTGAGCGTTTAATTTAAGTATGATGATGAAGTATGTATTCTAAACGTATAATTATGACTGGTGTAGATTTTTTTACCTGATGCGACGTTTAAAGATGGTGCAAAAAATATTTGGATGGAATTCTTAACAGATGCGTCATGAGACCGTCCATCCGGTTGAGGTTATTACTAATCACAAAAGTATTTGTTTCAGGGATTATAATAAATTATCGCTCTTGTGTTAATATTGGTGTTATCAGTGTTATGGTATAGTTTTTAATTTAATTTCAAATTAACAAATTATTATGTAAATTTGAGGTTATGGTGATGCTTCAAATGATCTCTTTAACCTCATTTTTTTATTTCTCTTCCTCTTCAGAAAGAATTACGACATGTGATAACACTGATGAAGACAGTTTCGAGTGCTCTCCAACAAATGTCATTATTATACGATCTTGAGGTTGATTTTAAGTTTCCTCGAGTGTTTAAAATGACTAAAATGACCAAAACGTCTTCCATGTTTCTTCTCATCTACTGATAGTTGATACTTTAGATAGACAGACGAGTCGTGCTTCAGTTATAGACGAATGTAACCTAATAATTCATCAAGAACTGAAAATCGTCGCCTGTTTTTCAACACTGAAAGATTTCAAGATTTACAGATAAGTTTTCCCTTCTACAAGGGTCATAAATCGACCCAACTCAAACCAAAACTAATAAAGAAATTTTACAATTTCAACATTCCTGCACCCCAACCCACAAAAAACTATTTATTACCATCACAATATAATATATTTTAAAGCTTAAATGCCAACCCTAATGATGTTTTGACTACAATATTAAAAAATGCATGCGGTTTCTTTAAAACTCATTTTTATGTCCTGCAAGTTGGCAGACGATAAACACGACCAAGTAACGATCTCTGTGTCATGACATGTCACTCGTCGAGTGGAAATGTCGAACGTCAAGTGGTGAAACTGTTAAATCAGCCAACTCGAACTCGAGTTCGACTCCATTAACGATGATTAACTTTTAATGTTCGAGTGTTGGAAATGTTGCGACTTGCAACCAAAGGCACACACACATACATAACGAGTACAATGTTGTGTAGTGCATTTTATTATCGATGCGCGTTTTCGTTTCATTTTAAATTTTAATTCGCTTTGTGTCACTTGCCCTCTGCACTGACAATCGCAAAGTTTAACATGGGTTAATTTTATGCATTTAGATTGCGTGGGAATACACTTAAGTTAATTACATTAAGCAAAAAATAAAAAATCAATAAAATTCAATAAAAATAAAAATAAAATTATTACATTGTAAAATTTCACAATTATAAGATTAACTTTAATTATTATAAATGTTTACGTTAGGAAATTAATTAGAACAAAGCGTATTGCGTTACACTCAATGATTGCATTGCTAATTACAATTAGATACGGGTAAGACTAGAGACAATACGAAATATAAGAGAAGTGTAAACTGTAACGCTGAGCAACGCACTTATATCGCATAGAATTGTAGACGAATCGACGATAATGAAGGAATTAATTCTCAGAAGACTAATATGGTGCGACGTGTGTGTTTGCACACTTATTGTATTTCAATATTTACCCGTCGCTTATTTCTCCATTACCCATGACGTCAAACAAATGTTTAATTTCTTTATCCGAAGTAGGTATACAAAAAAAAATCTCAGTTTAAAAAAAAAAAATAACTGTCTGGACTAGAGGTGCCACGAATATTCGGCTACTATTCGGTATTCGGCCTATTCGGCCACTTTGTTTGGTATTCGGTATTCGGCCGAATAATAGGTACTATTCGGCCGAATACCGAATACCAAATCATAGAAAAACACATCATATTAATCATGATATGTATTTATTATCAAATTAAAATACTTTAATAAGTAAAATTAATCATCGGTAAGTTGTGATGGATAAAAACAAGCTTTTCAGCATTTGACGGTAGCAAACGATTACGCTTTTCGTCGTAAATGGTACCAGCTTCAGAAAATAACCTCTCACTATACACGCTACTCCCGGGAGAAGAAAGATAAACTTTAGCAAATTTCGAGAGGTTTGGGTATTGTTTTTCATTTGCTGACCACCACTTGTAAGGATCAGCTTTCCGATCTAGGCGATTTGATTTCAAATAAAAATCCGTCTCATTTGCCTATTACTATTTCGCATATTATCTTTAGCGACTTCCTCAAAGCAGTTCCAGAAACTGTCGTGTATTTCAAATGTCTTATCATTTTCGTTCAAGTTTCTCTTCTTACGACGTGGAGAAGAATCGTACTTAGCCGAATATTCGGCCGCCAAATATTCGGCGCTTCGGCCGACAGCATTGCCGAATATTCGGTATTCGGTATTCGGCCAAATCACTATTCGTGGCAACTCTAGTCTGGACAATAATAATAAAAATACGTTGATTCTTAGGAAAGTAAAAGAGAAATATTTACATACATAAAATATGTAACAGGAAATTGCATTGTGTTAGTTTGCACAACACGTGTTATCTCTAAGTGTAAATGTGTGTATAATTTTTTATCGACTTTATCGTCACTTGGTTGACATCTGCAGAAACGAAATTTCAGGCAGCGAAAAAAAGAATGCAGACGAGACGAGAATAGAGTTGATGTCTTGAGATGTCTTGTGATGTGTGATTATGACGTACGTCATTCACACGTTGAGCACATTTGTCAAAAACTCACAAACGCAGAAAATACGATATATGTGTACCAAAATACGCAATATCTATAAATAAAAATGCGTTATGTAATTGAATTATTAATATAAAATTTACGAAAAAAATAGTTTTTAATTTTTTGTTTCTTTTAATATCAAACTTGTATTTTTATTCCACTTTCTCAATGGTGACTGAAAGATTGGAATTTGAGGTTAGAATATGTAGTCTGTCGGATTTATATCGAGAGTGGTGAGAGAGGATGTAGTATGTGGATGTTCAAGTGACAATTCGCAAATTTTTCTCGGCGCTCTCGCTGCTATCGACGTGGCGAAGCGACAGCGTTGACGGATGCACAAAAGGCATGAGAAGATGTGGAAAACTCGCAGGCGAGATGCGCAAACCGCCACATGCACAGTGCACGTACTCCAGGAAGCGAGGTTTGATTGATGCACGAATGCATATTTCACTGGAAACTGACTTACAGATGACAAAAATCACAAAACTCAAGTAAACCAGCCAAAAAAGTCTCCGCAAACATTTTTTCAACAGTTACACGTGTATTTTTATCCTTATTGCTGCATTTTCCATATAAAACCCTCGCTTGTCATGCGCTAAGAATGTTCAAAGCGGCGTTAATTACATCGTCAGCATTATTTATTTACTCGCACAACCTGAAGTCGCAGGGTCCGATGCAAACGCAAAACAAAACCCTCAGCACTCGGGGAAAAAAAGCGAGTTGAAAGGTCGACGACAAGCGGTGAGGACAAAGCCGAAAGCACGGAAAGGCGGAAAAGCGGCAAAACGGAATGCGGAATGCGGCGCGCAAAGATAACTTCACTCTGAGGGGTGGATACGCGGCGAGGAATGCGAAATGTCGCCCGACCAGAAGATGAGATGAGCGCGCCGCCGCGCACAGAGACAAAATGTTGCATAAAAAAGCATCGGAGGGAAAAAATTGCGCGGGTTGCACATTTTAACGTCGGTTAATACAGGCTTAATAATATTTAAATCGGCGTTGTATGATAAGCTAAGCTGTACTGATCCTTTGCTATGAGCACGCAATTTTAAATAAAAATTGTTCAACTTCAAAGGCAATTTTAAACTATTTGTTGGAATATTAAAATTTTGAAAAAAATAAATTTAAGGGAAGAATTTAATTACCTACTGCTATCAAGAATAAAATTAATAATAACTGAACTATTTTATAAACTAGGCGAAAAAATGCAAATTATTCAATAAAAAAATTGAAGAAATTTTTTCTTAAAAGATCAAATTTCAAAGTTATTTTTGAAGTATTTGTAAAAATATTAAAATTTTGTGAAAAATACACTTAAAAGAAGAATTTAAATTGCTATTATTATCAAAAATAAAATTTACAATAACTTGAATATTTAATGAATTAAAAAATAAAATAAAACTTTTGTATGAGGAAATGAAATTTTTTACAAAGTTTCAAGTTTGACGTTAATTTTGACAAACTTTTTAAAAATTATAAATACCAAAAAATCGGTATTAAAAAGTAAATTTCACAACCTATAAAAATAAATAATTTGGATGCAATTAATTATAAAATTTAATTAATTATGAAGCTAAATATAACTCAATGTTTTTTGGCAAATTTTTGTAAGAAATTTTTAAAGTTAATTTTCATAATTATTCTATTTTAGAAAAAATAAAATATAGTGCAATATAATGCAAAATTTAATAATATTTCAAAATCCAAATAGAAATTAAAAATTACCCTAGGGGTTTACAAAATACAGCGAAAATTGCAGCCGGAATCAACTAAATTATATATTAGATACATTTCAAGCCAGCAAACACCCTAATGATTCATCTCCCCAACCCCCCACTTCAAAAACAAACCAAATTGAAGCGGAAGTGAAGCTTAATTTATTTGTAGCAGCCGCGTATTGCTCCAACAAGTCAAATCCAATTGCATCCATAATTACTTGCAATGCGGGCATCCATCCCCTCGGCAGCAGCCGGGGCTATCTCTACTGATAGCGCCCGTTGCGGCGCGTGTGCAACTGGGGAGTTTTGCATTCTCTATTCTCCATTCTCGATTGAATTCGCCAGGCCGGAGGAGTTCTTCCAGCTCGTTCGCACATTCGCCCATCGCCGGCGCCTGCCTAATTCCGCGCGCAATTCGCATTGACGGCACGTCCGAAACATCCGTCTTATCAGCCGGGCCAGTCTGCACCCCGTGCGCGCGCCATGCACCCTTGTCGCGCGCTCATCGCCCGGAACGAGAGTGTGTGTATGATGCCAATTCGCGCGCGCACAATTCTCCACCATTCCGCATCTAGATTCAGAATTCTGAATCCGCATGCATTCAATTCAGGGCCTGATGGCCGCCGGAGTGCACGAGAGTTATCAGCCGTCCCCGGGCGTTCGGAGAAGAATTCAAAAGGTATTATATGACCTATTCTGTGCGCTTCGATTCGGTGGTTGCCAGCTGAGAGCACCGGGACGAATGACGCCATTGAACCGCGATGGCTGCGCGACGCGGATAAAAAGGACGCCGACTTCGGCGATGATGAGGTGCAATCAGCGCTCTATTTCGATTTGCGCCTGCCCCTTCGAGCCAAACCGGAAAATGAACGTTCGAATACGTGCGCGTTTTTACTTTCCATCGAGTGGAAAATGATACTTTGGCAGAAAAAACATTTTTTCCATCTCTCAGCAAATTCATTTTTTAAATTTCACATTTCACATTTATTCAAGACCTTTCAAAATAATCCGAAACTAAATTTTTTATTGCCCTGTATTAGCTTGATCACCCTACGCAATAAAATTCATGTTTCCCCTTCACAGGAAGGACCTAACGATGTTAGTGTAGCATTTACGACATTTGCGACATCACCACTGCTGGCTGCACTTATTATGCTACGAAAAGCAGAGAAAAATGTTTGGAGCACTCACCGCATGCATTCATCCACCGTGTCGTCGTCGCCCGAAGACTTCACGATTCACATTCAACCAGATGCTGCAAGAAAAAAGACGAACGAAATTAAATTACAAGCAAATCATCATTTATCTAATGTTTGGTTATGTATATCTATAATTTAACACCAGATGGCCATGTTTTGACAGTATACATGGTTGCATACATCAAATAATTCCAGTATTATAGTGTTTATTACTATAATACCAAAAAACAAGTTTAAATTACCATCAGAGCGTCTAAAACACAAATTAAATTAATGATTAAATATGATCCGATTGGTAATGGCTGCCCATGCACGATTGGTTGCATATAATGAATTAATGTAATTGTGAGTACGATTGTGAATCGTACAAATTGCACAATGCTCTCGCTGGAAGGTTTGCTTGTTCGCAGTTGAAATTTGAAAGTTGTACTGTTTGTCGGAGGGCGAGAATCGATGAATAAACGCCCGATATTGTAGGTATTGTATGTGTAATGCACGCATAGCTCACGGTGTTCATATTAGGGGCGGCTTCGGCCGCCCTCCGAACACCGATCGCATATTGCACGAGGTGTGCGCGGCGCATTAATGAAACATGTTCGTCGCTCGTGTCGCCGGTAATACACTGCGCCGGGGGGCTATCGGGCGACATGTAGGAAAATTAATATTCCTCGTTTAATTAAATCGACCCGATTCGTATATTACATGAAAAGAAATATGACATTTTTAATTTTCAACATATTTCTAAGTTAAAATCGTGTTAAGGTGGTCTATACGTTCGATAATTGAATTCCAACTCAAAGTTTAACTTTTTTTTACTTTTTTTACCTGAAAATTCTAAGTAAAGTACTTTTCGGGAAACTTAACACTCAATTTATAAAGTCGGCTTCTTTCAACGCTGAGGTACGATGTCGTTCGGCACGTCTTCAAACGCTAGAAGCCGAAAATATGTTTATTTATGTAATACGATGATTGCAGCAGTAAATCATGATAGACTATTATTACAAAATCCAAGAAAAATCACTAAAAATAGAAAGATAAAAAACAGACCTTATCGTAAAAAATCTGTTTGCTTATTGAACATTATCTCGCAGAATGAACTTCAACTTCAACTTGAGTTCGTAGAACATCAATTCTTCTGTTCTACAGGTTTTCTTCAGTGCTTTGATGTCTGAACATCAACTGAACCGTGAATAATATTGCTGCGCGTGGAAATAAATTACAATTACAGAGAGGCACGACAGCGGAGAATTTTCTTGAGCATTGTGAAGAGATTTGCCTCAATTCAAGAATCAGTAGAATCAGTAGAGAGACGAAAGTTGCACGCTTCACTTGATGAAATAATGTTATTACTCGCAGTGCGACAAGATGCGCAGCATGCGTCGTGATCCATTAGCATCCGAACTTTATTATTACCTAACAGAGCTGAACCAAGGTGTAAGCCAAGCGCCAGGTGAGCCAGGTGCCCACATACAAAAGCCAAAAACCGTTACAATACTCACTCACTCAATAAATATCGGGCGCAAAATTTTCAAAAACATTCTGAATTGATATAACTAGAGTTTATTCCCGAGCGAAAATGTATGACCTCACAGGGACAAATTTATGCGGGAATAGCGCGCACATTTCACCCAGTCGTTTGGATTTATTAGATGGGTGTATACCCTTCTTGCACACGCCACCACACACGCATTCATATATTTTATCTGCCTAGTTCTGGTTGAAACTAAAAGCTAAAAGATTACAACACTTGAGATAACTTATTATCGTAACTAAAACATTATAAATCTAATACTGCAACCAATTATACTCGTACATTGTCGGTTGGGTTGCATACAATGAAGAAAAAAATATATAACTAACAAGAATTTTTGGGGAATAAAAACCACAACACGACACAGGTAACCAAAGTAGCACTGTCATGCTCAGCGTGCATGCCACCCCTAAAAACGAAAGCAATCAGGGTTTGTGTGCAACGCATCAGCCAAGCGCAACGTGCGAATGCAACGAGGGTAGTACACCACACACACACAAAGATTCTGTATTGGGACGTTCTGTCCAATTGTGTGTGTGTGTGTGTTTTTCGAAAAAGTTTCCCAGGTACGAGTTGGGAGTTTCCGCTCGGTGCATACGTTGTCTCGAACGAAAACACCACCGAATCGATAATTCCATGCACAATTTAACATCAAACATTTTCGCGCTCGCAGTGGGATGCAACTTTACTCTACGTAAACACATTCGCAAAAACACCCAGTGTTTGTGTGTGTGGGTGTTTGAGAGTGAAACAAACGGGTGTTCTATATTCAAAGTATGAAAGTTTTTGTGTTTTGTGTCGATTTTGTCGATTTTCGTTCCGGCGCAGAAAGCTGGTTAGAATGGAAAAGAGGGGTCATTACGGGGCTGAAATAAAATTACTTTTTGTGCACCCCCTTGGAACGGGACATCTGTTCCTAATGGTGGATCGCGCGCGCGATGAGGTCGAATCGAACCAAACGATTCCGCACCATTTGAACTATTTCGGAATTGTTCGAAAGTTGAAGGTTGAAAATACGTTATCGACTATATATGCAAAAGGTTTTTGCCAACTCAGCCCAAACATGCAAAACGCATGAAAACTTTACCATTAAATAGTTTATCTATGCAACACGTATTGCAGGTACAATAAATACTAAACAATAAAGTTTTGTACTATATGTTGCCTATGAAATCAAACGGTCAAATACATTATTGGCGAATAATTAAATCAACAGTTTCGGAATTGGCAAAAGTAAATTCTGGATGAGTACCTCACGAAATAAAACAATAGTCGCCATGCAATTCGGTAGTGCACATCGGGTTATGAAGTTGTTTTTAGCGTTGACGCATGTTTGTTTTCTGCAGCGTTTTTTTTCGGCGCGTTGTCGTTTTGCTTTTCCACACAGCGGCGCGAATTATGCGATACGTGCCTGTTCGGGACAAACAGGGCGCAGTCTATGTTTTCTATATTTACTCGCGTCAGTTGAGTGCGCTTCCGATTGCGGCGGTCAGACAAAAAAAAACATTTCGGAATTCACAATTCAGAAAATGTACTACCTACTACCAAATTGTCAAAATGCGTAGGCAACTGAAACAAACAAACGCAAGAGGAAAAAATGATACGCGTTTTTAATAAGCAAAAAACGCCTCCACTGTTTTCAGTAAACCAAACAATATGATCAAAAAAGTAAAAAAAAATGCACGAAATAAATAGGAAATACAATATTTTCGTGATTTTTAAAAAGAATTCCATAGTTTCCATTGAAAAGCCGACAATTTAATTATTCACTGAACTACATAACCTATAATATAAAAAATTAATTACCGTAGGCAACCAAAAACTCATATAAACTTATTACTTTTTATCGTGGGTGGAAATATCATCATTATTTGCCTTAGGAAAAGCTTTAAAAGTGTATTTACACTGAGTCTAGCTAGTGGCAACAAGTCGTAATAAAAATACGTTTTTTTATGAGAGGTAGACGACCACCCCGTAGAAGGGAAAAAACGCGGCGTCTAAATAATAAATATTTACATAACTTTTTCCTTCGCGCTTTGTACTTACTTACTTTTAAAATATAACCAAACAAAACACGCCGGCTTCCAATTTTTTTCTCGTGTGAGTATTTATCATGTGACGCGTCGCACGAGGAAATGCACGTTGGATAATTTATGTATAAAGTACCAACAATGAGTTGTGAATGAATTAATGAAGCCCACATATACATAATCCAGATAATTTATGAGTACAATACATGGTTTACAACTAAAATTAGAAGTTTTTCAATATGATTAGTTATTAAATGGAAAATCTGGTGCTTTGTAATATGATATTGAATATACAGAGTGTTAAAAAGTACAAATAAAATTATTAAACATAAATTCATGTTGGATGTATATTTGGTTGCCTACAATAAATTTTAAAGTTATTTTAATATCAAAAATTGTACTTTTAAACTATAAAAATCAAGAAATCCATATTTTTTCTATACTTTTTTGCTCAAAGATAGAAAACTTGTCATATTGTCAAGTGGCAATTTGTCGCACATGCGATCACAAACCACTCGTGCCCCTGCAACCCTTAAAACACGATTATGTACACATTATACGCGTCTGCTCCACTTTCAATCGCGAAACGAGTGTTCGTGATCGTGATCGAGAGCGAATTTGTCGAACTGTCGAATATTGTTGAATGTTGTATGAATGCGCCAACCTCCACCCTACCGCCGACAACTAGCCCTCACAACAGCAAGGAATTCGCACGACGCGTTTCCAACGGATCTATTCATACGTTCCCGTATTCATTCATTCATTCATTTCAAGGAATACGCGCAAATACTTCAATCGTTGAATATTCCAATTCAAGTATGTAGGTATTGTCACTTATATACAGTGTGTCTGTATAAACTTAAACTTTCACATCGACAATTATAAAATTTAACGTCGGTAAACACCCGGTATACTTCTCGATATTCTATATTTCTAAGAGAGATATTGGGGTGTATATAATATGCACGTGGGACTGAGAATGCGTGTAATTAAATTGGATTGCATGAAATTGTGATTTATGGTCCACCGAGCGCATTAATCAGAAAGCAGTGTGCAACACAGCGCTATTTATATTTGTGTTAGTCATAAACTACAAATAAAAATTTACCTATTTGTATTCAGCATCGTAATCCATGATTTTTCACGCTTTTTATTAATAAAAAATATTTTTATAAAAAAAATCTCGTTTATTTTTGGCACACAATTTTAATTTTAAGCCACATCCAAGTGCATTGTAATTATGCTACAATTTTTGAATGAAAATAAAAACGTGAACCACACACACGCGATGATTTTTCTACAGCTAGAGTGGCGAGGTGCACACGAGCAGCACCGCACGACGGCCGCAGACGTACTACCCGCCTATCTGAAAACCCAACCATCCGAGCGTATCCCGTGTCCCCTTTTCGGCGCTTCGGCAATGCGCCCCGAAAACTCGCGCACAGACAACATGCACGCAACCTTCAAGAAACAATCCTCAAGTCCCCGAACTCCACTACTAATAGCACGAGTCGAATGTGAATGAATGTAAACGAAGAAACGAGAAATCGATGCAACTGATGGCATTGAAGCATGAGGGTGAGTGGAATGAGTCAATGGGTGCAACCCTAAGGAAGTTGCTAGTACCTACAGGGGCGTGTACTGGACAATGGACTAAGTTAAACTACAAACCAAGTACGAGTTTGTAAGAAACATGAAGGAAGCCCCGAAATAAAGGGCATCTTCCCTATTTCTGCTCCCTTGGTTCTACCGGAAGTAAATGTAGTGTCTGGGGACACGCGATGTACGTATAACTTTCTATAATTTCAATAAAATTTCAATAAATCGGGTCAACGTTCCCATCGTCATCCAAATATAAATTTAGTTTATTTCGTCTGTGCGCGCATATGGCTTTCCAATGCGGTATTTAATCGCCGAACGAGAGAAAAAAAAGCATAACAAATCGGAAGCAATTTCCTTAGGCTGCGCCACAGCGCGGCAAAATCATTGCCAGTCGTAAATATGCGGGCCCCGCACTATTATTAGCGCGGCGTAAACGCGAGCAAACGCTCTTTAATGCAGATGTTATCATCGACAGCGCCATCAACTCCTGCCTGCAGTCCAGTCATTGACTGACAAAACAGAGGCTGTACAATTCACAAAACAGAATCACGAGTACACGAGTATTGGAATGAATGTGTATCCCTATATGTTGAATTCTATCACGATATCAAAAGCGGTACTAAGCTGCTGGGAATTTCGGGATTTGTTTTTGTGTTTTTGATCGTTGGTGTGTATTATGTTGGTTCGCACTATTGCACCCGTCTGTTTTATCTTTTTCTATAATTTTTTTCATTTCCGAGAATTGCCGGTGGCGCGTGAACGCAAGCAAACACAGTGTGTACTCGCAGTGAGGATTTCGCCGCAGCTCGGTTTTCAGTTTATTTATTCGATGCAACTTGGCGGCGGCGTGCGACCGATTTGTTTATTGGCGTTTCGGGCGAGTCGGCGGAAAACCGCAGCGCCACGACGAGCCAAAGTGCACACCGCAAGCCATCCAAAGTATCTCGAGTTATACGAACTATTTTCCGCGGAATTCGTCGGAATTTAAACCGCAAACATTTTCATGCGCACATACCACCACCACCAAGCCTAAGATATTCACCAGTTGACAAACCTCAAGATGTGCAGATTTTTAAATATTTAAACTTTCAAAATTCGCAATGTTTATTTGGGTTTTACGCAAATGTTCGGAGTGGATGAGAGTGAGTTTTGGCGACCTTTGTAATCCCTTGACCAAACATACAAAACGGAAAACAGTTCGCACCGCACCGGAACAAGACTAATCACTCGGCGAGGCAACGAAACGCAACTTAAATACAACCGGCAGAAGGGCAGCGCACGTAAATGCACAAACATCCACTCAGGCGAGGCACTGACCTTTTAATATTAAACCGGATATAATCCAATTAAAGCATAACACACTTCACGGCATATTTTAATATATGCTTGCTCATATTGCAAGCGGCACAAGACAACGCTCAAAATAATTAAATAAATTCATGTATTTATCAAATGAAAAAAAAAACCAACCACTCGCATTTTTTTTCATTAAATTTGTTAGTCTGAAAATCGTTATCTCGACGAAATGGATTTGCTGCTCGCATTACCGAGATTACCGCGATGGCTTTTAGCATACTTAACGTCTTCGCCAAGTCGGCCAAGTGCTTGCGTAAAGCACGCCGCCGACATGTGTGACGAAAGCGCGTCTCCAAGAGGCGCAGCATGGAGAGAAACGAATGAAATGCGATTACGGCGCACACGCCGACAAGATGTGACTGTGACAAGTTATTACCGACTTGAAAAAATATTATTGCCACTCGTACCACTTCATTGTATGCCGCCAACATGTGCAAAGTGAGGGAATACGAGGGGAGACGCTAGGGATCTTCAGATTCGCGAGTCTCGAGTGTGGGATATGAGTCAAGATCTAGAGTAGGTCTAGACTACTCTAGAATCAGCTAAGAGTATCTAGATTCTAGATGGTTTGAAAGAGTTGAAAATGTTGAGTTACAGCCAATAGAACTCATATTTCAGTTAAGACCTCAAAAAATAAATCACATTTTATTGGGAATATTTTATTTATATGTGAAAAGTTTGTAATTATAACTTTTAAATTAATGTCTGAGTTTTTATTATCAAAACTTTTATACAATCCAACGCCATCTACATTCATATAACGGAATTTTATTAACACCCTTTTTTCAAGTTTATTTGAGAAAAAAATCTATATTATTCTTGAGTATTAAATGTAATAACTTAATTAATATCCTTGAAATTTTATGACTAATATTTTATACGTTTAATATTTCTGCGTGTCGCGAATCTTGCGCCATAAATTAGCCAAAGTCTCGACACATTTCTGACAAATTGTCTTATTTTTGTCGCGCCGCACTCGCCGCGCGATTTATTATTCGAAATACATTTATTTTGAACAGGCGTTTCGGAAATTAATAACGCGCGCGCGCATATCATATCAGTCGCAAGCATAAGGGGGTTAGATACTTCATTAATTATTTAGTTAAGTGGCGGCGGCGGCCCGCTGGAAGCCAGCGCGCTAATTAATTATTAAATTGCACTTTAATGCCCTCCGCCGGCGCCGGCGCTCTAAGCCCACCCTTCAAACGTGAAATAAAACCTCCACAAGCGGGCCAAAAACCCGCCCGAAACGTAAAAATGCGCAAGCAGGGAATACAACTCGACACACGCCGGCCGATGCGATGCGAAAACAAACAAACTCCGAAAGGGGCAAAAACAAAAGAAGCCGGCGCCGAAGAAAACAAAACAAAAGTGACGAGCGCGGATATAATGCTCAAATGCAAAAGACACCCCCGAGACGCATTAGAAATTTTCCGCTGACGAATTAGTCGAGAAATTAGAGAAGAAAGAAACGCACCGGAGAAGAAAATAAAAGGCACGATGAAAGTTTAAGCAGCCCGTTAGAAACAAAACAATGCATGTTAGGGGTTGAATCCAGCACTGATTTTATCATCGCTTCTAATTAGCATAAATAATATTATCTGCGCACCTTTGTAGGCATCACAACAAAACAAAACAAAAGATTATCATCTAAAGAAGGTAGTAAACAATAAAAGTTGTAAAACATTAAAACGTAGAGGGCGCTTCATTTGAGATTTCAGTATTCAAGCACAACTAGTTTCTAACATCTAACGCTTGTCATTTAATGTTAGTGTCAGTCATTAAAACTTGTATTATTCCGGAGGAATATTTTCGCTCGCGCTGCGCATCGTTAGTTATAGCGTTAGCGCAAACATTCGAGATCGGTAAAGTTTGCGTTTTACTGCCCTGGAAGAGCCACCCTCTGCCTTCCGATGTCAGTAGTATCTTGTCTCGTTTGTCGTTAAACTTCAACTTCATTGTGAAAGCTCAACAAAGCGCGCATTAGATTGAAGAATAATGCAGTACCAACACGCAAAACTAAGATTTTTCTTTCGTTTTATAATTTTCTACGCCTGATTTTCCAATGCAAATAGAAATAAATGTAATTATTGGTGATTATGTTTTAATAGCATGCAGCGGGAAACGCATAAAATGAATGTGAGTTAATGATGTTAATGAACTTAATGAACTTCATGAACTTGTTAGTAAATATAGAAAATTGCTTACGATTTTATGCAGTTTCCGTTGTTTAAGATGTAGTTTTCAGGAAGATGAAAATGTTTCAATGACGCACTAGACTTCACTATCTGAAATGTAAATATTAATAAATAAATAAACTGTTTTAATTATATTAAATTAAAAGTAATAAAGTAATGTGAATGTTTGGTTGCCTAATGTCAGTTAACGACATCTGTGAATATACAAAACGACATTTATTGGTCATACACTACAAAATTTTGTTTTTACTTTATAATAAAGTTTGTATTTGAATTTTTTTTGCACAAGTGCGAAAAACACACATTTTTATTCGTGTATCCAAAACTTTTCTCGTATTTCCCACGTAAACCTGCTGAAATAAATAGAAAATGCTCCAAGTGAAGAGAACAGTGTGCCGAAATGGTGCCGGCAGTTAGCGAGATAGTTATAGTGTACGTATGTAGTTAGTATATATTGCGCTGTTATAGTTACAGCCGTACAACCTTCTACAACCTTCCTTGGTCCGTTCTGGCTTGGGTTCGGCCGAATTTATAAATCCCAAACGCGTCGTTCGTCGAATTTCTCGCGCAATTTGTCTGTGAGGCCAAACCAAACCCCGCAAAACTAAACCACGAAACCAAAAGAACCAATACACCCGCACGTGCACGTTTTTTAAACACACACATAACCTAACTTTACAAAAAACTAGTTTTGTTCATTTTATGTCGCATACAGTTTATATCAAGGCCACAAAAATAGACACAAGTGTGGGGATATAGTGAACATTGCTAGGTTTTAATTTGCCAGAGTGCCGCTGGGCAAAAGTCACCTGATCCTACTCATTACCCACCAACGTAATTTAAAACTAAACTTTTCACACAAGAGACGCCAAAACATCACAAGCCTATTACACCTCAAACGAGCCTGAATAACTTTTGTTACACATTTAAACACAAAGCAAAGCAAGAAAATTTATTTTTACCTAAAACAATTTTTTTGCTTTCATTCGCCCTTGAAATATTCTCTAGGACTTTCTTTATATTACAAGCAAGGAGTGCTAGTTGTGGAGTTGTTCGTTCGTGTCATATTCGAGACGCCCCAAGCGCCCAATTAAACTAGTGACGTCGACGCGCCAGCAAGGACGACGCACTACCAAACTAACCGTCTTTACGACGCTGGATAAAACCCTCAATAAGAGAAAACGAGAAAGAACTAGTCACGAGACTAGACAGGACGTGCCTTTAGTTCGTCCTTTCCTTTCCATCCTCACAGTTTCCTGCGAAGCAATTTTTTTCGGCGCTATCTCTCTGCTTGCGTTTTTATCGGTATTCGTGGCATGCTTTAGCAGAAGGCACAAATTTCCAGACAGGTATGAAACGAGCGACATTCTCAACAGAACTCAACAGGACTTCACAGGATTCCATAACACTTTGCGCAAGTACAAAAAGTGTGTAAGTGTCAGAATGAGTATGCGCATAAAAACACGCAACAAGAATTACAAGAATACTAAACATTTAAAGCACTACAAAGATAACACCTTTATTATTATTATTATTGTTGTTTTTTTGTCATTGAAAAAATATGATAATGCAATTTTTATGTTGTACATTTATGTGAATATCAACGCGTCGGTATGCACATCCTTCATTCCTTTCTAAATATTATTGCGCATTACGTCGTCCTGTCGGAGCAATTTATCAAATCCTTTCATGACTTTGGCGTCGCGTCGCGCGTCTCGCGAGAAAGGTGTCACGGTCCGGAGGAAATCTATAAACGCGCGTCAACGCCAGCCGCGACGCGATTCGTCCTTTTGCGAAATAACTTGCGTACGGGAATTTTTTTTGCATATATTTTTGATGTATGTACATATTAAATGTAGGAGTGAGTACGATTCGCGAATGTGTGCTAACAATATGCAGGATAAAATTGACAAACAAAAGAACCGGAAACCGAAGTAAGCCGAATGAAAAATATTTATGAAGTACTTATAAATATTTTTGATGACGTGATGATAAGTATAAAATGGAAAATTAATATTTAACACCCAAAATACACGGAAATATCGTAAAGTCCAATTTTAATTGTTTATAACTTTGTGTGTGATAAACTCAGTAATGATATGTTTACATTTTGTGATGTGGAATTTAGTTCGGAATTTATTTGTGAAAGAATAATGAATCTAGCTCTCGTAGTTTTCGAATAATTAATTAATAACTGTGACTATTGAATTATAGTCGATGCAGCAAACATTGCGTGTAGATAATGGATAAATTGATATCGTTATTTATTAATTACTCTACAACCGAACAATATATATTAATGATTTCTTCTATAATCAATTTATGGTTAAATGTTATGCAACATTTAGAAAGATAACAAGCATATCACTTTTCTAACAATAATTATTCTACAAAATACACAATTATTCGATAACTTCAAAAATTAAATTTTAATTGTTTATAACTTTTAAATCATTAGTCGAATAAAAATATTTTTTTCATAATTAGATGTAAAATTAATTTATAAAACTATACATACAAAAATAATAATTATTAGCTCTATAGTTTTTGTTGAATTAATTAAAAAGTAAAAAATAAACCCGAGGCAATAGCTACTTTGCCTGATAACAAAACACAATCATTTTTCCTTTTTATTTTTTCTATGTTCTTTCATCACGCTTGAGTTCCTCTAAAATCTTCACCGTGTGTTCGTTTCGCAGGTAAATGATGCGTGGGTTCAATTCCATCTCATGTGAGTGAGGATTCCGAACGATGCGCGCGTTAAAACCCACCCACCCACACACACACTTTTCTACATAAAAAAAAAACGTAAACTCTAAACTCTCAACTCTAAACTCAACACTGTAAAATACCACAGTGCGCTATCAGCGCCGGCGCCGTGTGTGGCGGCGATAAGGTTTTTTGCGTTTTTCATCCGTTTGTCGCGCGCGCACAAACGAACAGCGAACAGATCGTTTATGACGTCCGGTTTGCGATGCCGAAGAACGACGCGCATCGAAGCAATCGTGCCTTATCAGAGCCAAACCGGGCGCGAGCTGATTACACCCCACACTTTTACCCTCACACACACACACGTCTGATCTACATTCACGTTCGGTTTGCGTTTCAGTTTGACATCCGCCAAACATCCAACCCTGTATATATATATATATAGGGGCTGATAACAGCATCAGCGGCGCGGCGATATGTTGAGTTTATGACGCGAATTCGCAGAGGTATCGCAATAACGACCTATGATTATGCACCGGAAAAAAAACATCCCCTCAGACCACATCACCTTTTTCCCCGACGCAGAGAGGTGGCGCGGGATAATCGCAATGCGATGTGTCTGCGATCCCGATTTTGGTGTGGAGGTAATCTGCGGCAGTGCGCACATTCCGAAAAGGAACAGGACGTCACACGAGCATTAGCAAAGCCCAAACGTCTATCTAGTTCAAAATCTAAAGAGATTATCACATGAAAAAACTCGTTTTATAAAACAAGAGCTCACACATAAAAAAAATCCCAACCTAATATTAAAGTATACTTTATGTGTTTTAACTACATAGGCAACCCAATAAACATTAATTTAATTTTTTGATACCATCAATTTTCCAACAACTCGTGGTTTTTCTACTGTTTGTATTGCAGAGTCCGGTTTGCGATGCCGAAGAACGACGCGCATCGAAGCAATCGTGCCTTATCAGAGCCAAACCGGGCGCGAGCTGATTACACCCACACTTTTACCCTCACACACACACACGTCTGATCTACATTCACGTTCGGTTTGCGTTTCAGTTTGACATCCGCCAAACATCCAACCCTGTATATATATATATATAGGGGCTGATAACAGCATCAGCGGCGCGGCGATATGTTGAGTTTATGACGCGAATTCGCAGAGGTATCGCAATAACGACCTATGATTATGCACCGGAAAAAAACACCCCCTCAGACCACATCACCTTTTTCCCCGACGCAGAGAGGTGGCGCGGGATAATCGCAATGCGATGTGTCTGCGATCCCGATTTTGGTGTGGAGGTAATCTGCGGCAGTGCGCACATTCCGAAAAGGAACAGGACGTCACACGAGCATTAGCAAAGCCCAAACGTCTATCTAGTTCAAAATCTAAAGAGATTATCACATGAAAAAAACTCGTTTTATAAAACAAGAGCTCACACATAAAAAAAATCCCAACCTAATATTAAAGTATACTTTATGTGTTTTTAACTACATAGGCAACCCAATAAACATTAATTTAATTTTTTTGATACCATCAATTTTCCAACAACTCGTGGTTTTTCTACTGTTTGTATTGCAGAGTTTTAACGACGTGCCATCGATAAGAATAACGTATGCATAGCGTCGTCGTCGTCGATGGAAAAGTATCGTTATCCGGTGGCAAAGCGGGCGAGCACTAAAAGCTGCAAATCGAGCTAAAAATAAGTAAAGCTGCAATTCCACCGCAGCGCCGCATCGACACGACGCGGGGGTGTTATTGGAGGTGCATTTTAAGTGATTTATTATTACGAGCCGTGCTCGATGAACCCGAAGCGCGCTGCGGGGCGGCGAAGAGTGTAGTGTAGGCACGCAAACACACCCGACCGCCGCCGTTGCCGCCGATGGCCACTTGTTGGATACTGAACACTGCGAGCGCTTACATGAAAACATTCGCCCGGATAATGTACTAAATCCAGCAGGGGATTAAAATTTTATAGCGGGGTAATTTATTTTCGCATACGGCAACTATTAATTATGCTAAAAGTTTTTATTTTTAACACCGGTGATATTTATGCTGCGAGGTGTTTTATTACATGCTATTGCGTAATTGTAGCTAAGTGAAGAATGCTATTGACTTAAATTCAAAGTACAATCTAGTAAATTGGTCGAATTAGAGTAAGGATCAGTCAGGGGGCGGCAATGTTCGTTCTGGTGGTTGGTCCTGATCATTCTGTGGACGATAAACCGCATCCATCGGCAGAGGACGGTGGGAATTAGTAAACGCATGCCTCGGCACGTCCGCACGCAGTAAACTCTCGTCGACGGGGGCGGAATGCACGCCCAGCTTTGTCATAAACTGCCGCCGGCGTACTCTACCTAATTGCACCCTT